TTTTATGTCAACCTAACCCCTAACTATAGGACACAGTAAAAATTCAGGTAAAAAAGAAAAGGCCCTAAAGATGATGAAGGATTCTTGTTCCCTCTCTTTTTAAAAAATCAAAGTTTGCTGCCCATTACTCCTCTTCTTTAAAAACCTCACATGCTAAATGGAATATGCCTATTTGCATTTTTTGGAGGTCAGCACTTACAAGCTACAGTTGTTTATTGTTTGCTACAGGAAGAACAAGGGACTCTGGCTGGCCACATAAATCATGCCACCAAACATTAACAATAGCAATCAATAGTTAACCAGGCAAGAGAACATTCTGTCAGCTCTCTGGAATGGAAGGGTATTGTAGAAAGAACTACAGAGTGTGCCAACAATAGGAATTTTGCTATCAGGATGCTGACTTCTTGTACTGTGAAGTTCTATACATGATTGTTCAGCCATTATTTATCCCACTAATACCAATGTTATTCATCATAGTTTCAAAATATTCAGCTACTCCCTATTTAGCCCACAGTGCTCAGCCCTATTTGGCAATACTTTTTGCAGAAAATATGCACAAAGTTGCTGCATAGTCTACCTCTCCATTCCACCTCTGCATTCTCAGAGCCAACTCTCACTGTTCAGTTTGTGTTTGGGTAAGAAGTAAAGGCGCTCGTCTTCACATTTTCTTTAATTCAGAGCATGTTACACCAGCTACACAAGAATGTACATTCCATGGGCGACAGAAAGGAAGTCTCTTTATTTAAAATGAAACATTAAAATGCATGGCCTAGTTTCTCTATATAAATAATTCCTTTCCATATTAAATCAGCAGCCTAATTTCACAGGGCATCTGTAATTTATGACCTGGGGAGAAGATCACAGCCGCTTCTCCCTGGACATTTTGCTGCTGCAGGGTACTGAGGTAAGCAATGGCTTGGTTTAGCTTATTGTCCAAACACAGGCTCATAGTACAGTTATCTCCAAACTAACCACAAGATATAACCAAGGTTTGTTTAGCTTTAGTTCAGCATGGTACCACACCAAAATGACTAGAAGAAGCAAAGTGGCTGTGAGCTCCTTTTTGGGAGCCCATAGTCACACTAAGCCAAGTTCCAGCGTAGCACAGGACTGCGGAACATTTGGCCCTCCAGATGCTAAACTGCAACTGCCATCATCCTGGACATTAGCAATACTTGCTGGGCCTGATGGAAGTTGATGTTCAACAACATCTGGAAGGCCAAACATCCCCCTCCAGCTTAGTGTGACCTAGGAACCAGAGCAGTATAATCTAACTTCCAGTCTTTTTTTATGATTTCATTCTACTACTTTCAATCACTATGCTGTGAAAATGAACTTTATTTGTAGCTTTGCCACCAGCTATCAGTTTGAAAAAGCTTTTCTCTGTAATACTTTTGATTTTAGCATTCAGAAGATGATGTGGCAAAACCCTGTAGCTCTTGAATTATACATCCGTTTTCAACTAACTTTTCTACTAAAAAGTACAGTTACAATCTAGCTAAAGTGTTTCAAATCTGAAGCATTATTTCAGCTCTGAACAGAATTAGAAAAAACATTTAGAACTGGGAGTTTAAAAACAGATTTACTTTATATGACAGTCATGGCACAGTATTTAGCAGGTCTATGTTAAGTGTGAAATAATAAGGCTTGGTGTTTCCTTGCTCAGTTTTTCAGCATGGGCCACATTGCCACCTTCTGGAACCAGAAGGCAGACCCACTACCACATTTTAAATTTAACAGATTCTGAGGCTAATTAAGGCCCATCCCCTTTGCACATATCTCCCCCCCACACACACACACATATACACCTTGTCCTGTCACAGGGAAACCATTCCCAGAATTCCAAGGAAAGAGAGACTAGCTGTTAAACCACTCTAAAAACTGCAGCTCTGTAAGGGGAATAAGGATTTCCTAATAACTCTCAGCACCCTTAGCAGCCAGCACTCAAGGGGATGGGGAACCACAACTGTTTAAAATGGTACAATATAGCTTTAATGTATAGTGCAGGTTGCGGGGGGGGGGCTCAGGAGCATCCTCATGATAGGGAACACTACCACCACAAGGAACCCAATTACAGGGAAGTTGCTAAGTGAATTCAATCACATGCTCTTAGAATCCACCTTCAGGAGTTGTTCAGTGGAGCCCAAACCCCAGGTCTCCTGCCCCTCCCATCTTTTTATTTTTATTTTACTTTGCTTATATGGGGGCTACTATCTTAATTTCCCAGAGACATTTACACATATAAATTCAGATTTACACATTTGTGTTAAGGGCCTATGTGTCACGGGTGCTTCCCAGCCAATGAATGCACACGGCAGAAAGTTAACTCTTTGCTGTCAAAGATAACACAGTTGCTTCTACAGCTCTGGAGACCAAAGCACAGCAATGTAGTGTCTAGGCAGCTATTCCCAGGTCCTCAGTCTATGAAGCAGTTGCAGCAACTGGAGACCACTCCCCCTCCACCAGTTTATGTACCTTCTTCTGGCATGCTGTGAACACTGTAGCCAGAGACTATGCCTGCATGGAAGCTGCTCCTGCTCTTCCTGCTTCAATCCTCTCCTGGTTCTGGGAGACAGTTGTGCAAGAGAGGGTGGGAAAGCACCCAGCCCTTCACTTGCCTGGCCTGCCTCTTCCCCCAGCTCTTCCTCCAGCTTCTCTGCCTCTGCTTCTTACCTCCAGGCTCCAGCAGTACAGGTCCCCACAGACCACTAACCTCCTCTCCTGAGTCAGACTCCAGCCCCTCTTCCCCTGGTGCATACTTATCAGCATCCTGGCAGACCCTGTCACTGTGCTCTGGGTGCTTTAAGTACCAAGCACTGCCTCTTCTTCAGACCTTCCCATTCAACATGTGACGCTTAGGTGTGGAGCAGCCAAGAACAGGAACACTGAAGAGAGGGCAACACAGGCATGAACACACACTCCCACAAGTTGTTTGAAAACAGAATAAAATAACTGAATAGGGTTATAGTCCAACACTTCCTAATAATGGGGGGTGGGGAGCAGGGAGATGGAAGCTGGTCATTTAAACCTCTATCCCTTGAAACATAGGACACTGTTCATAAGGTCACTAGCTAGAGGGGGGCATTCCCAACTAGAGATGGGTCAGTGCCCTTCCATGTCTCCGGTGTCCTCAGAGGCAACAATGACAACTGACATATGCCCATATCATAGAGGGTAAATGCACAGAGGCAGAAACACATTTCAAAGTGGAAACTTAGGGGGGAAATAACAGCATGTGATACCAAGATTGATTTGGGCCAAATTAAGCTCCAAGTGACAACTAGACCCCATTACACTTAGACACTGTAGAAACTGTTAGTCTCTAAGATGGCTATTTAGAAAATACTTAAAGGGAAGAAGCATTTAAAAGGAAACTTGCATTTACCTTTTCCAGCTAAATCAACTTCGGGATCTTTCAAATCATTGGTACCTCCATATGCATCAACATTTTGAACAATTCTTAATGAGAATAATCTTTATGAGGTACAGTAGGTAAATAGGAATGCCCTAGCCTGAAACCAAAAGTGACTCCCCTCCCAGAGAGGAGCCAGTGGTCCTGTAAAAAGTACCCCTAACTGGAAACATCTAGACACTGACATCCCCATGGTCACCACGACTAAAAATTGACCACTGCATCAAGGAAGACAGACAACTAATCCAACGTTCTGTGATCAGTGTTCCCTTCTCCCAGACCTGAAAAAAAACAGACAATAGTCTGCACAGAACAAAGTAATTATTTTTCTCTTTCAAATTTTCAAACAGGAACCATGCTAGGCCAGAGTGCACTTTATTCTTCTAGTAACTAGTAACTTAGTGGTTACCCATGAAGATGTTGGCATTGCTTACAGAACCTAGTATAGTCCTGTATATTTCTTAAGGTCAAAAAATGTTTTTTCCACACTGCCGTGAAGAAATGGATAAAGGCAAATCTTTTTTGCCTTCTTGCAGGATAAGAGTCTTTTGGACACAAAGTTTCCAGTTTTTCTCCAGCTAATGAGGGCAAAAGCAGTTGCTTTTTCCTTTGATTCAGGCCGGATGATTAATTACACTGAAGTGGAAGCAGAGCAGCAGCTGTGTCTGCCAAGAGACTTGATAATTAACACAGAGAGATCCACGTGTGAATCTGCATCAGCATTAGCGGTCAAATCCCTTGTGGTTTTTAACTGGCTGGCTGAATAAATCCACAAATGCTTCTTCCCTGATGTCAAGGAACCTTCATCTCCAGCCACTGTATTCCCACTTGAAACATGGTCCATGAGGCATTATATTAACAACTAGGTCAGTTGCCAAGCTGTAAAAACAGGATAATTTTTGTGGTTGGGTTTGATTCTTGTATAGTACGTACTGGGCAACTGTCCATCCAAACCCCACTGAAATTATTGGAAGTCACCATCCCTTATCCAGAGGAAAGCAGGGAATCTAGAATAGGTTCCACTGCTTTCAGTAGGAAATGCACAGATGATGTTCCCAGGGGACTACATCTGTATTTCTGCAGCTTCAGCCTTTCACATAGCTTTCATTGACACCAGCATCTGAGTACTGTATACATATCCATTATCACCAGAAGCATGTGTGGAAAAGGCAATTATATGACAATGTTCAAGTGATCACTCCTGATTTTCCAGACATATTTCTTTTATCAGCCACATCCAGCTGGACACTTGCCCAGCTGTTTCCACTTGTCACTAATCAAACCCAACAGCAGTTGAGTTGGACAGATTTTCTTTTGGCATCACAAAGTATTATTTGCCTTTCTTGAAAGGAAAGCTTTTCCGTCTCTTCAGAATGCCAGGTGGGTAGCTATGCTCACCTATTGAAAGATTCTTCTTTGCTCTTGCTGCAACATCTAATAAATAATAATAATAATAATAATAATAATAATAATAATAATAAATATTATAGCATAGGTTTTCATAGACTAGACTCCAGTTCGTCAGGTGCATGAAGCTTTAAGTTGTTAGGTATATGCACATAATTAGGTGGAAAAAGAGAGGAGGTGTGTATATACACACACACACACACACACACACACATATATATGTGTGTGTGTGTGTATAGCTGGCAGGTATATACACATTGTTAGGTCAGGTCAAAGGGAAGTACATTATTTAATTTCTATACTGCCCTTTATCAGAGGAACACAGGACATTTTACAAAAGAAAACTACTTCACGGGCAATATTCAACTAACACGTCCCATTGGCACAGGGATTTCCGCTTACTCAATGGAACTTTCTCCCCTCTCCTCCGTCCTGTGCAGACCCCACATCCTCCAGAGTGAAATTGCTCCAGAGGGTTGAGCTAACCCCTAGAACAGATTTAAGGAGTGTTCAGGTGTGGAGGGTATTCTGGTGTGTAAACAGAAATCTGTGCACTGATGGAACATGCACTTAGTGCTACATGGGATACAATCCAGTGTTAATAATGTAGGTAAAAATGTAGGTAAAATAATGTAGGTAGAAACACAATTGTGTTGTCATCAGCTGGTTTGTGACCATTCACAAACCAGCTGATGACAACACAAACACCCAGGCAATGGTAAGCTATTGCTATGATGGGGGGGGGCAATTTATTGAGCAAACTCATAAATTCATGAATTTAGCAAGGGTTGGAAATAACACCAACTAGCTTCATCATGAGGCCAGCCTGGTGATGACTCTATGTGGTGGCAAGGGGGGGGGCAGTCGCTGAAGACACAAAAGGCTAATAATGGTTTGTTTGATAATGGGAGCCATCAGCCAGGCAGAGGAAGATAGCAACATGGAGGGAGAGGTTGCCAGGGTAACGGGGGGGTGATGTCACCATAGAAAAAAATATGTCTATTTAAACTGAGGTTTTGGGGCAAGAGTTTTTGGGAAGGAGAAAGGAGGCACCAGAATTCAATGCATGCTGGCTGAGAGGCTGCACTCAGAGACTGGGAGGGAGACATGACTGGCTGCTGCTTTAGACCCAAGCTTGCTGAAGCTATGGGAAGAGCAAAGAGACACACTCAGGGTGTAAATGTTCTGCACTCCCTACATCCAAACTCAGGTTGTAAATATGTGTAAAATAAGCCACATTTCATAAAGACACAACAGTCTCTGCTGTGTCTTATTCCCACGGAACACAAACCATGGTTAAGTGTCAAACAAGATCTCTGGAATCTTGCTACCACTCAGCAGAGACTGGGGTGGCCTGTAACACTATTTACCATGTTGCGATTCTATCACAGCCATGACTTCTGGAAGTACTGCACTGGTGCTCCTTGTCTACATCTAAGAACAAACTGTGGCATGGAGTGGGCCCTTGTACAACCTGGAAATGAGTGGAAGGTCCCCTTCCACTTTGAGCTCACTTGCCATAGGAAATATTGGGACTTGCTTAAAATGTCTTCAAATCAATGATAGAAATACTGTATTTATGTGGATCTAACGTGCACCTCAATTTTCAAAACCTTGAAACCAAAAAAGTATTTGCTGGCGACATCAAATCTAATGCACACCCTAATTTTCACGAAGTAATTTGTCCAAAAAAAGGTGTGCATTACATTTGAATAAATACAGTAAAAGAGATGGGGTGGAGGTTCCCCAAAAAATGGCGGAGGTGTCTGGTTCTGCCCCATTTCATCAAAAGACACTATTATGTTTTAGCTACAAATAATGCTGATCATTCTCTTGACTGCTACGGCTTATGATGAGTCTGTAAAAGAAGAAACGTGCTGCTGAATTTGCTGTCAAATCTCCCAATAATGTTCTTATCCGGCTCTGAAAAATTTAGCTTGTTTTGATCCTCATACAAGGGAGGAAAACAAAAACACTACACTCTCAACTATACTTTTGGGCTGCATTACCTAATCGTTTTCAGATTACAGTTGAAAAGCTTAATGGTCAAAGGAGGACCATTACAGTCACCCAACTTGACCTCTTACTATGAAGCTTTATGAATTAAACGCTCTTGGAATTCAGGTTTTTTTTTAATCTACATGGAACATAATTCATATTGCCGCATAGCATCTGTTAACCATATACCATCTGTTAACAACAGAGCCCTCCTGATCTAAAAAAACAAAATAAATGTATTTGCTGTCAACTGGTAGCTCTGCTCATCAGGCTGCTATGGAACACTTATCAAGGGCATTAAAAAACTTAATTGTCCAATTAAAGCTTAATCAATTTATCTCATTATATTAGATGTTATTAAAGCATTATATGCCCCTCTCTAGAACACAGATCTTCAAGTAGAGACAGCCAACACAGGGGAGAGCAGGGTTCATGAGTGAACTAGCTAGTGAAGGCTGCTGTATTATATGGAACATTGGGGCTTGTTAAGAGCCTAAAGCCAAAGGGCTAGGGGTTAGATGCTAACCCACCCCCAGCTCAGTTTGCTGTGGTAACCAGAGAAAATTGAGTCTTTGTGATGGTGTAAGAAGTGCTAAGCGAGGAGCAGAGCAGACAAAAACTTGTGGGGACAGATAGGACTCATCCATCATGGCAGATACCAGAAGGAAGGGCTAGAAAATCTTTGTACCTCTCTAGCAGGGGACGCGGGTGGCGCTGTGAGTAAAACCTCAGCGCCTAGGACTTGCCGATCGCATGGTCGGCGGTTTGAATCCCCGCGGCGGGGTGAGCTCCCGTCTTTCGGTCCCAGCTCCTGCCCACCTAGCAGTTCGAAAGCACAATTAAGTGCAAGTAGATAAATAGGTACCGCTTTCTAGCAGGAAGGTAAACGGCGTTCCGTGTGCTGCTCTGGTGCCGGTTCGCCGGAGCAGCTTCGTCATGCTGGCCACGTGACCCAGAAGTGTCTGCGGACAGCACTGGCTCCCGGCCTCTAGAGTGAGATGAGCGCACAACCCTAGAGTCTGTCAAGACTGGCCCGTACGGGCAGGGGTAGCTAAATATTGATCAGTAATTGCCCACCTTTTACAGACTGTAGCTACATTTACAAATTGAAGAAACTTTCTCAGACACCACACACACCCTCCAACCAAGAACACACAACCTATTTTATTGACTTCAACTGAATGCTTCTTCCAAGTCTAATTTCAACAGGGGAAAAGGCAGGAGGGGGGATTGTGGCACTGAGGAAGGTCTCTGCAGAAACATTTAGTGACCACGCATGCCATGTTGGTGACTCCTGTCGCAGGCCAAGCAGGCATTCTCCTCCCTGGGAATGGTGATAAAGCATAAACACTCATGTGCTCCCAGCACCTCTAATATATGATACAGATGTACACGTGGTAATCAATTTGTGCAACCCTTCCGCACAAAAAAGACAACAGTCTGCTCACACAGGCACAATATACTATAGCTCCAATGGGAAAGAAAAGATATTTCTGCTTCCTAATAGTGAACCAAACCACAGTGATAGTTGCATTTTTCTTAAAGAACAGAGAGAACCTGATGACATTTGGTCAAATGGAGGCTGAAGGATGAGAGATGTTAAAAAGTGTTTGCCAATAACCAGTGTGTCACATCTTTGCTAAGAGCTTTTGTTCTAGAACTGGGCAGAGGCCATTTTTTTCTTGCCGTTTTCCTTCCATAGAGAAAAATCACAGGAATACAAGTTGAGAATTAGTTTTGCACAGCAAAGTGGCAGCAGTGAGCTGCAGAAAATCTCCCACTCAAGAATGCAGTTTTCTGCAAGGCAAGAAGTGACGAAACTTCTGGGGGAAGGCTTGTGTGTTTTCAGTGAAGTGCTCAATTTTACCACTGAGGCCTCTTGAGGCATTTATAATGATTCTAACTGTCCACTCAGGGCAGTCAAGAACTGCATGTCTAATTTTAACATTTTGGAGGTTTTAAATTTTTTAGAATTTTGGAGGTTTTAAAAAACCTGTATTTTTTGTTATTAATAGGCACATGGAGATTTGTGTCTATCTGGGATGTGTGTGTATGTGGACTATATTTTGATCTCATTTTAGTCATTCTTTACTAGTTGCTTGTTAAATAAAGAATTCCTTACAAATAATTAGAAACTACGCTTATACTTTTATTAAAATTTTAATTATTTGCAATGGCAAAATATTTGTCATACCTACAATATAAAGTCAAATTTTAGTTAGAGCAAATTATAACCTTTCTGCAATGCATTAACAATTGTGAGTTACGATGCCCCCACACCCTTAGATTGTTAATGCTACGCTATCCCTGATGCTGGGTTATTAGTTTCAGCTGACTGCTTGGTGAATTAGTCCATTTCAAAATACCCCTTTGGCTCCACTACTAATATTTACTAAAAATACTTCCAGAGCTCCTAAATAGCAAGACTGATGCAGTGCATAAAGCCCTCCAGGACACAGTCTTTTTGCGGATGACTATGGAGAAAAGATAATTAAAAAACAAAGTTCTAACCCATGGTTTGTTTTCATCTGTTTTGTCTATCAGATAGAAAGGGTCAAGGAGAGACAGAGAAAATAAATTTCCTGCTTCAGTAGGCAGGGGTACTCCAGAGAATGCTCTTTCAACTTTGTCATGAACATGCTGCTTTTACACAACAAATCAACAGTATTTCACATTCGTGGTGAAATGCTGACATGTTATCAAAAATCCAACATGGGGAAACACTACAGATGGAAAGGAAAACTCACATCACTCTAACAGCAAGTGAAATATATTTATATTAGCAGAGCTGTTGCATGCATTCCATCCCTGAAACTATAGTCATAGCTCGTGTTACGTTTGCTTCACGTTGCAGCTTTTCAGGTTACGAAAGTGGCAAACCCGAAAGTGTTTACTTCCAGGTTCACCGCGCGCACATGCACACACACACACACACACAGAAGTGATCTGTGCGCTTCACACATGCACAGAAGCGCTCTATCATGCGTCACGCACGCACAGTAGCAGTGCTCTACTTACGGACTAAACGGATCGTGTTCGTAAGAAGAGGTACCACCGTATATGAGAGTGACTGATTGCATATCCAATGACTCTATTGCCATAATGTTCAAATAATTGTTGCATTAATTATTGTATGGTCTTTTAACTTATTATTGTTCCATGGAGAAAAGATGGGCTGGCAGCTGAATCTATTTCATAACCAATGATGAAATGGCCAAGGGGCTGCCAACACTGCTACCCACATATATCCCTGCATCTGCTACCCAAGCACTTCACTCTTCCCAAGGACAGGGCTGGGATGATAACAAGAATCTTAAGAAACCTGGATAACAAGGTGCCAAGTATTTTTGCATCCCTATTTACAAAACTTAAAATGTTATTCCACACCAACAAGCGTTAGAGTCGGACCAAATAAAGGCTTTACATTACCTACTTTTGCTCTTCTTCTTCTTTTTGTAATACAAACTCTAAAAAAAAACTGGCCACTTTTAGAACAAATGTGGCAGGAATATTTTCACACTATAAGAATACATCATATAAATAGCTAACAAAACCATATGCACTGCAGCTGTCTTGATAAAAATGTGCAATTGAGCAAAGAAAGCATTTTACTGCCAAATACACAAATGATCATCTCTAAGTAAAAATTTTAATATAGGAGGGATTATCTCTGATTTAGATGCAGGTTCTTCAGCAGGCTACCCTCAAAGACCAATTGCCACACAATTTACACAGCTGGGTAGTCCTGCGGGTGGCCTCAAACTCATTAGGAAGATACATCACTGGTTTGATCAGAATGGCTTTGTCCAAAAGAAGAAAGAGTGTCATAGTAATAGTATGGAAAGCAGAACAAGACTATAATGGTCAATTTTCATGATAATTTATTTGCATGGAGAAATACTACTATACTTTTCTGACAATTGTAATGCCTTGCCCAGCACCACCAAATCACTTATATATTCAACATGTCAATATCAGAGAGCTAAAATGCAGCATCACAATGGCAGAAACAAATGCTATTCAAAAGGTATTTTCCAACTCAGTATGCTGCACAAGATTCACAACATTGCCTCTATGAACAATCCAAATATGGAAAGATTTTTCCAATATCTGATTATTATTAAGCCACTGTGCGATTGCTTCATTAGAAATGTGAATGGCTATGAATATTTACGGAAGGTTTCTAAATATGCTTTCAAGAACCCCTTCAGTTACAACATGTCTAGCAATAGGGAAAGTTAGTTTACTTCTTTCTATAATTCTCAACCAACATTGTGTGTCATATTTCTATACTTATAACACATTCTCCTATCAAAAATTATATAGTTTATTATTAAAATATCAAGAAATGTAAATACTACAAATATATCATTGATAAAAAGTATAAAAAAATACAGAGATTAATCACTGACAAGTAACAAATGCAAAAAAAAAAATCAGAAAAATCTGGATGCTCTCTATCTCTCTCTACACATGTTAATGAAATTTGTTATTTCAGAGGTTTATAAATAACTCCATTTCTCAGTGAACTGATTTGTGTCATGTTTTAGCTTACAGCTAGTATACACGATTGGTTAAAAAGTCTGCTGCCCAAGCATGTCCATATCACTCTAGAGTTCTTTCTGTCTTCCAGTAAGGAGTAGTGGTCTCCTACCCTTTTAAGGGCTTCTTGTAAGACAGGATCTTTTAAACAGAAAAGTAAAGCAGCTCAAGGGGCATGAAGTATATAATACCCAGTTCTTTTATTATCCCCAATAAGAATGGGAGAGAAAGCCACATTTGAAACATGTTTATTTTCTGGCATTTGATTTAAGAAGGTATTTAGTTTTCTTTCCCTTTCCATTTCAAAGAACCCAAGTGGATAACATGTAATAAACCGCATTAAAAAGATGGCCAATTAAAACACAAGACACTACAAGCTGGCAAAGAGCAATAAATAAATAAAAACTAAACATATTATATACCATCTTATCCAAACAACAAAAAACCCACACAATATTATACTTCAGCTATGCTCAAATTATACTTATTTCTAAATAGTATAGGATCGTGCCTCAGTTCCTCTCTTCCAGCAAAACACAGTGCTATGCTGAAGAGAAAAATAGTGACATCCTTGTGCTGATTGATGGAGGCTACCACTAATGAAACGTTTATGCCAGGTATTGTCAACCTTTTCAGGCAAATGAGCACACTTCCTTCGCCACCAAAGAAACAGAAAAAGAGAAATTCCATGTATACACACTTATTTTTCCCAGGGATTTGGTAAAAGCTGGATCCAGCAGAATTAATCTGGGCCTTGAAAAGAACAGAGATGAATGAGAAAGTGAGAAAAAAGTCACTCTTCCAACTTCCTCCTCTGGCCCTATATACTTTTCCAGGGAAGCAAAAATGACTACTCTCAGCACCTTGTGGTCAAGGTGCCGTGGGATGGAGAGAGCTTTAAAGCTTTGTGGGCATCAGTGGCCAACCCCTTCCAAACAACTGCACAAGAAGAAAAAAGTGAGAAGAGCATAGAAGGAACCTTATTGCTCACCTGGGCCTCATTCCCAGCTCTGTGAAAATGTAATTTCAGGCAGCAAAATGTATTTGGTCCTCTCTGACACCTGGCATGCTTGATTTCCAGCATCCCTATTTTAAGAAACTATATTTTGTTGCATGTGTTTTAAAAACATGTACCAGAAATATTCATTTCAGAGACACTATACAACATCGGAGCATATTTTCTCACTAAGGATTGTAGTCATGGTAGTCCTACTCAGAGTAGATCCTTTGAAATTAATGAGCATGTCTTACTTAAGTCTATTAATTTCAGTGCCTCTACTCTGAGTAGAACTTGGCTGGAAGCGAGCCTAAATGTCCTTGAGTGATTTGGACTCCAACGCAACACACAGTTGTATGGAAGGAAGCCTTATTGAACTTCATGGTGATTACTCCCAAATAATGCATGGAACTGAGCCACTGGTCTGCCTTGCTAACCATAGACCAATGCTCATTTCCCTTCTCTCAAATTCTGCTGCAATATGAGCATCCAAAATAGCTTAAGATTCATTGTCTTAATGAACAATGAAAGGAAACTACCAGCTCATATCCATTTTGATAGCTGTTCATGCTAAACCATTCCTCATATTCCCCCCAAAAAATTTCCATTGAACTTGTAAACAAGATAAAGAAAAATAGATTTCCAAGCTGCAACTCAAGATAAATGGGTGAACGTGTTCTTTCTTAAGTCTAGCACTTCAAGGGGTTGTTTTCATCTCTAATGAATAGCACACCCTGTTATAAAACAGAAGTTGTTAGGTTAATTTATGGGGAATTAAAAAGCCACTCAGTTAATGTGTGCCATCTAAGCAGATTTTTGCAGCAGTTAGATAATCATAAATTTAGCAGGCAGTAGCAACAAGAAGAAACTATCTGTATAAATGAGGTGCTTCCTTGGAACAATGACTATTGGCTAAAGCATCGTGAAATTCTACTATCCATGTGAACCACAGTATATGCAGTCGCTGAGTGCAAGCACAGTAAGATCACATTGGAACACACAGTATGCATGCTGGAAGATACACTGAGCTCAATTCTGGCTATCTGCTACTTTTATCCTTCCTCTGTCAGGGATGTTAAAGAACCAATAGTCCAAAGAACATGGGCAAACCAGGGGAAAAACTGAAAGCAAAACCAGAGAGAGACACCCCCCCCCCAAAGTTTAAATAGTTTTTGTTATGGACTTCCAATATATAAAGTTTTAAATGTGCAGATCTGGTTCCAGATTATGGGGGTCATTGGGCAGACTGCCCTTGGTGGGATTTCCAATGTCAATCATGCCCCCAGTATTAACAGTCCACTGGTACTGCTGCAGCCACCAATCTCACAGGGTTACCAGTGGAGGCAGCACTGTAGCAGGCTGGAAGCTTAAGGGCTCCACCAGTGAATAAGCCCACACAAGAGCCTGGGGTCAGGGAGCACCAATGAAGGTATGTGACGTGTCAACCTAATAGGGCACTTCCAGGGTGCATGAGCCCCAGAAAATGCCCCATCACTCAATGTGGCATGCATCCTACTGAAGTGACCCAAGCATCAGAAGTGGCCCTTGCCAGTTTATTTTGATCTTATTTGCAATTAATCCTAGTGTAGAATCCTAGTGTAAAAAATCCTAGTGTAGAATCCTGGAGAACAGAAGTTGCTGTTATAACAATAGGAGTCCTAGCACAAATGTTGTTATAATTTACCCAAAACAATTTCAGTAGTTTTTCTGCAGTACAGAATTCTCCTGCAGAGAGAATTATAAACACTATACACAATAGGAGGAACAGTGCCAACTAGACCAGAAAAATGAGAAATATTGATTAACTTAATTCTAGATTCATTTAGAGCATGCTCCTGGTTTCTTCCTTTGCAGCAGAACATTGCAAAATGGCCATGAAGGCAAAACTGACGGGCTTGGAAGGCTTAATTTGGCCCATGTGCTGGATATTCCCCACTCCATAGTATAGCACACAGTTTATTAACTAGTGTAGATGGATTGTTTAGCATAAACTGATTCTTACACATTCCAGCTTTGGCCTAGAATCCGCCATGCTGAACTGCAGCTAATACAAGCCACGTAAAACAGTGCAAGCACACTCATACACAATATACCACCCAAAAATACAACTGAACTCAGCATCTTAAGGTTCTTATGCTGGCATAAAATGTATCAGAAATTATACACAAAAATATCAGTTCTCATGATTACCACATAAGGGTATAAAGTACAAGTATTGGGATCCTCTAACTTGTTCCACTCTTATTTTACATGCATAAGAATGTTGATGAGACGGGGACTGAACAAAACCCTCTCCATACGGCCACTGTGGTATAGTTATGTTGTACATAACGTAACTCATGGAGTAGTGCCACCATCACCACCCACCAGGTCCTTCTTCCTTGTGTAACAATATTCAAACACTGGCAGAGAGCCGAGGCACTCTCTTACACCACTAGCTGAGGATCTTCTCAATATTCCCTCTCTTACAGTAACATGCTGGCTTCTGACAAAGGGACTTCATGATAGTATGATGAGACCCATCACTGGTTAATAGGACCTTGTAAATCACCAGGCTGCTAGCCATAGATATAAGACAGAATATGGCATGAGGGGCAATATTTCAATCAAGGATTAAAAGCACAAATCCTGAACAAAAATGAAACATTTGAGTTGTTTTCATTATAAAGCTTTTGGAAGAGAACAAAAGCTACAGCCAGAAGCCTACGAATCAGAATAAGCCGAGAACCTAAAGCCAGGTTTGAGTTATACTTCCTAGATCTGACAATTCAGCTGAGTCAGTACTGTGACATCACAGCACCCTGAAAGGGGAAATGCTGTTCAAAAAAAAACAGCTCAGGATTGGAAATTCATCTCCTATCCCTCTCTTCCCCCACCCTGCTTCCAATAGCAAAACAGTCACACCCATGAACTTATTCTGGGCGTTGCCTCTGCAGACAAATTAAATATATGAGGATGGCATACTAATGCCGTGAAAATTAATAGCCATTGCATATTCTGGCCTTAACCCTGCAGAGAATGTGTTTTCTCCAAGAAGTGTTCCACTGAGAAGAAACTACACCTAGCTCACCATATACCTAGCATATGGTATGAAATTGACCCACAGTCTTTAATGGGCCTTGGTGTTAAGCATATGTAATGCCTTGTGAATAGACATGTATTGGTTTCTTAAATATATGAAGAAGAAAGCTTCTTTCAACCACTGTAGCATTCCCCCTATCAAATAAATATCACACATCTACCCAAGAAGAAATTTCATATTTAGGCCTCTTAAACACAATTCAATGTGTGTTTACTTAATAATAAACTCCTGCTGAGTTCAATGGGATCTAGTCCCAGGAAGGTTTGCATACGACAACCGGATTAATGATTAAGAAGTACACATGATCAATATGGGGGGAGGGATTGGGGGGAATGCACACAGATGCAAATAAAAATCAGCTGTTCCCACACCTCAGAAAAAAATAGTACTGTTATTCAGAACACATCCTACCACAAATTAATAATCCTGTTGTTGAACGGTCTATAACACTTCATTAGTAAGCATCAGCACCTTAGGGGCTGTAACCTACTCTGAAAACACAGCAAAAATATCTCCCTCTCACACTGCAAAGAGGTGGGGGGGATATTGGCATTGGCTTCCCTTTCTAGCTTGCAAACCCTTCCGAGAAATATTTTAATATGCCTCCAGAAAACGCAAGCTGCGAACGATCTGACACGTCGTTGCTTCCCACCCACGAAAAAAGGATGTACTGCAGCTTTAAATATCTTGGTGCATCAACCCCTGGAATTCTTCCATCGGTAGAGCTGCAAAATGGTACCAAGAAGGGTGGGGTGGGAACTAAATCTCCTCACCCCACCTTTATCCCAAGAAAGGTGATTAAGCAGCACAAGCCCATCCAATCCCTTCTTGCCCCCATAGTAAAAGCGAGAGTGCTGTGGACCGGGGCGTACAAACGCCACCGATTTCCCAAATATCTCTCAAGCTCTTCTCCCTCCCCCCCCCCCACGGCCCCCACTTCCACATCAAACAAAAGCAGAATGAAAGGCAACGCGCGGCGAAGTTTCTTGCGGAGACAGGTGTAGGTTGGCAAGGGGGAAAGGATATTAACGTAGCCACCGCCGGCACACAACACCACCACCACCACAGGCAGAGGGCTGGCCCTGCCTGCCTGTCCGCCCGCCCAGCCTTCTATCTCCAAGCGACCACAGGGGAAGATGCTGCTCCTCCATCCAGGCGGAGAGACGCACACTCACCTCTGGTGGACATGGCTCGGGCGGAGCGAGGGAGAGCCGGCGGCTGCAGGGAGCGCCAAGACCGAAGAGCAAGCCCCAGATGCCAGCCGGATGCAGCTGGGCAGCATCTCCCCCATGTGCCGCCGGGGAGTGAGAGCAAGAGGGCGGTACCTGTCTGCAGCGCGCCCAGGCGAGGCGAGGGAGCGCCAGGGGGAATCACAACAGCCGGCCGCTGCAGCCAATGCGGGCGGCGAGCGGCCGGGGCTGGGCGGGGCTCGTCCCTGCCGAGCCGGGCGCTGCTGCAGCACCAGCAGAATCTGGCCGAACAATCGCTTTAGCCGCCCGGCGCAGCGCTTCAGTCAGGGGCCTCCGGCGGGAGGGGAGAGGGAGAAGGCGCTTGGCAGGCAGGCAGGCAGGCCTCCCCTGGCCCTCCATGGGCAAGAGGCGCGAGAGGCGCGGTGCGAGCTGTGCAGCTACATGATATGGGGCGGGGGGAGGGCAAAGCTTGTCGGAGCTAAGCCCCTTTCACTTGGCTTCCAAGGTCCTGCTTTCATGGAGAGGGGAAGGCTGGCAGGCATGAGTGATATAGAAATAGATTGCCACTCCTATGCAGACAAAAAGCATAGGAGAGTGGCCTTAAAGGAGAAGCTTGCTGAAAAGCTTGAATGGCATTCAGGATGATTTTATAGAAATGCGGTATGCTTTTGTAACTTTTTTGGTTGATAATGCCACAACCTGCCACCAATCTCTCTCTCTCTGCTCCTCCTCCTCCTCTCTAACTCTCTCTCATACACAATTGTGGAGCAATTTATTCCACAGATGGTGATGTGTCCCACTCCGGGGAAGGGTTATGTTATTACTGATTTATTCTTTGCTAATTTCATAATTAATACTTCTTTCAGCATATCAAAATACTATTAAAAACACATTTCTTTAAAAAAGAAATCACCATTCTTTTACAGGATGAAAACATGTTTGCCTACTCCACCATTCCACCCTTTGACATAGGATGTACACAGACTGTACACTTACTGAATGTTATATGTGAATATAAGGGTACAGCTCAGCTATTTGTACACAGAAGTAGATGGATTGTTCACTCAGTGTATGGAACATTTGGAGCATACTGCACAGAATTCAGTGGGACTTGCCAGTGGCGTAGCGTGGGTTGTCAGCACCCGGGGCAAGGCAAGTAATTTGCGCCACCTAACCCGTGGATTTGCGCCCCCTAACCCTAACCCCCAGATGTTGCGCCCGGTGCGGCCGGCCCCCCCTGCACCCCCCACGCTACGCCACTGGGACTTGCATTCCAAGTAAATGTATGATGAAGAAGAGGAAACTACACCCTCAGACTTCTCTGGAGACATCTACTCTCCCCACCTTCTTGCGATGGTTGAACAGCACCCCAAAGAATTAGAAGGCAGGCCTGAATAAGTCTGGATATAGTTGCCTTTATACATTGTTTTATTCCTTGACGCAATACAAATCCCACAATGAAAGCTGACTGAAATAAGACAGTTAATTCCCATTTCACTGAGTGGAGTTCATCTCGTTTAGCAATCTGAATCTTGATAACAGTGGGTTCAAATATTCCTGACATTTTTGTTTGCTGAAGTCCTCATTAGTTATTAAATATTAGATGTTGCTGTGCATGCCTGGGGAACTTGCAGGACACAAGCTCCCCAGAGATGCACAATGCTGCCCACTCCATGAAACATGTCTCACTAGCCACACATTGTAGTCCCAACAGGTCTGCTTTTGGTGCCTGTCTGGGACAGTAAAAATTGGCAAGCAGTTGGCAATACATGGCTGGTGGATTGCATTCATCTTGGGCAGAGGGGTGTGGTTGTTCAGGTCAGTATTGTTGCATATTCACTTCCCGGCCCCCAAACTGCTGTAGCTGTTCTGACCAAGAATAGCTGCACATGGGCTATTTTTCTTACAGCATGCAGGGATTAATAGGAGGGTCAGGAGAAGTTAAGAAGCCAATGATAAGAAACAGTGAGATATTTTATGTAATGGTTGCAAATTTAATGGTTCAGAGTTGCTATTATATTGGGAGCAGGTGGAAACCCAACAAGGCAATGTAGTGTGGTGCAAAACCTGTACATACAGATATTTAGGTTTACATTTTTTTATGCCGCACTTTTCAGTCATATACACGGTTTGCATCTCCATTATCTCAGCTAACTAGTCCTTTAGTTGAAGGCAGTAACATTTATTGGCAAAAGAAAGTATGAAAACAAATGTATCTGCTCACTAAATAACAAGAACTGCGTACGTAGAAAAGGATAACCATTTCTGTGTAAACTGTCAAGCTGCACAGGTATGCGTATGTTTGCCCACCTAAGAAGGCAAAAGCAGCAGTAGACGCTGGTGTTCTGAAATTTATGTAACTTGCACTGCAATGTATATAGCCTCAAGCTTGACATTTCCAATTCAGTCACCTTTATAAATAATCTTTCGCAACCTGTACAATTCAGTCATATTTGCCATATCATTTCCTTTGCTACAGTTGCAAATGGTAAAGAATCCTACAGCAGGCATGATGAATTAAACAAGTAATTCTTCTTCTTCGCTCAATTTCTATCCCTTAGGAACTAGCCTCAGAAGCTGATCTATTGCTACAATAAAGCAAAGTGGTGTGTGCTCATGCATTAACATTCATTTCAGAGCTAGCTCATCCTGCTCTTCGTCCCCTTTACATGTTCAATCATTAAACATCTCCATTTGCAACTTTCTCCTTCATGTACTGTGAGAATCAAGGTTTTGCTTAGTCATTGTGATTTGATGGCAGCCTTTTGCATCCTTAATCATCATGCTATTTCCAGTACACTTCTCTCTACATTATTATCATGGGTTTTCCCCCTGTGATGCTGATATGCTGACATTTAGAAAGAAATTGCAGGAAGAAGTATATATACATGGAAATTTTGTGGCCACGGGAGGGGGGTTATATTGTATCCACTTAATTCCTATCTGTAATGTAGAAATTGTCATAGCTTACCTTATAGAGCTGTTTGGTGAAATATCTCAGAAGCACTGCATACAAGTCTCATAATAATTTGGATTTTGCTTCCATGAAATAGCATTCCAAAATGTATTGAAAAATAGGAAAGCATTGTAGTACCACATAAACAGGGTGAAAAAATATTCACTAACAAAAATTACACACAAGGCAATTAATTTAGTGCTTATTGAAAAGTGTTTAACTACATAGAATGTTAAGGTTCTGACTCTAGCCACCCTAAATGCTATATGTAGTATACAAATAAACAAACCGAAACATGTGGCTTCTCCAGCCTTAGGAACAGAGCTTGCAGGGCTAAATTCAAAGCCTGTCTTGGGAAATGGCAACTATATTACTAAATATTTTATTCCTGCCAATGCTTGAATTAGCTCAGTCGGTAGAGCATGAGATTCTTAATCTCAGGGTTGTGAGTTTGAGCCCCATGTTGGGTGAAATATCCCTGCACTGCAGGGGGTTGGACTAGAAGATCTTTGTGGTCCCTTCCAACTCTGTTTCTACATTTCTACGGTGGCAAAGATAGGCGACGATAAAATCCACAAGTCCCATCCTGATACCTTACCCCATTTTATCCAAATCATGCCACACATAGGCTTTAAAAGCATAATCACATGATGCTAATCACAGAAGGTAAAGCCCCCTCTGGCCCACATCAGTAATCTGAGCTCTGATTCCTGACCTTGAAAGAGGTCTATTGGCATGAGACAATGTCAATATATCTCATCTATCAATCCGCTTTTGTAAAGTACTTATCACTGGGATGGTTCACTGACAAGGATTAGAAAGCAACAATGCTGCGTGTGGATACTCTTTAAAATCTACTTAGGTTGTAAATTTTACATTTTCATTAGACTGAGAGCAGAGAGCACTAGGCTTTAAACAGAAAAGTACGGTAACTCACTAATATGAACTAACTATACAGACAAGTAGAATGTATGCACATTAGGAGTCCCAGCTCCTATCTGTTTATAGAAGTAGAGTGGTACCTTGGTTTCCCAACATAATCCGTTCTGGAAGACTGTTCAACTTCTGAAACGTTTGAAAACCAAAGCGCAAAGGGCAGTCTGCAGGAAACTGAAAAAATAACATGTACACGCAGCGGAAGCCATTTGACTTCCCAAGGCATGTTCAAAGCATTTACTTCTGGGTTTTCGGTATTCGAAAACTTAAATGTTTGGCTTCCAGGACATTCGAAAACCAAGGTACCACTGTAGTTAAGAAGTTACAATGTCCTAATTTGGAGGAGAGCGAGCCCAACAGTATTTCAGCTGCTTTTCCTGAAATGTCACATCAACCACAGCTATCTGGGCTGGTCGAAACTAGGCAGACTGAGAGGGTCACCTCATGTGGCAGGTGCTGGGAGTTGAGGAACAGTAGCAAGGTGTTGGAAGGCACCAAGTGTGTCATGTGTCCTGCATTGTGCTCCCTAAGCTAGCCTACTGCCCTCAGGTGTGGTGGAAGGTACTGTCTCATCACTAGTGTTGAAATATGATTCAACTGCCAATCCACCAGGTTTTTGCCTTAAGATAGCCAAGAATCTTGGAGCACCCCTGATTTCTACTTACAACTATAATTACAAACTTACTGCTAATTAAATATTATTAATACATACCTATATTAGCTTGCAGTCACAATTACAGTGGAACTGGATTTAGTGAATCTTCTCAGAGCATTTAACAGAGCATACATGGTGTCCTTCTCACTTTCTTCTATCTCATTCAAGCCAAGGATTGTTGTATTCCGAAGTGGTTGCATCCAGAAGCAGAATGCATGAGCAACAGCAGGAACAAGTCCTTTTGGACTGCTGCAAAGTGTCATGCAGATAAAACAACAGTATTATACTTGGTATTGGCATGCTTGTCTAAGGGCTTATCTGGGAAAGAAGGGCAAATCATTGGATTATTACAAGGGGGTGGGAATATCAACAGAACAATCAAACCCCCAAGCCGGCAATGGGCCTGATCCAGGCCTCTCTACTGTGCCAGCATGCAGCTAACACAGCAAAACTTGGAGGGTGAAACTACACTCCCCACTTCCCACTTTGGCCAGCATGAGCAGCAGAACTGCTTCCCTAGCCTCTAGCCTCCCCATAGACAAATCAGAATGAATGTTGCCAGAAAGCAGTCGTACTCCCCATTGACACAGCCACTACAAATAGGCACAACTTTTTTATTTTGAAGATGAATGAATATCATACTAGTTCTGTAGTGGGAAACTCCTCATTTCTCGTAATTGCCATTACTTTTCATGAAGCATATGGTTGCCTTTTCTAACCATCTGTGCCTTCATTCTCCATTTGGTTAACCACAGGCAACAATTGTATTTGATTTCCAATGTTACAGGGAAGCACCGCCAGATGGACACAGAGGTCACCTGCACAGCCAGTTGGTGGCACTTCCAGGAATGTGGGGAATTATTCTTATTCTCCCTCTGTCTGGTAAGGCTGCATTATTTAATACTACCAGGGCAGGGGGGAAGCTTGAATATATCTTCTTTAATCATTTTGATACTAACTGGTTTTCTTTTTAATCTTCAGAAATTACATCTTTAGTCCAATACTAACAAAAGTTTGCTAATAACGACAGGCTACAGACAGGAGGAAAAACAAATAAGGATGGAGGATTGAGGGGGTTTTAAAAGGGGAAAGGTTGCTTAGCATTCCCTTGCAAATAGCCAGCATTTTTGAAAGGGGACAAATCCCAAGCTCTTCTCGCTTGTTGCCATCTGGCAATTGCATAACTGGGATAAACCCCTTTAATATGTGTGTGTGTGTGTGTGTGTGTGTGTGAGAGAGAGAATTATGCATGAGACTTGGAACATTTTCTCTGGGCTCTGTCATTTCCCCTGCGTGGAAGCAGCAGAAATTGGCTCCTACTGCTGCTCTTCACTCCGCTCACTTTTGCAGCCCCACACCTCCCTCCAGTTGCCTATGTGCACTCATAAATGCTCCTCCTCTTAAGCCCAGCTCTTTTTCTTCCTCTGCACTTCCTCCCACCACTGAGCAATGGGGGTTAATTTGGAGATGAGGGCAGACTCCCCATGCCCCCCCCAAGTATTTGTAATAATTTGCAACTGGCTCCTGCAAGGCCAAAGACTGCAAGCTGCATGCATAATGGTCTTCAAGCCCTCCCCCTGCTACTGTACATGGGAGTTATCAGGAAACCCTGGAGACCTCAGGTCCGTCCTGAGGTGTCTGGCAACTCTAGTCCAATAGCATCTGAAGGTCCACAGCTTCCCTGCCCATTCTAAAGGTTCTGATGCAACAGTCCTGATCCTATGAGAACCCTACTAGCCCAGGCATACTATCTATGCTACAGTATCTGACATGGACCAGTGAATGAATAGCTGGGAGCAGCTAACACTATAGCATTATAGAAGTTAATTGGAAATGTACTTAATCAGTGTGTGCTCAGAATCCTATATAACCACCTCTGAACTTTCCAAAGTAGAACGAGATATAAGTAAAATACATGGGGTTGGGTTTTTTGTTTGCAAATAATTGCATTTGGCCAAATTCCCCACATTATTTTGGGTAGAAAGCTGGTTAACAGCAGGTCAATACTGTCTCATAGATGTTGCAAAACTGGGAGAGCGCTTATCAGTGACTCTTCATCAAGGTGGAGGGAGGTTTTGACTCGGGAGCTGTAGAACTCTGTTGTGCATGTAGTACCCTTCATTTATAAATGACCAAGGGGCAAACTAGATGTAATATTATTCATGTCTTTAGCCCTTGTGTGGATGATTTTTATTTATTTTATACTAACTTGCTAGCAAAGGGATTGTGGCATTGGAGGTGGGAGTTTTACCCCTTTACTTTAGGTACAGCAATGCTCTTGAAAGGCATGTTGACACTTCTGCCTGCAGCTTTAGCCGTTTATTCATTAAAAAATAGCAGCTGCTGATCATTAGAAGAATTAGACATAGCTAACTTCTCCAGGTATTTTATGGGATGGAAAGAAGTTACATGTGGGGTTGACTAGGACAACATGTCCAGTGGGCAATTTGCACAATCATGAGTGTAGCAACTGATAATGCCAGTTAAATATTGTCTCCCATTATTATGGGTTGGAGCTAAGACGCTGTTCTTTAGTGAGTCCTTGAGGTTACTTCCCTTTTTCTATGTAGTCTGTTAGTTGTGTGTTTGGACCTACAAAACCTTGTATTATACTAAATGATGACTTAACAATAAGCCTAAATAGATGCTCTATTACTTCCTCCAAAATGTCCTCTATTGCTGTCTCAAGACAGGTACATACAGGTATGAAGCCAATTAGGGAGGTTAGTTGGAGCCCACTTTAAAAAGTGTGAATATGCTGCCATCTGCTGGGCACATAAAGGATTTCCCCCCATAAGTCATTGAGGTTCCTCTTAATTAGATTGCTTCACGTTGCAAAGAATTGATGTTTCTTCTGCCTACAAGTGCACATCTTTTATAATCTCACAACTAGAGGAAACCTGCTGCGGCTGCTATTGTGGTGGTGGTTTGTGGTGTTGTTGTTGTTGTTGTTGTTGTTGCTGCTGCTGCTGCTGTTGTTGTTGTTCACCCACCCCTCACCCCAAGGACTCTGGGCAGGCTACAACATTAAAACACAATATTAAAAACTTACAGAAATAAGGTGGTTCCTAAATATATACACCTCAAGTGTCAGCTAGATTGCCATTTGCAGCCAACTGAGCATTTAACATACAATGCTAATTTGTTTCTAAATGTATTGATATGTTATCCATTGTTCCTGCCTTAACTATGGCGTCTAAAATTTAAGGATGTGTTTCCATGAGAACTAAAATAAGCTCCTTTATACTTTTGCCTCTGATGAGCAATTTGAGGCCTGTTAACAGACTAGTCAGCCACACCAGTACATTAATTTTTGGCAGTGTATTCTCCTTCCTTTCTGGTTGTTCTTTTGGGCATGTACTTTGTTTTCATTTTATGGGGCTACCTACGCAATTTACAGAAAGAAAAATGTCAAACTGGCACTACTACAAATGATGGTCTAATTTAATAAGCCCTTGAAATTAACCATAAAATTATTCCTGTATCTTATGGTTTGATGCCCTCTTCTGGTGGAAATCCATCTACTATTTCCAATATTCTCATTTAATGTGGATGCTGTTGTAAGGTAAGTTACCAGAAAACAAAAATGATAAATAATATTAGTTTGCTGCTGTTCTTAACCTTTGGTTAAAAGGTCTTCCTTAATTTTACCTTTGATTTATTGCTTTTCTTTGTCAGATTACGGCTAGCCACCTTGATTGCCATCATAGAAGAGACACGAATGTGAGAACTGCACAAATTGAGATTTGGCAGAAAATATTTTTGGAAAAGTTAAAACAAAGAACAGCAATAACAATGGACAAATCCTAACAGATTGTTGGTCTGAAAGTATTCCTTGCACATTGCCTGAGTTGCTGTGATGTCACAGAAGTCTGGTGACCAGAGTTCCATTTTCCATTTCAGAAGCAAGTACAAAATCTAAGAATGCTAATTTTATCCAAGCAGAAAAAGTTTACAAATCCAATTTTGTTTTGTATTCAGACACCCAAGTGCCAGTCTGTTTGGAGATGGGATATGAGCAGAAGAATAGAGAGACATAAAGAGGACACTTATGAATCCACCTCTATAAAAGTGGGTTATATGTAACAGGTTATAGCTAATTTCAATACAGTATAATAAAATAATAATAACTTTTTATTTATACCCCACCCTCCCCAGCCAGAACTGGGCTCAGGGCAGCTAACACCAATAAAATTACAGTAAAACATAATGTGGGGGGACAGTTAATTAAAATACGGGTTAAAATACAATTTAAAATGCAGCCTCATTTTAATAGTAGCCCATAAATCAAAACCATAAGGGGAGGGAAACATAAGGATCAGACTGTGTCCAAACCAAGACCAAGCAGAACTTGCAGGCCCTGCGGAAAGATGTCAAGTCCCGCAATATAGTACAGTATAGCATATTACTGCAAACTAGTAGACAGTGCTATACCCAGAATTTTGGCAAAAGTATTTTACACAGATAAGAGTACCTGATGACTAGTATTGCACTCCAGAGTGTTCTGTTTTATAGTTTGCAGAGTGGACTGGGAGGAGTGGCAGCAACAGTTTAATAATAATATTGTGCTCAATGGTTCAGTTCTGGTCCCTATATAGCCTTCATATTCAAGGCTTCTTCTCAAAATACCATTTTCATTCTGAGGATTGCACCCAAAAGTCACTCCCATGATTAAAAGTGCAATATTGGAAGGATTTATGCCTTTCTTGTTCATTAGATGGGCATGCTGAGCCACATCCTTGGACAAGTCCGGTAATGAGTCCTGCGGATATGATGCTTTTCATCACAAGAGTGAGTTGCAGGTGCACTCCACAGAATGATGAAGTGTGACAATGAACACTGGCCTCGGGGTCTCTGCTTCCCAGCATTTAAGGAATAATTGAATCCTAAGAGTGAAAGAACAAAAAGTTATATACAACCCCCACATCCCAAGGCAGTATCCCCCTCCACATATCAGATCTGTACAGATTAACTAATCCCTGTGACAATAAATCACAAGCAGAGAGTAGGAGGGAATTAAGTGTGCCACACTAAGGGGCATTCAGAGCAAATGACTGAAACAAATGATTATCTGCTTCTCCAGTGTTTATATCACATCATGCCATTCATTCCCCTTCACAATCTAGTTTTTAGGATTGAAAATTATTATTCTTTTGACTAGTTGGTTGGCTGGTGTAGAATTTGTGCTTCATATGCCACCTGCTAACAAAATGTTTTCTGGGTGGATTACAGGATTAAATAACTTTTTAAAAAAAGGAAAAGAAAACACAACTCAGAATTTAAACACTAGATAGAATCAAAACATTTAAGGGGGGGGAGAGACCCTACAGCTAACATATTTGCTTATTTGGAAATAATATTTTAAAACCACCATACAATTAAATAATTAAAGCCTAAAATTATAAGATCATAAAACACAGGACAAATGACCAAATGAATCAAATTCTATAAAAATCCTTGGCAAAACAAAAATGCTTTCAATGGAAGGTAAGATATCAGAATTGCAGCGATCTCTCTGTTGAGGGTGTTAGCAACACTACTGAGAAGGCCCTTTCTGTCACATAATCACCTATTGTACCTCACTTGACGGGACATTCAAAGAAGGACCTTAGATCAAGTTAATAGCATCTGAGAAGTCACATGTGGGAAAGACAATCATTCAGGTACAAAGGACCAATGTGGTAAAAGGCCTTAAAAATCAACACCAGTACTTTGAATTGGACCTCGAAACAGAGCAAAAGCCATTAACAAAAAAAAAAGTGCAACAGCCCATCTAAGTTAGCAATATTGCAGTCATATTTTGTACCAACCAAAGTTTCTGGGCCATTTTTAAAGGTACCCTCATAAAAAAGTGTTACAGTAATCTAAATGGGAGACTATCAGGACACCTATCACTGAAATAAGACTATTGCTCCCCAAGTAAGAACTGGTATACCTAGGCTGGAAGAAGGTTTCTGAGACAGAGTGGCAAACTGTGCCTCTAGTGACAACGATGGGCCAATGAATATCCCTGTCTTCAGTGTGTTTTTGTGTGATTTTTTAAACGACATTTTTATATAATACAAAACACTAATTTGTCCCCCTGAGACCTTGGGAATATAAACACAAATAAATGTTCACACTAAAGATAAGGGGAGCAAAATCAATGTTTGAAAAATGGCAGTGTTCTCTTACTAAGGTAATGACAGGCCTTTTACCTCTCTCCTTTTCCAACCCTGGAATGTACATCTTGACTGAAGGATCTGGATTTCCCCTATGCAATGTGAGGTAGTCTCCAGCTTTATAAGTTCCCAAGTGTGCCTTCCCTACTCTCCACATTACCAATGCAGCACCACCTACGTACTTCAGAGATAGCTGTTGGAGTAATCCTTGTCCATTGACCAAGCAAGCTGGGGCTGCTGGGAAATGGAGGACAACAATATACGGAGGGCCACAGGTTATCCATATCTGACCTATGTGATAGCATCACCTGGTCACAATTTTGACTAAGGCAACTTTTGGAAGTAAATTTAGCTCACTTCCTTCCCTCACTGGTTTGTTTTCCAGTCCTCAATGGCAGACTCCCCTTTTGGGAAATCCTAGGATAATTCTTCCTCAGGGACATCCTATGGACACAACCCCCATGTTGAAGATTTTTTTCCATTACCTACACTTTGTGAGCTATGGAAGCTTGAATGGCAAATAAATCTTCTTTGACACAGCAATCACACTAATACACTTAGAAAACTGCAGTGTAGCAAATGCAAAACTGAAAGCTGAGTGTTTCTCTGGCACTTTGCCTTTTAAATTCAGAGTGGGTAGTTGTTTCTTGAAAGGAATTCAGCGGGTAGCAGGTTCTTGAAAGGAGTTCACTAAGCATGCTTTGATTCTTTCTTATCCACCTGGAAGCGCAAAACTGAGCAAAGATTAATCAAGTATTTCAATTATATTGTAATATTGCCAGTGTGGTGTAGTGGTTAGTGTTGGATTAGGACCTTGGAGACCAGGGTTCAAATTCCCACTCAGCCATGAAGCCGGCCAGTCACTAACTCTCAGTCTAACCTACCTCATAGGGCTGTTGTGAAAATAAGATGGAGGGAAGAAAACTATGTACGCCGCCTTCAGCTCCTTTAATGACAGACAGGACATAATTACAATAATTAATAAAAAAGCAACTAATCATATACATAGTCACTCATTTCTTGACACTGTCATGTCTCTAAAGTGACAACTACCGTCATCACCATCAAGCAAAGGAAGGTTTGACTCCATCATGTGCTGACTGAGTTCCAACTGCTCAGCCCCAGCCCCTCATAGGTGGAGGCTAAAGGGCAACACCAGAGAAGGCAAAGGGCAGGGAATGACACTTGAACAATCCTGGCATCATAAGAATACCACACCTATTTCTGATGCCAGTACCTGGGTTCAATGCAAGTGGTTGCAACTCTTTATAACAGGGATGGCTAACCTGCAGGACTCCAGACGTTGCTGAACTGCGGTTTCTATAATCCCTCGCCGTGCTTCTTGTGATAATTGTTGAGATTCTCTTGGGGCTATAAAGTCAGCTAGTAGTACTCTAAATAAATGAAGTTTATTGCATAGCCAACATAATAACACTGTCACTGAGGAGGTTCCAGTCGCACATACAGAAGCTGGCCAAACTGGCGGCTGACTCTTACTTCAATGTACTGGTGATGATAAAGCAGCCTCCTCCACTACACTGGAGGGCAGAGGTTGGCTTAACTTGTGCAGGCCGACTTCCAGCACCTCACACCACCCTTCAGCACCAGATACCCGAGGCGGCAGGGTGGGCCCTGGCTCTCTGCTTCGTGGCTGGGCCTTACATGGCAGAACTGGCAGGCAGCAAAGTGTCACGGGCACAACCCTGAGGAAACCTGACCCTGCGCCGCCTCCTCTCTTCTGCCCGTCTGACAGGCGGCGTCACGAGGAATTCTGAGGAACTCGAAAACTTGCTCACTATTTCGTGGCCCTTCGGTTGGCCCCGGCAAAGGCCAAAGAGCGAGTTTCGTAATCTCGCCCTCCTCTTTCTCGCTTCCCTTCTCCTCAGCCCGCCTCCCTCTCCAGCGCTCTATCCTTTCGGGCCGTTCTCCGTTGTTTTTTCCGTCCCCGGGGCCGGATGCTTCCCGCCCCGCCCCCTACCTCCCCCGACACGGCGGCAGAGGCCTGACTGACTGACTGCCAGACCGAAGGACACGCGCAGGCAGCTCCTCAGGCAGCGGCCCCTGTAGGCCGAGCAGCGGCGGCGGCGGCAGGAGAGGGAGTAGCGGCGGCGGCGCCAGCAGAGGCAGGCGCTCGGCTTCCGGGCGGCCCCGGCGGGTGTCGTTCTCCGTCCGCGCCACGGTGTCTCCTGAGGCGAGGGAGCGGGAAGAGAAGCGGAGAGAAGCAGCCGGCCCGCTTCGCTTCGGTAGCCGACCCGATCGCCGCGGCCAGGCCCCCCGCATGCAGTCCTCACCCTGGAGCGGCGGCGGCGGCGGATCGAGGAGCTCTCGCGATCCTCCCGGCAGAGGCTGCTCCAGTCCAGGGACAGGATGTTCTCCAAGTTCACCTCCATCCTGCAGCACGCCGTGGAGGCGGTAAGGCCACCGGCGGCGCCCGCCACGCAAGCCCGGGGATCCTGTTGGGCCTAAGATGGGGAACGCGCTTTTGGGGGGCCTCCTCGCGATCCCCCTCGCTTTGCTCTGCTGCCGGCTTCGTCCCTTTAACTGCCATGCCCTCCTTCCCTCGCTCCAACGCCGGATAGTTTTATTTCTGCCTTAGGACGCGGGGACGGGAGCTTGGCGAGACCCGAGTGGTTTGCTCTTTTCCTCCCAGTCTCCGGGTTGGGCGGGTTACGTGGCTGTGTCCCGTTTCTGGCTCAGTCGAAGCCTCTGGGCGATCACGAGTCGGGGCCCCGCAACGAAAGCCAGGAGCCTTCAAGTTCTTCGTTTATTTGCTAGTTAAGTTTGTATGGCGTCTTTCCAACAAAGGGTGCTCGGGGTGGCCAACTACAAATACGCACGCACACAAGGTGTAATAAAATACACTCAAACTTTAGTACAGTAGTCTTTATTTATTTAACTATTTTTATCACCCTGCTCTTCAGACATAAAAAGACTACCAGATCGGCTGTATAAATACATGGCAGTCCCTGGCCTCCAACTTAGTACAATCTAAAAAATATGGACACAAAAGGAAAACTGTTTGGTAGGGAGGAGGAAGTAAGTCAACTCCTTCAATCTCTTCTGCTGACCAGCTGGGGTAGGAAGCTCCAGGAGAAGAGGCAGGGGTATCTCCTCTGTTTCCTCACATGGTGCAACTCTGATGTAAATAAATATGCTCTAATGCAAAGTAAACAACATAAAATTAAGGCGAGGGGGACCCCAAATCCCAAGGCTGTTTTCAAGAACAAAGGGTGGGTTCTTGAAGGTGCCAATTGGGCAGGCTGACAGCTTGATACAGCTGCCTCCTGCCTGGGAAGCAAGAGCTTTGAAGCTGCATATTTCCAGTATAATTTTTTTTGTTGCTAGTGGATTTTTTGTGACAACATACCTGGTGAGTTAAATACAAGCTGCATTCATGTGTAGTTGTGTTTTAGGCTTGGTTTTTTTGTCCTTTTGGTTATTTTCTCCAGATTGTTTGTACTCCTGCAAACCTATATGCCAGTTGAGTTTGCTGATGTTTTCCTTTTGTGCAGAGGTAGTGCTGTTTTTGCTACATAAACATTGACACTCTAGCCTGAACATCAGAAATAGAGGGAGTGATAATGTCCTTCCTTTCCGTTTTATAGGCACATCTAAAATATGCCCCCCTAACCTTCTATCCCCTTAGGCATAGTTTCACTGGGACTTTTGTATTAAAATTTCCTTCACAGCTGCTCCCTCCTTCTGCTCCCACAGTGGACAGGCAAACAGGCTCCAAACAGTCAAATATTCCCTGTGTTCACTCCTGCAGCTTTATAAATGTGTTTTGAGAAATTTTCCCCAGTTTCCTAGAATATCCAATGGGAGAGAGAGAGATTGATTGCATTCTGGAGTATCTGAAGTAATAAACAAAAGTACCTCTGTGCTAATCGCTCATCAAAACCAGTTATCCCTGCAATTTGCCCCCAATTTGCACCTAGCATCCCTAATATTTGATTCTTCAGGGTTGAGTAGACATTTTTTCAAGTGTCCATGAGGCATTATGGCAGTTGTGCCAGCTGGGCAGTGAGAGGCCTGTCTAAGCCTTCTAGCATGCTGTATTAAAAACTATATTCTGTGTCATTTGGCTTAAATCGGGGCAGCTAAACTCCTGCCTGCAGCCCTGGTCGTCCCCCCCCCCCCCCGACTTGATCAATTTTGGCAGTGGATTTAAAAAAAAAAAGTTTACATGCTGCTGGTATGGGTAGATAGGTTTTAATAATAACAATAACAATAATAATAATGTATTTATATCCCACCCTCCCCAGCCGAAGCCGCAGCTAACAACAGTAAAATAATAATAAATGCCTCTGCCCACCACAGTGCCTTAATGGGAATGCACATCACTGTTCATCAGATTGATCATTTGATGAGTATAGAAAGGGCAATAATGCCCTTCATCAGCTGTGGAGGGGGGACAGGGTGGGTGGCTACACCCACCATTAGCATGCACCACCCAGAGGTTTGACCAAAGGTTAATGGGTTAACCACCCCTCACCTAAGTAATGGAATAGTCCACTTAAGATACTTCATATGCCGACACAATTCCACTCTTGGGGTAAAAGTTCAGTATAATTACTGTTCTACCTTCCATCAAGTAACTAGGTTATTCCAGCTGATTCTATGACCTGTGGCAAAAAAATTCCAAAGGTTGATTATACGTTTGTGCAAGGTAGGACTTGTCTTTGAGCAGGTGCATTGCCCTTTAATTTTCTTTAATGATTCCTTGTGTTAGCATTATGAGACGAATTGAAAATGATGCCTCTAGTGCTTTCTTTGCTCCTTGGCAAATTTTAACATTCCACTCAATTTGTGTTATGCCAACCACGTGTGTATGCCGACCACATGTTTATTAATGAATATTTTTATTCAATAAAAGTTATAAAAACCTAGTTTGTATTGCCTCCAACCATGCCTCTCAGCATCAAATCTCTATTGTCCTAATGTAAATTTCCAATGGACTCCTTCTGAAACTATAGTACAAGTACATCTTTTTAATAAAGTAAATATATCAAACATGCATATTATGCTGGTGCACGTCTCAGGTTGCTAGAAGTGGCTGCAGCTACATTGTGAATGTAGAATTGGTTATTGGCCTGGAAAAAAATATTATAGTCAAGTTACCGGTAATTAAATATTTGAAACGGTGGATTATATACTCCACAGATTTCACTAGTGAGACCACAACCTTTTTTTTAATTTTTATACTACTGATTTCTGATAGAATTCTAGATCGTGCAAGGTAAAATGTTAGTAAAGCCTCAAAACTTCATTGCAGGAGTTTTTGAACTTTTATCCAACTAAGACATACAGTGGTACCTCAGGTTACATATGCTTCAGGTTACATACGCTTCAAGTTACAAACTCCGCTAACCCAGAAATAGTGCTTCAGGTTAAGAACTTTGCTTCAGGATAAGAACAGAAATCGTGCTCTGGCGGCACGGTGGCAGCAGGAGGCCCCATTAGCTAAAGTGGTGCTTCAGGAGAAGAACAATTTCAGGTTAAGAATGGACCTCCGGAACCAATTAAGTACTTAACTCAAGGTACCACTGTACTCAAAATAAACCCATGAGGTCAATGGAGTTAACTCTGTTAGTTTTAGTGAGTCTGTTGGATACAACTCATTGTTTTGATTGGATACATGTATACCTAAAAAATTAGCCTGAATGTTATACAGTAGGCCCTTAATTTACACAAGGATTATTTTCCGGGGATTGCACCTAAAGCCAACATTGTGTACAATCAAAGCCAATTGGGTTCAATGGCAGTTAGGATTGGCAAATTCATTTCCCCTGGAACCCTGCCCCCTTTTCACCCTCTGTGTGTGTGTATATATATATATATATATATATATATATATATATATATGTAATATATATGTATAAACTATTTTATGCCATGCGTGTAAAGCTGAATATAAAGTTATATGTGTGCAAGCTGCTGGTTTACCATGCTACGCTACCGGGCATGATAGGGTTTGTGAAAGATTTGCACATCTTTGAGTCTGATTACATTGTGTAACTTTATCAGCAGTCTTCTAAGTCAAGTCAGGTCCCAGCAGTGCCTCACTGCTAAACAAGTGGAAAAAATGAATTTCATGGTGTGTACAAAGCAGGCCAAAGCCTGCAATTTGGCCCTGGCTTTTTTAACAGTGCTGAAGTCAATGAAATATAGTATGATGTTGAGTTTCGTATGTTTTTGTTGGTGTTCATTGCTGACATTTTCTCACAAGGTCTGCAGAAGAGCTTTTGGTATAGTGTTGATCTATACTGGATGTTGTGTTCCGAGAAATTGAATTTGTTTAAAGGCACATTTGGCCTGGTGCACTGCATGTTGTCTTTCGTCTTAATTCTGAAGCTGATGAATGCTGAAAGTAGTCACAGTTCTGTCTGTTTGTGTCAGTTTCAAAGATTCAAATGTTGGGGGGGGGGATCATATGCATTTAACTCAGTGGGTATAGGTGTTCTTAAGTCAGTGGCTTGATTCAATGTACATAAATTGACTTAAGTATGAAATCTGTTAATTTCAGTGGGTCTCCTTTGTGTGTGACATAGTTGAATATCACCCTCCGATCCCAAATCCGCTTAATTGAAAATACATCCCCTCAAAAGCTATAATCTCTAGTTCTATGGAAGTGTGTTTAGGATCAAGATAAAGAAATTTTTACAGATTTCAGAAATGTCTGACTTTAACTAGCTTAAAGTGACCGTGATAACTGGTTTGGAGTTCCTTTTAAATAATACTGCAATACCAATGCTTCCCCTTTGTCATTTTGAATATGCATATGCATATCAATAGCATATCAATATAATATCCAACAGCCTATTCTTTCCATAATTCATTTCTTTTTGCAAGTCACTCCTAGGAGTGTTGCCACTTCTCCATTTTCAGAATTGCCAGCCAAAAGTTGATAGAGAACATCAAATCAGGCATATGTCAAGTTTATTTAAAATGGCAGCTAGTCTGCTACAATATCAGAAGTTAAATCCTGCTGCCATTATTTTTGTTTCAAAAATATTGTAGAATATGTGATCAGAAATAGGTGTGCTATTATTTGTACTATTCAAAAATAAGAGAAAACTAGTAAAAGCTAGTTAGTTTATTCCCATTTTTCCATTATCATCAATAGGAGTATGTACTCCCTCTCAGGAAGGAAGGAAGGCCAATTTCCCAAGGAGTCAGCTGCTAGTTTAATTATTCATTTATTCATTAATTTATAGACCACTTGACTGTAAAAAAAAAAAACAGCAACCCAAGGCAGTTTACAAAGCTGGTGAGCTGTCACATCAGACATTGTCCACTGTACACTCCCCATTTAATCAACACCCATTGTTCATTCCTCATTCCCAGAGGCCTAACTGAATTTGAGCCACACTTTATTACCTCATTGGCTACTACGGTAGCTGGGAGAAAGTAGCCAGGCATCTGGTTGGCCACTGAGAGAACAGTTCGCTGGACTAGATGGGCCATTGGCATGATCCAACAAGCTCTTTCTTTGTTCTTATCTTTTTACATTCTTCTTGTTAATGATAATGTGATACCATAATAAAAATTAAAAATCTCAAATTACCCTTTATTGGCAAAGGTGCTCATTTGGGGCTCTGTACCAGTAAGGCAAGAATGCAGAACTGGGGAACCTTTTGGGAGTTTCATGTCAGCAGTGGGACATGACATTGTCACACTTGCAACACAAAATCAAGAGGTTTCTATACACAAACTCCATTCACCATCCAGGCATCATCACAGAGCGGGACCAGTGAAGGGTGTGGCACGAGAAAGGGGCAAGGCCTAGGAAGAGTCCTGAGGGCCACATTTAGCCTCCAGCCTGAGGTTCTCCACTCCTGCTACCTCCCAGAAGAGAATATGGTCCCCCCCTGCCCCTGTTTGAAATTATTATCTTTGCAACTATGTTTTCCTAAAGACTAACATTTAGGAAATGTCATTTGTCTGTTTTTTATTTCTTTCCTGCAGCTTGCGCCATCCCTTCCATTGCAAGAAGACTTTGTTTTCCACTGGAAGGCGATTACCCATTACTACATAGAGACATCAGGTAAGAGGCATTTATTTGCAACTTCAGCACACAATTCTGCAGATGGGAGTATTGTTTGTTACTTAAAAGTAATGATCTGGTAAATAATAAAATTAAGCAGGGAAATAGCTGGTGGGACCTGAATGTAACACTTCACAATAACTTTCAGAACGTATTCAGTGCTGTCAACACAGAGATTCAAAGTCTTTAGATGTTGCAATTCATTCCTGTTTGCCTTGTAATGATAGTTGTTTGTAGACAGTTGCATAAAAGGGAATAGCAAACTTGCTACTGGATTATTTATACTCTTGCCACATAGTGGTATAAATTATTTCCAGATTCATTATATAAAATTACTTCACACACGGGTTTGCTGATAAATGCAGTAGAGACCAATTAAGTTTCTTCACAACATTAAAACTTCCTCTCCCAAATAACACATTGGAAGTCTATACTCTATGTAGTTTCAGATTATCCTCAAGCATTTTGTGTCAAGAATTACATTGTTTCTGTCCTTTTTGTAAAGTTATAGCCCTGCATAGTTATATAAAATACCAAGTAGGAACTCAGTTCAGGCAGGGTCATCCCCCTTAATTTGAACAAGAAAGGCAATTCCACACATTCAACTCCACACATTCAAAGCTTAGCTGAAGTAACAAATATGTTTGTGATTTTTCTCTTTCTTTTATTACATGAGAAGTCAAGAGAATTCACACAACGCACAGCCATAAATTGGAAGAATGTGGGTGGGGCCATGTGGGCCAGCCACACGGCCAACCCACTCTCTGACAATGTGCCATAGCTACCTCCCCACCCCCAATCTTTGATCAGCATGAGAAGGGACTCTGTGTATGTACATCAGTATGGGTATAGAACAGGAGCGATAGTGCTGCAGAGCCACAACATTAACCTCCCATCACAGCATCGCTACCACTTACCAAGCAGGTTAAGGAAGCAATAAGGTCAGGCTGTGTGCAGGCACTGATAGGGAATGCCTGATTGTCTCTGCTGGTGTATCCATAACCCTGACCTCACCCATTTTGGTAAACAGAAGCCACACTGCTACTAAGAGAGTATTGTTGGTGAAGAGGATCTCCATGTTATTGGGCCAGATTCCCCTTTATATGGAATAGCTCTACATGCATACTAATGTATGTGCATAGAGCTCCATCATATTGCTGGGGGGGGGGGGGAGCAGAGAACTGGTGTAGCCCACACAGCCACACAAGCCCTCTTTGCATTCATTCAATAGGAAAAGTCAAATGAAAATGTGTTTGAGTATATGATCTTCATTGTAAGGTATTTAACTTTTATGCAGTGGCTCCCCACTTGTGGAATGCTCTCCCCAGGGAAGCTTGCCTGGTGCCTTCTTTACATATCCTTAGGTCCCGGGCAAAACATTCCTCTTCTTCCAGACATTTGGCTAATTAAACAATCTATGGCCTTTTAAACTGGGGGGGTTGGTATTGTTTTCGTTTGTTGCTATGGTATGTATTTTTGTGTTTTTATATTGTAAATGCCCTGAGATCCTCAGATGAAGGGCAGTGTAGCAATTTAATAAACAGTAGTAGTAATAATAGTAACAACAACTGAGACAGGAGACTTTATTTTAATGGAACCTTTTTCTCTAGATGACAAAGCTCCTGTGACAGATACCAACATTCCCTCTCACCTGGAGCAGATGTTGGATATTTTAGTTCAGGAAGAAAATGAGAGGGAGTCTGGGGAAACAGGACCTTGTATGGAATATCTACTACATCACAAGATCCTAGAGACTTTGTACACCTTGGGCAAGGCTGATGTAAGTATAGCTCCATTGCAGAAAGCTCAGGTCCTGTGACTGGATATAATCATGTGTACTTAGTTTGTGCGTACTGTTTCAGTAAACGAAATTTTGACTTGTCATATTTTTGCAGTACCTTTGAGAATAAAATAGTGTTGTATTACAAGTGGTGAAGAAATGCTGCTGTTGAAAGCAGAGGGCATAAGGACATGGGGTCATGGAAAGATCCTGGCAGTTGGCCAGAATGAAAGCTATTTTGATTGAGTAGTAGCTGAACATTTTCCAAATACATTGTATCCCTCTTCACTTGAAAAAATAACACTCCAAGGGTTGAAACTGCCGTGGAAAGCATGCACACATAATCTTTTCAAGGTTCTCCATCTACACACACACAAACAGAGAGAGAGAGAGAAACACACACACCAGACCACACCCATTTGGGTGTGAGAGACTACTGCTAGACATAAAAGAATGGACACTTGTATATCTTTGTGTTTATTTGTGTGCTGGTTTCCCACAAAACCTAAACCTGCTTGCAGTATATTGTATGAACAATAAGTGTAACACAAACTAAACAACTGCAAATGTTTGCTACAGATATAAAACAAGTGCATAGGATCTTAGTCTATGCTAGTTTGAAATGCTAAATTAACTGCATAATGTGCACTATAAAGGTCAGACCTTCTTAAGACCTTCAAGTATAAGGCGGTATAGAAATAAAATAAATAGAATAAAGATATAATTGGTCTAAGTGTTGTACCAAATCTCTGTATTGTAAAATGGATGAGATATTGGATGCATTTAATGTGTTTGTTACTAAACTAATGTTTCTAGACACCTTGTTGGTTTTGTTTGCCAGTTTCCACATTATGTATATTTCATGTTTATTGTATCTCTTTTTCTAGTGTCCTCCAGGCATGAAACAGCAGGTTTTATCCTTTTATACAAAGCTGCTGGGAAGAATACAACAGCCTCTTCTCCCACACATAAATGTACACAGACCTGTGCAGGTACTAAACTCTCTTTTTAAAGGAACACATTTTAACACCCAGATTATCGGGTGTAATATTTCAGTTTTGTTGCTTTAATATCTTAAAAAGCAAAATTTAACAATGTATCCTGATGTGGGCATTTTTATTGCAGTTTTATTTTCTTTAGTAGTACTATTAATAATAATATTCTCTTGAACAGAAATTAATCAGACTTTGTGGGGAAGTTCTGGCAACACCCACAGAAAATGAAGAAATCCAGTTTCTCTGTACAGTGTGTGCAAAGCTGAAACAAGATCCATACTTGGTTAACTTCTTCCTTGAGGTAGGTAGATCACACTGCTTGTTAACTGGCATTTTTTCCCCACCATAAAGGGAACTGAGTTAGGTATCTGTCAGGACCAGAGGGGCAGGGAATAAAACCTTTTGATCCCTGGAAGCTACTTCTACCCTGCTACTGGCTCCTGAGCCTTCCCCATCTGTTGCTTGTATGTTTCCAAGTTCTTTTGCGATTGCCAGGGCTAGAAATTGCTTTTCAAAAGAGAGTTGAAGTTATCGAGAAGAACTTTCTGACAGTAAGAGCTGTTCAACAGACTTCCATAAGAAGTAATGAACCCACCTTCCTTCCAGATTTTTAAGCAGAGGTTGGATGACCGCCTGTCATGGATGCTTTAGTTGAGATTCCTGCATTGCAGGGGGATGGACTTAGATGATCCCTTCCAAAACTACAATTCTATGATTCTATGACTTGTGCCAGAAAGCAGATTGTGTGTTTCTGTGGTGATATTACAGAAGCATAAAAATTGTATTTTAATATTTTGTTGGAAGCCACCCAGAGTGGCTGGGGAAACCCAGCCAGATGGGCGGGGTATAAATAAATTATTATTATTATTTACACAACAGTGCTGCATTTTTATATTTATATTTATTCTCTTCCCCTCTCCTTATTATTATTAATTAATGAAGTAAGTAATTATTCCTATGCCAAGTATATTTCTTTATGCTTCTTATTTTATCAGTTAGCATTCTCTGGTGGAGGTTTGCTTTTTGTTGTTGTTACCATCTCTGGAAGATTTTATTTATCTGGCATTCTTTTCTTAATCAGAGGAGATGCTTTCTGTATTTTCCCCTCTTCCACATAGAGAGGTGTACAGTCCCTTCCTGTTAAATTTGGCAACTGTTGCTTGTTCTTGCTATCCCCAGTGGTCTGGGAGTGAAGTCCCTTGATGGTGGTGATCTTGACTCTGAAAATATGGAGCTTATTTCATTAAACTTTCCTATTAGGTGATACAATACCCTGTCCTACATACTTCCAGGAGGCAGGTGAGCAGGTGGGCTTCAGAACTGCATGGACAGACCAGTGGATTTTGTCTGTTTTGCTGAGCTAGATGCAAAAGCTCTTTTATTTGAAATTCACTAACCCTGTAAAATGGAGAGAAAATGTGCCCTGTAGGGTTATGTGAATTAAATATCTTGTTGAAATTGGGTCTCTGGAGCTGCATGATATCATGTTAGCACCCTAGAAATCCACAGCTCTGGCACATGCTTCACCGGTGTGCTAACGCTGCGTATGTAGGAACTAGCATACAAACAATAGCACAATTTAAGCATCCTGCTGGCTGTATGCAACCCCTCATAGATTACACTACTTTTATATAGCCTTGTCAGGTAGGAACTAAATTTAATCTATGTGGAAACCAGGCTGGTTAGCAGAGAAGGTGTAGAGGCTGCAGGTCTTCTCTATGGATAATTAGTTGTCACACCTCCTCCTCTCCCCCCCTCCCCAATCTTTATATTGGGAATCATTCAATTATATTATATTACATTATAAAATAAATTACAGTCAAGAGCTGGAAGATTGTTTTCTGTGATGCATGGCATGTTGCATGTCCTTCCAGCACTTTTCAGGAATAAAAGTGAAAACTGACAGTAAAATATTTCTTAAGGCTCAGGGATAGTTATGTACATAATAGATAATTATACACGCTTATTTTAATAAAGGATTGCTATTCTATTGCTTATAAAAGATACTGTAGGATATGCATTTTCTTCATCTTCAGGGATAATTAACTGCATGCCCATACTTTCCCCCATCTCTTATAAAGACTGATACTTTGAATCCATATGCTCTGAAGGTCTTTCTAAACATCTGAAACTGATTTATAGGCAGGGGTGCAATTCTTCCATTTCAAGAAGAATATGAAGTGAGGAACATGGATCCGCGGGGAATGGTGTCAAGATCTTGTTAAGATGGCAGGTGCAGATTTCCTGAGAATAACTGCTGATTCTTAGAACAGCTTTTGTTTTTCTTAGACATATGCAGCTCCAGAAGCATGGTTAGATTGGAATCTGAAACTGTGTTTCCAGAACCACAGAGATAAGGTGGATTGGGGTCTTGACCTGAAAATTCACATTTTCCATTAAATGCATTTGTGTCAAAAGGTTGCCTCTATATAGTAAATGTGACATTCGTACTGAAGATTGAACAAATCAAATGGCATCCACTTACTTCAGTGGCTTGATAGAATAAGGAAAGGCCATTTTTTGCACACTTATTGAACTGACTAATACAGAAGTTGGTGTAAAAGGCAAATGTTAAATAATGGCTCCAGCTAGTGGGTTTACTGAGGTTCCTTTTTTATAATTTCTGTAAAGCCTGGTATGTAGGATTTGTGCAGCATGGTTGTTAAAGTCGTCATGTGCTTGTACATCTCTTGACCATTAAGAGTAAAGTCATCTGCCAAAGGTTCAAGTATTATGAATGAGATGTGTTTTATCTAGAAACCAAGGAACGGAAGAAGTAAGCCATGGTGGATAAATAGTCATTTTTTGCAAGGAAAAATTAATTCAAAGATAGAATGTAATAAATCAAAAGATAATGGCCGACGAAATTCAGCCCAAGATATATAATGACAATTTACAGGGTTGCCAGTTACTTAAACTTTGTCAAAATCCAGTTTAAATGCAGAACTTCAGCATCTAGATGAGATCTACAATGACCATTAAGATTTTGAAGCTTCCCAGTGCTGGCTGAGGTAAATGACGTCTCAGAAATTCAAATTCCGTTTTCAAACCCTGAGAGTCTTGGGGACAATCTTCACATATACATGTTTTAGTGATTAAGAAGTTGAGCTGCTCTAATCAGTTTCTTTGATTCTGTTTTGTTTCTTTTTCTGTTTTGTTTTTACTTTGTTTTGTTTAACCCTCCTTGTGTTTGTGCCTGCTTTATTTGGAAGCCTTGTATTTTGCTGTGTTTTCAGCTTCAGTGCAGGCGCCATTTTTATCTTTGTAATTCTCTTTCTGGATGTAACCCTCTTCAGAGCAAGCTAAAGGGGCTGGCTTCAAAAGGCGCAGCAAGCTTAATTACAGCAGACATGCTAAAAGGCCAAGATTCCGTGGTGACAGATACAGGACAGTCTGTTCAGCCTGGAGAGACATCAAGTGGAGCGGATCAAGCAGAGAGCGCAAATGACCTTCCTCAGCAGGCAGATGACCTGTCCACAAGTCTAGATGAATTAAACGTCCCTTTGTCCCCTGAGGCTTTGGCTGCCCATCCACATGGGGACTATAATTTGGTGGATTCTCTACTCAATCTCACCAAAAGCCCGGTGAGTGACTGGCAGAATTGTTTTTGATTTTAAGTGGGCATATGGGGGGGCCTGAAGGCTTTTTATTGATTAATCAGAAAGAATGGAAGGAATTATCAGCTGAGAGAGGCGCTGAAGGCCTCTAAAAACACCATCAGTGTCCCCAAACACACATTTTTAATTCAGTGAATATACTTAAAATATCATTATGGTAAATGTGGTGGGTATGTTTTTCTACTCTTCTAGCACATACATAATAAATGTTGCTTGGTGTGAAATCATCTGGTTTTGGAAAAATAAAATGTAATGCTCCCCCCTCCCCACTGCCCTGCTAAGCATCCCAACCTGGTAAGATGAGGACAGAACCTTGTATTGCAGGCTTCAAATGTTCAGGAAAACATTAGTATCACCAAAATTGTGAGGTGAGCTTTTATTTTTATTTAGTATACCTTTTGTATGTCCTGTAGTCCTGCGAGCTGATCTTCTACAGAAACTGATGTTCATCACCATGGTTTATTTGGGGATTGTTTCATTGGGTCGCTGAACTGTTGTCATTTTTCCTCCTTACTGTTATAATGCTTGCAGATTTATTTTTAACTGTCGCTCACAGGCTGTTAATAACTTGGTCATGGTCATGCCAAAAGTTGCTTAGTCTTGTTCTAAATAGTGTCTATTGAAATAAAGCAAACATATTTGCCTTAGTGGAGATAAGGAAACTACAGCGATAAAACAACTTTGTCAATTCATTAGGGTATATTATTATATATCTGTAGTAATAGCCATGTGAACCCTAATATTCTTCCTCTCCTATTTGAACTTGAAACTTACTGTATTCTGTCTTCTCTTATATGACAGGATGGCCGGATAGCTGTGAAAGCTTGTGAAGGCCTCATGCTCCTAGTGAGTTTGCCGGAGCCAGCAGCCGCCAAATGCTTAGCAGAGAGTACATGCTTGTGTGAACTGTTGACAGACAGGTTGGCCTCTCTCTACAAAGCCCTCCCTCAGTCGATGGATCCTTTAGATATTGAAACAGTGGAAGGAGTTAACTGGGGGTAAGAATATTGTCTCAATGGACCTTGAGCTACAGTTTATGCCTTGTGTATGTTTAAAAAAGCATTTCTAAAAAATACATTTACAGCACAACTTGTGCTTGAGGTGGCTCTCCAAAGAAGTAAAAACTTCAAAGCACCAAACTACAAGCGATATCTAAATGCTTAGGTTAGTCATGGAACTTCTAGTTATGCTGTGATGAAAACCAATAAATACTGAGCATATATATGCTTTTCTCACCCCTTCTTGTACTTCAGCTTGGATTCCTACAGCCATAAAGAAGATGCATCTGCTTTTCCAGGAAAAAGAGCCCTGATTTCATTTCTATCCTGGTTTGATTACTGTGATCAGCTCATTAAGGAAGCTCAAAAGGTTTGAGATGCCTACTTTAACCCTTTTCTATGTACAATCCAAAACAAGTTTAGAATATATTATTATTTTTCCTAAATTGGAAAGGGAGTATCACTGTGCCCTCTTATTTCAGACAACAGCTGTTGCCATGGCAAGCTCGGTGCGAGAACGTTTTTTTGTTGGCGTAATGGAACCCCAACTAATGCAAACGTGAGTAAGGCATTTGTTGGAAAGAGAGAGAGGTCTCCCCTATTTTTTATATGTACATAAAGGAGGAACCTATGTCACTTCCTTTAAAAATCCTTCTTGTGCTCAGTTCAGAGATGGGGATTCTCACGTCAACGGCCCTGTTGCATCGTATGGTTCACCAAGTCACTTCAGATGCTTTAGTACATGAAATGGTCTGCTTTATCCTTGGGGAGCGAAGGGAGCCAGAAAAACTGACAGACATCAACAGGCACCCATTGCGACATCGCTTAATTGAACACTGTGATCACATTTCAGATGAGGTAAGATATTATAATACCGCATAAGTACAGGGGTGACTGCCAACATGCTACGACCAATGTCATTGCATTTGTAAACAACTTACTAATGAGTGGATCTTTCAAGAGTTAGACAGTGGTTTGGGGGGGGGGTTTGAAGCTGTTTGAGTTGCTCATCTTCAGAGATCTGATATCAATGAACAAAATGTGTTGAAACCTACTGGGTGCTACTTCAGGGTCCATCTTCCACTGCTGCTTCCTCTAGGTCCTTCCATTCCCAATGAACTGGAAAATGCATTTTGAGATGCACTAAATAGTGCTGAAAAATCTGAAATAGTGCTGAAATATCTGAAAGTCCTGAGTTCAGAGGCTACTTCAACCATGAACTCTTGGGAAGAAAGGGGAGCTTTGTGATGTGGGGAGGGAGTTGCTACTTACCTGAGTCCAGGTGACAACATGTGCTCTTGAGGCTAATGCACTGAGGGTGGGAATGGCTCAGGACACTGTGAGGCCAGGTACTTCTCCCATTCTAGTACTTAGTTGGGTGAGCCACTACAGTTTCTTATGGTCCCTGTCTCATCTGCCAAGGTTGGGACTTAAAAAATGAGTTGACTGGGAAGGGGAAGATCGGCCTGCCAGCAATTCCAGAAGGCTGCATCTAGGAGCAGGCAGACCAACCTGAGGCCTGTACTGGTTGAAAGATTAGAGGCAGGCAAGGAAAGGATAGTTACGGGTTTGCTGTAACTAGCACTTCCTTTATGGTTCCACAGTGTGGAGATGCTTTGGTCCTGGTCTCCATAACTAGAGTGAGGACATTACAAAGTTGGATAGACTCCAAAACCATAAGTCCTTACAGCAAATCAGTCTCTCATGCAGTTGCTGTGAGGAGGAATGTATTGTCAAGTACTATAGCAATAATATGTTATGGGGGCAGGGACTTTATTTAAACTGTGTGCTTTGCACACTTCATGGGTGTAGGGCTTCAGAGTATTTCATTAGCACATCTATTTGAATAATGAAAAGTACTTCTCCTCATGTGAAACCTCTGTCTGCCCCAAACCGTAAATAATAGCTCTCTGACAAACCAGAGCCTCTTTTCCAAGTGTTGATTGCAATAGGTAAGGGCCATACACATAGTTTGGGTTGATTCTTTTGTCTGTTACTCCGTTGGTTACCAGCAGTTTATAGCACTGAGAAAGTATGTGTGTGGGAAAACATTTATTATTCATTAAAGAAATGGAATACTTTTTAATAGGTGCAACACTATAATAACATACTCAGAATCTCTGCTTTGTGGGAACCTGTTTTTATGTCTTTTTTATATATTGCAGATCAGCATAATGACACTCAGAATGTTTGAGCACCTTTTGCAAAAACCTGATGAGCACATTCTTTATAACTTGGTTCTTAGAAATTTAGAGGAGAGGAACTATACGGAATATAAACCACCCTGTCAAGAAGATAAAGATGTGGTGGAGAATGGCCAAATAGCAGGAGCTGTGTATGTTCTTTTCTGTGCCCCCCTTTTCTTCCTCTGTGTCATTGGAGAGTTCTGCAGTAGCTGAAATGTCTTTCAGCTGTTGTTATCAAAGCAAAGATTACATTTTAGGCCGGAGGGTGTATGTATTTTAGTATACTGACATAATGTTGAATCTAGAAATAAAGTTACGGTGTTAGGCTTTATACTGTGTATAGAACTGTTACATAACCCAGCATGTTAACAGTCTGCTGCTGTTTCACTTCTCACCCATCCATGCATCTCAAGTTCCAATCCTAAATACATTTTCTAGAGTGCAAGCCCTATTGAATACAGTGGGACCTGCTTCTGAGTAAACAAGTGGAGTTTAACTCTTCTGGTAGTTGGCTTAAGGGGTCTATGGAGTAATTCCTTCGTTTTTGCATGTGTTCAACACAAGAGTGTAAGGAGCTGCTTTGTATCAAGTCCATCTAGCTCTCTATTATTTACACTGAAAATGACAGTGGCTCTCCAGAGCTTTAGACAAGACTTAAACACAAATTAGGCTATCCTCCCTTTTTGACTGATCAGCTTGATGTCTTGCTTAAGGATATGTAAGCCCATTTGTCTTTGAAATTTGGGTAAGATTCAAAGCATTTGTTGATTCACTTGTGTGGCTTTAGAACACCCAGAACTTGAATGTTGCCTTGGCTGCTGCAGTATTATTTAACAATACAACAAAAATTCATAAGCCCCTTTCATAAAATTAGAATATATGTTTCCTTGTTTCATTTATCTATGCATTCTCAGTGAACACTAGTTCATGTTAATGTTCTCTAGTTCCATGTCATGCCATTATTTCAGTAAATAAAAGTTGTTTAAAATAAAAAGAAAAACGGCACGATCCAAGGAAGTGTGAAACTAGTTCTGCATGCCCATGGGGCTTTGGGTTTCAGTTTCTAAAAAAGCAGTCCTTAAGCCATATTGCTAGTTATTTTTTGAGACATGCTTTAAAGACAGTTTGTGATTTGACATTAGATCATGGGGAGGGGTCTTGCAGTTGAATGGGAAACAAGGCAAAAATCCTATTTGATGCCTGCAAGCCTAAAGCAGCTCTTTGGATCCTAGACATAGATTCAGAAAGTGACTAAATTTCAGTGCTTTTAGAGAGTAAAACAAAAAATGTTTCTCTCCCCTTTTTTGCTGCAAATTCACAGAGATCTAGAAGAAGATCCGTTATTTACGGATATTTCTCCTGATACCATGTTGTCAAACCAAGAGTGGCTCACTGCTTCTCCACCTGCCAGCCCAGATCATCCAAAAAATGATGGGAAGACAGAAGTTCATAAAATTGTAAATAGGTAAGCTGAACCTAAAATTTTTTGTAATAACTACAGTATAATTTTACTATTCATTCATCTTTGTACTGGTTATGCTGTGACACCACCCATTTAGCAAGCCGAGTTGTAAGGTTGATGGAATGACCTCACTATACACTTTGATCCCATCTGGCATGGGACTTATATTTCAGGGATAGCATGTATGTGCAAAAATGCATATATTTGAACTACCCCCTTGGAGCCATCCCCGTGTGAGCATCTTTAGCTTTCTGGAGCAGAACACCGAGCCGACTCTCTGACTTGTTTACTGTGCTCTAGGATGCTCTTGTGAGATCTTGTGGGGCTGTCCAAGTTTCACAAGAGAATCCCAGAGCCCAGTAAGCAAGGTGGAGAGCTTAAAAGCACTCTCCATGCCCAGAAAACCATGAAGCAAATAGAACTTTTAAGCTCTCTGCCTTCCAGGGTTTTAATTCAACTGGTTGGCTTGAAATCGCCGAAGTTAAATGTGTGCAAGATGAGATTGTACTGTACTATGCTAGTTGATATATAGCATTTTAGTTTCCCAGGAGTTCAAACAGGAATGTAAAAAGGTGAGCAGATTAGTGATCACCATCCTGCTCTGATGAAGATTGAGACCAACGTCTTGTGTGGCAGAGACACTGCCACTATTGTGGTGTGTGAAAGGGGGAGAGAGAGAATGGGGGGTGAGTAAGTGAGGAAGTTTGTGAAGGTAGAGCAAGTGCAAATTAACAGGCTAAATGGAAAGTTATGATTCTGTTCCACCTGAAATATTTGACCTTGTGCTCCTAACCTTATTTCATACATTCAAAAATAGTTCTTCAGTCTCAGTATCTTAGCTTAATGAAGAAATAACTGTTGAGTTGTCATCGACTGCATCATGAAATTTTATAAAACTATGTGTGAGATGGGTGCCAAAGAAAATATCTCAGTAGTGCATGTGAAACTATAAACTAAAGAGTTCGGAGAGAAACACTCAAGAGAAGAGAAATGTCATTAGGTGATGTTCCTTTCCTACAGTGTCCAGTAAGGAAAATCATCTCAAGGTTCTTTTGAGTTGTGTATATACATAGGTTTTGTTGCAAAAAAGATCACACTATTGTGTTATGTGCAAAGCTAAAAGCAAGTTAGACTAAGAGAGTTGCTGCTTCTCTCCCCGCCCCACCCACCATCCCCGATCAAGACCTGCTCTTCTCCAGCAGGTAAATTCCTGCTCTGTTTACTCAGGCACAGTATTCATTAGACTTCGCAAATATTGAAACAGCTATTAATTATGTTATGCAGAATTTTCAGATAGGAGACCTAAATTAGATATTAAGGCAGGATTTCTACATATCTTAGTAATTAACTTGTGTAAACCAGAGTAAACAGTGAAATTTTCAAACAAAGGTGAAAATAGGCAAAAACGTTAAGAATTTTAAATCACGCAATACTTTTTTTTTTTACAGTGACTTAGTAGAAGGGTTAAAATTAGGCTATTAGCTATTGTTGAGTGGAATGATTTACAGTCATTAATGGTGCACAATTTTTTGTTGTTGTTTATTTGTTATTTTATATATGCACTTTGGGGCCCTAAAATGTTTTCCCAAAATGACTTTATATTTATTATCATTTTTTGGATTTCTTATCCACCCTTCTCCAGAAGGTCTCAAAGCGGGTTGCAGGGTCAGAAAGAGCTGCACATTGTTGGAGGTGGGGCTACTAGACTGCCATTGCCACCCTTTCTACACACTCTTTCACACAAGTAATACATGAAGGGGACTAGTATCTTGTAACTTTTCCCTGTTTGATTGAAGAACAGAAACGATGAGCGTGGCTGAAAACAAAATGAAAATAAGCTATATTTAGTGTAGCACTCCACTTGTTAGATGGAATAGCAAGAAATGCAATAAGCACTCTATATTTTACTCATTGTTTCTAAAGTTATGATAAAATGAGAATTGTTTTTACCCCATACTGCAGGGGTTGGCAAACTAAGATCCGTGGGCTGGATGTGGCCCACTGGGCTCGTTAATCCGGTCTGCAAACCTTGCAGATCCTGCCACCCGCTCAGTCAGTCCCCGCGCTAAACCAGCATGGCGTGGAGGCCTCACCGCGTGGGGACTGACTTCTGCGATGCTGGCGCGGCTTTGGATTGGCTGCAGGAAGCTCCTGCAGCCAATCCGAAGCCGCGGACGCCTCTGGGTGGGGGTGACGCTGGAGTGGCTTCAGATTAGCCACAGGAAGCTCCTGCAGCCAATCTGAAGCCACGGACACCTCTGGGCGATGCCCCTTCCTTCCCACTGAGGCGGCTGCGTATTGCAAAGAGCTGAGTGGGAGGAAGCGGCAGCAGTGGGGAGGCTGCCTCTGCCACCCAGGCCAGCGGCATGGGCTCTGCGCCCCGTGGACCCCTGGCCAAAGCAGAGGACGACAATGCTGCCAAAGATGAGGTGCTGGCGGCAGCTGCAGCATGAGTGGTGGCAGGGTGGGTCCTTTTGGGGGGGGGTTGCTTTCAGGAGAGGGTGGGTCCGGCCCCCCACAAGGTCTGAGGGACAGTGGACCAGCCCCCTCCTGAAAAGGTTTGTTGACCCCTGCCATACTGTGTCCTGCTACTGTGCTATCTGAAATATGCTGGAGTCATTAACAAGGCAGGGTTCTCTTGCTGTGAAAAATTTCAGTAGCCAGATTGACAGAAATGCCTCCACTGATTTTTTCATCTGTCTTCATTGTACAGAAGTCCACATAGCCGCTTATGTCAAGCGAGGGCTTAACAATGTTTGACATATCTATTGCTGCCATGATGAAGGAACAAATTTATATTGACTTGCTTTTTGTTTCCTGCTTTACTTGTTTTTGTTTTCAGTTTTCTCTGTCTTGTACCGGATGAAGCCAAATCTTCCTACCATGTGGAGGGCACAGGGTATGATACCTACCTCAGAGATGCCCATAGACAAGTAAGTGACAGAAGGAAAATGCTGTTTGGTGGCTGATGCAGTTGCAGATGAGGCAACGCCATTTTGCAGATAGACAGATAATAATAACACGTTATCACCCATCTGCTGAAATATAATACTGTCGCTGAAGTGCCTCTGTATAAGAGAACACAAATGTAGCTCAGCTTCTCTGTTGTGTTCAGGTGCTTAGCAACAGAGCATCCTGTCTCTCATCATGCTTTCACTCCATCATATTCTAAAACATTCAGGCTCATTTCAACAGTCCTTTGGTCTGCTGAAAGTTCATTGAAATTTAAAATGGGAAACCAAGTATTGGCCATATATCATTCTCCAGTAAAGGTAAAAGGTAAAGGGACCCCTGACCGTTAGGTCCAGTCGCGGACGACTTGGGTTGCGGAACTCATCTCGCTTTATTGGCCGAGGGAGCCGGGGTACAGCTTCCGCGTCATGTGGCCAGCATGACTAAGCCGCTTCTGGCGAACCAGAGCAGCACACGGAAACGCCGTTTACCTTCCCACTGGAGCGGTACCTATTTATCTACTTGCACTTTGATGTGCTTTCAAACTGCTAGGTTGGCAGGAGCAGGGACCGAGCAACGGGAGCTCACCCCGTCGCGGGGATTTGAACCGCCGACCTTCTGATCGGCAAGCCCTAGGGCATGGGTAAGCAAACTAAGGCCCAGGAGCCAGAGCCGGCCCAATTGCCTTCTAAATCCAGCCCGTGGATGGTACAGGAATCAGCATGTTTTTATATGAGTAGAATGTGTGCTTTTATTTAAAATGCATCTGGGTTATTTGTGGGGCATAGGAATTCATTCCCCCCCCCCAAAAAAATATAGTCTGGCCCCCCACATGATCTGAGGGACAGTGGACCGGCTCCCTGCTGAAAAAGTTTGCTGACCCCTGCCCTAGGCTCTGTGGTTTAACCCACAGCACCACCCGCTGTTGGTTATGTTGACCTTTCTTTACCTATGCAGCACTGTGAACTATATAATAACACCAACCTGTTTTGCGGGGACTGGGATGCGGAAACAAGTGGCAGAACAGAAATGTCTTTTTTATAAATAATAGAAATCAACCCTATATTGTGTTCCATGTATAAGAGTCCTAACTTTGCTTTCCAAGTGATGTGTTGTGGTGTATTATTTTGGAGGGCATTGCGTTTTTATATTGCTATTGTCTAAAAACATAGAGATATTTTGAAGGATTGTAATCTTTCTGACAGTGCATTCAGCCATGTCTGCTAAAAGGGGGAATGTGTGTGGGATAATTCACAGGAAATAACTGTGTGTTGCATAGTTATTACAGTGGTACAAATGGGATGTACATGGTGCAGTAATATTTTTATTTCAGTTAAGATAATCATACAAATTGGACACCTTTTTCTCTAAATTGCCTTTATATTTATCTGTAGTCTGTTGTAGCAAGGTCTTTGACAGAGGCAAGTTGCTGTGGAATAGCTATACGAGTTAACACAGCCGTGATTTTAGAGATAAAAGCTTAGTGCAAGTAATGTGCAGCCTCAGGCATGCAGTTTTGAAGTGGATTATAGTGCTGAGAAACAGGAACTTTACTGTTCCTATTTAGAAACCTCAAACACATTCCGCTTTCAAAAAGTATAGGTCTCCTTGGTCTGAAGACAAACAGAGCTTAATTGTAACCTTGTAAATAACATGCAAGTGCTCTGAGTAAATGTAATGGGATGGTTAAGGGAGCTGAAAAAGACACACAGTCACATAATATTCAGAAGGTTATACTCCCAGAAACAAGTGTAATATGTGCCCAGTCAAACATAAAGTATTTCATTTTTATTCTGAGTTTGACTTTTTTGTCTTTCCAAATACCTGATAGAAAAATATAAGGCAGATAAGGGAAGATGGACGAGCCATGAGCCTTTAGTATGCTAAACTTGAGTGGACAAAAGTATATGTTGCTTCTTTGGTAGTGTCTATTTGAATGAAAGAAGAAACTGAGTACCATCAGAATTGACTCAGGTGCCAGTGGTCCCAGTATTTTCACACCTGCCCTGGCCATCTAAATGGCTGTCACATGGAAGATGTAGCAAGCTGAACCAGTGGTTACAAGAAAATAGATTCTGACTAAATACATGTATCAGGAAGAACTTTGACAGGAAGCAGTTTGACAGTGGAATGGACTCCCTTGGAAGGTGGTGGAAGCAGAGGTTGGATGGCCATCTGCCATGGATGTTTTAGTTGAAATTTCTGCATTGCAGGGGGTTGGACTTTGGAGCTCCCAACTCTACAATTCTATAATGAAGCATAGTATTTCTACATGAAAAATGTTTCTGAATAAAAGGCTACTTGGGATGGGATACTACAAATCTCTGTGAAAGGCAAAGCATTTAAAAGCATGTAACTTTGCCAGTGTACGTTGTAATAAATATCCATTAAAATTGGACCTCTTCTTTAGTTCACAAAGGAGTCAGCCATTTGTTTTCTGCTTTCTCTAGTTCCGTGATTATTGCGCCATATGCTTACGATGGGAATGGCCGGGCTCTCCCACGCCCTTGGAAAAGTGCAATTTAGAAGCTCCATTCTTCGAAGGATTTTTCCTAAAAGTTCTGTTTGATAGAATGGGCAGAATTCTCGATCAGGTAAGTCTGCAGCTCTAGATCCTTTTGTTTCTGACCTGGATGGTTTTCACAGAGATGTCCATATCATGGAAATCTGGCAGTATGAAGGTAAACAGTATTCTGGGTGGCTGTTAGCCTATTGCAGAGGTAGCCAACACGGTACCTTCCAAATGCTCATACAATGGGCCATGCTGGCCAGAGATGATGGGAGTTATAAGCCAAAACATCTGGGCAGCACCAAGTTGGCTACCCTGGGGAAGGAAGCGAGCTGCCTACCTCTTCTGTCTTTTCATCCTAGACTCTAAAGGGCACTCTAAATAGTAAAATAAAGAATTAAAAACACTTTCTAAAAAAAATAACCAAATGAATATGATGTGCTCCTCTGAACATTGTTTATCACAATAAAATGAGCAGATGTTTATGCCTTCGCCATCTGACTTCTAAAGCCGCTTCTGGTGTTCCATTTTTTTGTTGCTGATTATAAACTGGCAACAGAAGAAACTCTTTGTAATATAAGCAAGAGGCCCATGAGCAGTAAAGAAGGTGGCTTTGCATGTGTCATGAGTACATTTCATGTATGTTTTTACAAACAGCAATGTGCAGTGGCTTTTAGGTATACATGATTATGAGAAAATAGATACATTCTTAACATACCTGATCGTGTATTCCCTTCCAGCTACTGTTCATCCAGTACTGGAACATAGCTGGCATGGAAAATGGCTTGCAGGGGTGGGATCGGGGTGGGGGTGAGGGTGGAGGCAGGGTGACCACCACCCTCTGCTCGAACACACCTTCTGTTTCTGAAGTCACATACTTCAGCTACTGCTTTACACATTTGCAGCAGTCCCATAAACTTTGTGTTAGATCATGTGCTTTCTATGCAGCCTCTGTTGTGGGAACACTTCCTAGAGCTAAACCATTTCCAGCAAAAACAAAGTCTAAGAAACGGTCAGGGAGCACACGGGTGGAGCCTATGTGTTGCCTACAGAAGATTGCAAGCTCAGTCTGGCTTCTTTAGTAAAAAAAAGTTGTGGTAGTTGACAGGGAAGACCTCTGCTTGAAATGCAAGATTGCTGCTCTGAATCAGAGTAAACGCTGGACTAGAGGAACATATAGTTTGACCAGGCATAAGGCAGTTTCTTGGGTACATGTGTTGTCCTGTGCTTAAAGAAATGGGTCTGCTCTAGGACACATGGTCTGACTTCCACCAGACCACTCTTGTGGCATAAAGATTTCAACCTGAAGCCAGCTTCTGTCTGATTCTTTCATATCTTCACCAGGAAAATGTAACATTGAAGTAGCTTCCATTAAACACCCATTCTACACATGCCTCATTAAAAATGAATATTGGATTTGAGGCTTAAATTCTGAGTCTCAACAGCTTTATGAAAACTAATCTTCATACATATGAAAATCTGATCTAGGTGATGAGACCCTAATAGTAAAGAGGAAAAGAAGGGAAAAAGTCCTTACCTAAAGATTGTCAGGGGAACAAGTATCTAGTAGTATTGCAAAGAAAAAAGGCTATGGGTTATTGTGGTAGGGTGTCAATTTGATATAGTACCTGTCAGAATGACAAAATTTCCGTATCAGTCAAGCATGCTGCTGTTCTCTCTCCTGTGTCAAGGGCAATAGCTGATGCACAGAGAATTAAAATATGCAGTAGGATGTGGAAATTGCTAAACCCCTCACCTACTAAAAAAATGTTGAGCCAAAATGATTTCCCCTCCTTTAGGGATAAATTGCTTGAAAATGCTAATGTAAGCCAGGAATAGAAGACTGTTGATGTAGTCAACTCAAATTAAAAATGGCAAAACTTGATGCCATTAGTTAGCTTAACAATTATGCCACATAACGGACCTCGATACAATTGAATATAATTTATCTGGCATAGAATCCTGATTTTTCTGCAGGCTTTCTTAATGCTACATGGCATGTTTATATGGCACAGGCGACTTGGTTTGTACAAGATAAGTTTCTTCTGCTTCTGCTCCCTTATACATCCACCACTGCAATTCTGCAAATGAAGCCTCCAAATTACACAATAGTGCCATTAAAAGACATTGCCATTAAGTTGGCTAAAAGCCACTTGCAGCCCTTGGGGTGAGATCCAACTAAGTAATATTTAAAGTAGACCCACTGAAATCACTGAACAACTTAAATTCACTGTGTTTTCTCATACCAGTGTTTTGATTACTGTGAGAGTAATAGAGTAGTTAATTCTAGAGTGTCTGGGTCCTGTTGGAGTTCTCTGATTTTTTTCCCTTTCCCTTAAAAATCTTCTATTTGGGCAGAAATTGTTCCATCCAATTAATAGAAAGCGATAAAAAAATTACAACAGAAAAAGGCTTGGCATAACAGCTATATTGCAGTACCATGGGTTGCCACTGGATGGCCTGCAAATGTCTATTTCACTTTGCTGAATGAAAGAAAATGAGAATATAAATGCAGTTAGAACCTTACTAGATGTGATGGAGTAGACTTGTGAACAGTATATTCAGGGGAGTGGGGATGAGATGAATTTGTTTAATGCTTTGTGCCATAATATCTTACACACACGTTTTTGGAGTATGTCTTTGTTTCCTGCCATGGGGAGGAGGATTTAAATTGGAATATAGCAGGTGGGGGGAAGGATTTTTAAAAACAGAGAGCAGCATCCCCAAACACACTGTGCAGTGGCTTTTAGAATTTTTTTTAAATCATCACAGGAGATCTATGAACTGGATCTCCCATATTGTATGTAATTTCACTCTTCAAAGTATCATCTTAAGCAGAAGTATTCTTCCTCTTAATCTCATGCAGCAGGAGGGAATGCCTCTTCTTGGGCTGTCTTTGCAGTAACATGCATGCATAATTGCTGGACAAAGAAATCGTGGTCCAGGTCACATGTAATGGCATATCATACTTTGGGGCAATTTCTGGGTTATATGTATTTTATACTGTTGTTGTCTGTTGTTGTCTGACTTTTTGTGTATTGCTTAGAAATTTCTGGATATAAAGTGATTTTAAAATTACGTAAATAAATAGAAATAACCCATCTTTAATGGTTTAGCATGAGCAGCGTGGAGATCACTCCTGCTTCACTCCCTCTGTCTACCCGGTGGCAGTAACAAACCACAATCCCCGTCTTAGCATTGCATCCAAATAGGGAATTGTGGTTCATTTCACTCCCAATAAACCATGATTGGTCAGCAAAGAGCAATGCTTGGCTTGACATTATGGATGGTCTAGACTAGAGCAAAACAAGCTATGTTTCCTGGTTTGTGCATGACACTAAGCCAAGAGAGCATGGCTTGTTGCTCCCACAGGCCAGAGGGCAGGAGCAAAACAGGATCTTTTTGTGCACTCACGGCAAACCATTAAATTGTGCTTCACCTTGATGTGTGAATGCTGCCAATGCCTTTTTCTTTGAAATGTTTATACATTTAATTGATTCATGAATCCAAACTCCTATGATTAATTAATAAAAACCTATTTACTTGGGTGATGGCCCTAAATACTACTTGCTGCTCTAGCAGCCAAGGCCTAGTGCTGCTTTTACCCTCAGTAAGGCTGTACCCAAAGGATGGTGCTTCATATTCTTGGTGGTTTTGGCTCAGTCAATCTGTAATTGTAACTATAAGTACATACCCTCCGGGAGCAATTATGTCTTTTTGGCTGCCAGGCAGCTCACAATCAACTTCTTCTTGTGTATTTGTTCCAGTATGGCTAATATTGATGGCCTTTTGCCAGTTGCTTTGTTTCAGTTCACCGTGCTGGTTATACGGTTCGGTAGGCTGTAAATAATCAGTCCACTACCACCCAGTCCGGGGAATTCTTCTTTCAATGTTTCTGGCATCAGATTGCTCTGACACATTATGGAGGGCGAGGTGGGCTTTTTTGCTAGTATTCAGAGGGAGAATAGGCTGCGAAATAACATGAAGAAACAATAAGCAGAAGAAAGTAGGAGAGAACTTGAAGGTCAGCTCATGAAAGGGGTTGTACATTTGGAAAACAGTTTCTATTTCCAGGTTTTTTAACACCGTTTTCCCAAGATAAAAAAATTCTCCACTTTTAGCTGTAGGTTTTAAAATAGAGGAATAAGGTCGGGGAGCAGTCCCAAGACATACTGATCTCTCTGTGCTGGTCCCAATCTGCCATTTAGATTGCAGGAACTGAAATGACCACTATCACCAGTATGGTTTGCAGGTGTCATGTATACTGAATTAGCATGCCCGACACACAAATAGCCCCTGCCTATAAAACAGTAGTCACAGCTGTTCCATCGCACACCTGCCTTCCCCTTTATGTTTGCAGTTTGAGAGCACATGAGATCGAAAATTGTTCTAAACAAAAGAAACAGAGAACACATCAATTGACTTTCCTAGGGTTATGTAATGAGTTTTGGGGCTTGTGCAGGAAGCTTTGATATTGCTTGCACAAGATATTTCTAACAATGTGCCTCACATTGGCCATCACATGCTGCAAATCTGATGGCCATCACATGCTGCAAGTTTTGCATTTTGTAAACCCCTAAACTATACTGCACAGAATATAAACATATGGAAAACCTTTTTTTTATTTTTTTGCTTTTTCACACAGCCATATGATGTCAATTTACAAGTCACGTCTGTGTTGTCCAAGCTCGCCCTGTTTCCTCATCCACACATCCATGAATACCTTTTGGATCCTTATGTAAACCTAGCCTCCGGATGCCGCTCTCTTTTTTCAGTCATAGTCAGGGTAAGTAAATGAAGAATATTCAACTTAAACAGTGCCACAAAGTATCTGTGGCTGATTAACAAATGATGCTAAGGCACCTTTCAGATGACTGACCTATTTTTGTAATGCAGCTCCTCATCTTTCAGTTAGGGACCAGCCAAATCCAAATAAAAAGTGCAATCTTGTACCTCCCTACTCAGAAGTAGGTACCACTGAGTTCAATAGGACTTAGTCCCATGTAGGTGGGTATAGAATTGCAGCCCACTCCTGCTTATGGTATATTTTCCTTGGAACAGCTGCAATCTCCAAGTAGAAAAAGTAACATTTTATGGACCTTGTACGACAAACCATTAGTTTTTCTTGCAACGAGTGAGCAGTTTTTGCAGGGTAATTACATCAAGCACAGATCATACTTTATACTTCGACAGATATGATTATGTGGGGGGGGGGGGAATGGAACATATTATGTGTTCCTGACCAGTGTGTGATGCAGGTTTTCTGGGAAATTTTCAATTTTAAAATTTCCTGGGAAGTTTTCTGATGAAGTAAATAGTGTGTGATCTTATTTAGCATGTTTGTTTGACTTCTGTTTTGTAAACAGAGCTGAAAACACTTACAGTCTCAGGTGAAATAAGAATTTTAGCTTTGGCTGTGCAGGTCAGATCAAACCAGTTAGATATATTTGTAGCTGCAGTTTTTGCTTGATTGTTATGTGTATTTGTGGTTTTATATTACTTACCTGCTTACAGAGTAATAAAACATATATGTACTTTCTCGCACACTCTAGGGAAAGTAACCTGTAAAACATGAACTGACAGCTTTGAATCAAGCTTGCCTTATGTATTGCCATTCATTTATTGTTATTTATTATTATTTTGAAACACTGAATTTTTAGAAATGGAATATTTTCTGCAGAAAAATGAAGACATGGAAAGTGTTCCCTTTTGAAAAAAAATTTCTCCCACATCTCTGTTTCTGATAGAATTTAGACTGCTAAACACTGAGCTGGCAGCCCTGGAGGGTAACGCCAATAGCTTCCAGCACTAACTTGCTCTTTGCTTCATTTTGTTCAACGCTCTCATATGCACGACATGCAGGTTGTTGCGGATCTCATGGTGAGGATCCAGCGCATACCCGACTTCACACCTAAATTGCTGCTGGTCAGGAAGCGTCTCCTTGGCTTAGAACCTGAAGGGCCCATGTAAGTATCTTAATGACCAGCCTATTCCAAGAGGCACCATGTATGACTTTCTAATAATTCCTCATCCTATCTCCGCAGTGTTGACCACATGACATTACTAGAAGGTGTAATTGTATTGGAAGAATTTTGTAAAGAGCTGGCTGCAATTGCATTTGTGAAATACCATGCCTCGTCCACGCCGTAAAAAGCTGCTCCGAGCATCTTGGCTACGAGATTCAAGCAGAAAAGACTGCTAACTTCCCAGGCAGGAGAACAGAAAGCAAAGCCTTGGCATTCATTTGGAGGACTCATATGGGACACCTTCAAATTGAAATACTAAATTCATTGGTAGTGACCATATGGGAGAGGAAAATGGATGTTCAACCTACAACGCAATCAATGGGATATCACAGATCACAACAAGCTCAAAGAGCTGCACACATGAAGACTTAAGTTTAATGGTTTTCTTATTTTAATAACCTTCTAGGAGGTAGGAGTTTTTATATACTTTAGGGTTCCTAGGCTTTTAAAAAAATACATTTGTTTCATAGCTGAGGTGTGTTTTATCCATTTAAATGAAAACCAGTAAGTGATTAAAGCATTGTAAAGTATTTAAATAAGAAGTTGTAAATGCACACACAGCTAAACAAATGATTTTTCTTTGTGTATCTTTCATGTTGAGTCCTGTTCATTGTGTTGTTCCAGTTGATCACTGATTATTATTATTTTGTTACACAAAAAAAGAGGTGACCACAAGTATACTCAAGTATTGGTTTTCCTTGAATCCTTGCTTATTCTCCTTTGTTATGCCGCATAACTTTATTTGCCTTCTGTTTTGTATTGGAGCCCTGGATTATTTGATCCAAATGCCCGTTTACAAAAATGCTAGTATTACAGGTCACTTTATAGGGCTTTTAAAATTCTTTTTTATGATTAGTTGGCTGAAGAGTATCCTGTGCCTTGATGATTGGCAGTATCATTGTTTTGTGCTTTTCAGATATGTTATTACTTGGCTAATTTGAATGACTGAAGCGTCCAAGCCAAGGGGCAGCTGGGTCTGATACCAATTGTCATAATGCATATAGGCTGAAATTCTCTGCAGGTTGTTGCATGCTTAGTTTTCAGTTTTGTGATCTTACTGTTTGCAACAGGGATCCATTATAAGCCAAGGAGAAAACAAGATCCCTTCATTTTGCCATAGTCATAAAATAGATTCCTTTGCCAGACAATCTGAGCTAGAAGACTAGTAAGAGGAAGGAGCAGTTGAACCACCTCATTCTGCCAGTGGTCTCTCCCTTTCTTTCTTCTGACTCATATCTGCCAGTTCTTCATAGGCTGAAAACTCCAAACAAACATGTTGTCTACCCTGGATTTAATATAGTTTTTCTATAATCTTTTTGTTCTCAGTAGAAAACAAGGAGAGGCAGATATGGGGTGGGAGTGCCCTTCCTCACCCATTTGCCGTTAATTGACATAATCCTATGGTATTAACAACACATAATTTGATTCCTAAACAGTTGTTCCATTAATCTCATTCTTGGGTATTCAGTGTAATTTTTTCAGGCGCATAACCTTTTAACACAGTTGCTGCCTGCTTCAGATATTGTCAGGGTTGATGTAAATGTGGTTGAATTTTGCTCCAGTGATGTAAACTCTGGTTTGTACCACAAGAAGTTCTAATGATACAGAAACTTGCTGAGCATGAAGCCCAAGTGTTGGAAAGTGGGATAATTTCGTTATATTGGCAGGCCTCTGTGGTGGAAACACAAACATCAAAAACTGTGGAGCAAAATTTTGAGCTGCCTTTATTATAAATGAGATATGGCCAAGGAGCTGCCTGACAGAGTATATTCATCTGTACTCTGTGATCAAGATATTTGCCTCCCTAGTTGAATAATAGCACATTGATTTTTTTAATGTTTTTGCACCAAAGTTACTGAATTTGACTCACAAATACAACTAACTAAACTACACGTAAGTCTCAGAATTTTCTTCTCGGGAAGAAAATTTTCAGATAGATATTGGGTAAGAAATTATAAAATAAACATTCATGGAAGCGGGCCTGAACAGCTTTTTACATTTTTTGCATTGCAGGTAGCATTTTAGAGAAATCCTTTTGGAATCCCACAGAAGGTGATGATGGTTCTCTAATGATATTCCAAAGTAAGTGGGAGGCAGACTTAAGTTTTGGTGTTCAAAAGTATAAGGGAAAAGGTTTACTTAAGCTAACTGTGTAATTAGCTATTCATGATAGCCAAAGTTATTCACACGATGCTGGATTGAATTATAAAAACAAATAAATAAAAATGATACAGGATACATCTATTAGTGCAAGCAGGATATCTAACATTAAAGTTCAGTTTGCTTTTAGAAACATCAAGATCCAAGCACATACAGTTCTCTTGTTTTCAGGATGCTTTTAGAAACATCAAAATCCAAGCTTGATTGCACATAGCCTGCATATTCAGGAAGTTCTTTTGTTTTCAGGGTGTAACCCTGCTGATGTCATTTGAAGACACCAACATTTTCCCATTCCCTTTTTGTGATAATACCTGGCACAAATTTAGGAAACGCTTTAACTCTTTCTCTTGGCATCATAATTGTTCTCTTGAACCCATAAATTGATAGCAGCAACCTTTTTATTTTTGTAAAAACAATTGAATTTTCCTTCCCAAATGGAACTTGTTTAACGTTTTTACAACTTGTTTTCATGCACTTTTATTTTAAAGGCTAGTTGGGCCCTTGTTTGAATTGGTTGAATCTATGCATGTCATAACTACCCCTATTCTGATGTGTCTGAGTGTGTTTATGTGCATGCATGTGTGCACACATGGAGATGCATGTGTGGTTATTTATTATCCGTCAGGAGAACATACAGCCTGTTCTCCAGAAGTAGTGAGCAGCCGCTGGGTATAAAGATGTTTGTGCTAACTATTGGGTTCTTGGTCCCATTACAGATAAAACAAACAGTGTTTCTATATGAGAGTGGAGTGGATGAGGAAAGCTAGAATTGTTTGATTCCAGGATACAGATCCAGTTTCAATTTTTACCCTGATGCACATTTATGTAAATAAAGGCACCTTTATATCATCTATTGTATCTATTTAATTTAGATTCTGATGTTGAAAATTTTGTAACAACAACATGAGACGTCTACTGGAATAGCCATTTCCTCTTAAGCTATTTTTGTTATAACTGTAGCTGTCTGCCTAGTAGTGTCATCTTTTAACTGTAGTGTTCTGATATAATGTATTCATCAGTGCAATATTGAAGCTGTGATACAAGGCACAGCTTCAGCCTGGTTGTACATCATATGTTTACGTGTGTATATTTGTATACTAATGGACTGAAACCCAGCACTTGCTTGCGGTATTGCCAGTGCAAAGATTGTAACACTGCATTCTACAGGGCACAGTAATCGTGGCATTCCTTTATAAATGCATGGCAGCTGCTCATCATGAGCTGCTGAATGCAGCAAAGCTTTCAATTGTGAAATAACATCCTTATTTAACTTGGCACAAGAAACAGGATAGTACAATGCAGAAGCTACACATCCACTGTTCTCAGTTGTGTGAGAAATTAAGATTAGCATCTCTCAACAAACACATCTGTATAACCATGATTAATAATGCCTGTGCCCTGTTGCCTAGTGTTACAAGGTCTGTCTATCAATATATACTCCTGGATTTTTCTCCCCTCCTGTCTTGTTTACATTAAACAGAAGATGTTCAGCAAACCTTTCCTATTGAACTTGGTGTAGTTCATTCGCTGACAATGTTTGCCAAGGTGTAATAGACCCATGAAGGATGGTTGAAACAGCCACATTAGAGAGCTCACGGCAGTAACTTGTGTCAGCAGATACAATTCAGGCATTTTTTGTTAAAAAGCATGCATGAAGGATTAAAAGGGATATTCTTAAAAATAAATTAATATAATTTGAACAGAGTGATGCTTTATGTTTGCTGAAGTTTGTGCATTTTTAAGTTTGACTATCGTCTCTAAATACAAAATGACCAGATTTTACGTTTACATTCTGCTTTTTCCTGTCACCCTCCCAGCTGACCTTTCTCCTAATATTGGTTTCACACCTCACCTGCATTGCATCCGCCCCCTCCCCCCAGTTCCTTTTATTAAATTAAAATCACTCCTTTCATTAGTAAGTGGACGTTGGGCTTCATCATTTTACTTATATGTTACTTCTGCCTCGCCTTTTTATGGGAATAATATAGATAGCTAGAAAATTCAGGTTTTAAACCATGTTGGTAATTTTTTTTAATGGGTGGACAATCTTTTTCAGGCCAAGCGTCAATTCTGGGGGAGTGGGGCAGAGGCAAAAGTTAGCAAAGCAACAAATGTGATTTGTACAATAGACTCAATTCTACATACACTCACGTACTGCCATCTATCATCCATCCAGTTCAAAGACAGCTGGGCAGAAACAGATGCAAAGCAGGGCTGGTAAGGAATGTGGCTCAGGGCAAAGGGGTGTGGTTGTGGAGGGCTTACAGTTTCAGCAGAGGCCCGTGGTCCAGATAAGAGGCCTTGAGGACCACATTTGGTCCTTGGGCTGTTGGTTCCCCATTCCCAATTGAGAGTTATTCCTCTTAAGTGATTCTTGAGCACACTAAGTTTTATTATCCCATGCTCTCATAACTCTGGTTCCTACCCCAGCAGGCATGCACAAAATCAGCCACCCACTTGCGCTTTTCGGTCCAAGAATGCCTCACTCATTTGGGGCATATGTAATGCTGCACACCGAAATGTTCTGAAATTTTAGTGGCTGCAAGCACATATTCAAAGACTCTTTGTAAAACGAGCGTTGGTGAAGTACTTTCTTCATTTATGCAGCTGAGGCGTAAACCAACAAGGCCCACCGCAAAAATACCTCTTCACTGTAAAGGCTTTTTGCTGCCATTAAATCAGCCTTAATGTGTACCTCATTATAGCTTTTTTGTCATTAAACTGTTTGCAGGAGACCTACACTAGACATAGGGGGGCGGAAATTAGCCAGCGTGTTGTGTTTTATGGCAGTAGCTACCATTTCATCATGCATACCTCTTCTACCTTATTACCTCATTTAAAAGACTTTTTGGAACCTGTATTTGCATGCTCAGATATATTTCTTTTGTGAAGCATAACAGAATTGTGTTCTAATGATACTATCCTCAAACCATTGGACTTGGATGGGCTTCTGAAGCATCAGAGTGCTTGCTGCAGTCATATTATGTAGAGGCTGAAGTTTTTAAAAATGCTCAAGACTGCATGCCGTGGTTCTTTCCATGCCTCTTTGTGAGTTTGATATAGCTTTGTCGTATGTTCAGGGCACCGTAAGCCGAGTTGAAATGTTGTGGTTTCAGAACTCTAAACAGTACTTGTCATCTATCACAGATTTCAGCTGCTCTGTAATAATTACCATGGAATCTTGCCAGAAGCCAGATATAGTCAAGCTGTTGCCAAGATTGGTTAGCTGTGCTAGCAGTAGCCAGAACTCATATTAGTGTTGTTGGTCATGTTCGCACTAGGGCACAGTGCTTACCAAGTGAAATGTAGTCCACCTCTCCCTGTTCAGACCTATGAAGGCTCCCTTTCAGCAGGAAAAGGATATTGCAGCAGCTTCAAGGAACAGCTGGAATATGTGTGCAGGTAGAAAGGTCCCAAGCTGAATGGGTTATACCACTTCAAATTGCAGGTGGGTCATATTTTTCCTCTCTCTGCAAGGAGAAACTAACACTGCAGGGAGCAAGCTGAGACAAAACCTCTTAATTTGCAAAAGGCTTTTTAAATAATACAGCGTGGCACATACCTTTGTAGCCTTGAAGGGGTATGGTACCCCAGGATTCTGTCACCCTGTTTCTCTGCAGGCATCGCCTAGGTTTCATTTCCAAAGGGAGGAAAGGGAACTGTTGCTGTTTATTTCTGAAAATCTTTCACTGCTGTTCATCTTCCCTGCTTCTCCCATCTGCTAGGAAAATTCTCTGCCCAGAGAGAGAACCAGTGATAAGCCACTGACAAGCTTTCAGCTGTAGATATCCTCTGTTCCAAATCAGTGAAAATGTAATTATATATCAGTTAATATGTATATTCTGCAACAAGAGGAGCCAAACAGATTTGTAAGGATGCTGTCTGCAATGATAGCAAAGGCAGTACATTTGCTTTCTGAACTTAATAGGGACTGGTTTGGTTCCACTTGTAATAATGAGACTGCATTCAGATATTACTATGTGAACTATGATCTTTCTAATATAAACCTATGAGGAACTTTTCATATATTCTGCACCAAACTGAAGTGTGTGCCTAAAAATGTAAAGGGTGAATAGGGCAAACACATGTTGGCAAACTTATAACAAATTCATCAGGAAACCAGGACCAGCTGACTACAGCAGACTGGAGTTTGCCCTGAATGATGTGAAAAATAGCCGTCTCACTATTTTGCCAAGTTATTTAAGCAGTTTGTTTAGCCCATGTGTGATGGGTGATACCCATGAGAACATCCATTTGCGAACTTAAGAAAATCATAATTGCATTGTAATTGGCTGAATTGGAGGGGCATAAACTTGGCAGTGATTATCCCGTACCTTGATGAAGTAACATGTTTAAAGGAGGGAAAGGAGCAGGAAGGCAATATTTTACTAGCCCACAAAACACAAAACCAATGGTGCTGCTATCAATCAAACCAAATGCTCTCAACCTCAATTTCAGTTATTTAACTAGCATTTCCTCAGCTTAGGTTAACGCTGAATGCCGGCCTCCGGCCTCTGTGACTTAGTCAAAGCACTCGGCAGCTGAAGTGAATGATTATCTCACCTGGACAACTGCTGAATTCTCTGACTCTGGATCTAGTTACATAGAGTAATGTCCCTAGGGGGAACAATACAAAGTCAATCAAGTGGGATATATTACAAGGACGTTTTAGCAAATTCAAAAACGAAAGGAGTTTTGAAGCAATTTTCTTTATGGGATTACAGTTCACTGTTGCATTTATAACTGGGTTTTCCCCCTAAAGTGTTCTGTGGAAGGCAGAATTTTTGAAAGGAAGGAAGGAAGGAAGGAAGGAAGGAGCACCATCATGATGAGCTAAAGAGCAAAATCGCTAATATGTGGGTTTTTCCTCTTAAATGGTTTCTGAAATCTGTGATTTATCTCCATTTTTAAACTATTATTTCTTCTGTGAACTTTTAAAAACTATTTTTAACTATTATTTCTTTTCTGTGAACAGAAACAGATAAAAACTGCCTCTCTGGAGGGGAGGGGAATTGTGCTGTGCTGTTTCTAAATGACAAAAGGCCTGAAATATCACAGCCTTTCTGTTCCAAGTCTTTATGGTGTGTGCTCCACACAAGTAAAATTGAATATCATTATTAATTGAAATTTACTTTTTCTGTTTGCTTAAAAGCTTGATTTAAAGTAAGTAGCCAAATTATAACTTTCTAGCTTGGTGAACATGGATAAATCCCATATAATGAGTGCATAGTTCATAATGTTCAGCACGGAATGCATGTGCAGTTTTTATATATCTAAATTTATTTCATGTCTACAAAATGTCACTTTTGTTCCGTGGAGTTTCAATTATCCCTCCTAACAATTTACAGGGCAAGCATATATATGCCTACTCAGAAGTAAGTCCCGGAAAAATACAATTGACTGATTCCCAGGTAAACAGTTGTGGGATTTCAGTCTCAGTTGTGGAATCCTTGGGGACAGAAGTATTTGTATAACTTATGAAGCTCTGCTATTTGACCTTTTATGCTGCATTCCATTTTTATTGTTACTTATTTTATTGCCATTGAATTTTAATTTGTTTTTTATTTTTCTTTATAAGCTATCCTGAGAGGGTGACCTATCATGAATGAATAAACCAAATGTAAGCCACTTTGGGCTTTCTGGAAGAAAAACTAATGCTAAATAAAGTTGAGGAAGGAAATGGTTAGAGTAATGAAAAAGATATTCTGCAAAATAGCATCTTATGGCCTCCACATAAGTTGCAGTCCCCAGACCACATCATGCACTATGGTAATATCCCCGAAGTCTGTGAGAGAACTTTGGGGTTAGGGCTTTACGATGCAGTCTTCAACATGTTTACTCAGAAGTAAGCCCCACTATATTCACTTAGAGGCTGAAACCCAGGTACACCTGATGGAGAGGCAGCTCTTTAGTCAACCCTGCCACCACCTCTGTGATCTTCCTGGCTTGAAGACGGAGGCACTGCAGAGCTACGGGACTTCTGAGAGTAGCAAAGTGGCACATCTGAGACTCACCAGTCACTACTAGACAGACTCAGTTTTGCTGTTACTATTCACCTCTCCTTTACAAACATGTGGCATGGGCCCAAGCTATTTAGACGTGTGTGAGACAAGATCCTGAGCATGCACCAAGTCAGCCTTAGGGGTCTGTTTCAAGATACGGTATTTATGAAATGGTTCAAGGTGAAGTGAGGTTGTATTGAAATAAAATGAATGGTATCCTATAATTAGTCCTCTACACTTGACGTAGAGCCTAAGATTGCTTCATCAGGAAGCTGGGGGTGCCTGCAAGCCCCCAGAACTCTGAACGTCCCCCGGTATGCGCAGCTCTGGAAAAGGCACCTCCCTTCTCTTCCAGTGTGCTCAGCCACATATACCAGATGGTATATGCACACTACACTTCTGGCATAACACAGCAAGACATCGTAGAGCTAATCTACTACAGTGGTACCTCGGGATGTGAATGGGAACTGTTCCGGAGCCCCATTCACATCCAGAATGGAACGCAAGACGCGACAGCGGGTCACGTTTCACCACTTCCGTGCATGCGTGCGATGTCATTTTGAGCGTCTGCACATGCGTGAGCGGCAAAACCCAGAAGTAACGTGCTCTGTTACTTCTGGGTCGCCACGGAGCACAACCTGAAAGCGCTCAACCTGAAGCGTATTTATCCCGAGGTATGACTGTATTTATTTACACACTATGTACAGACAAAAGCATAATGGCGTCCGTTCTCTCCAGCTCCGAGAGAGCAACAGGCACAAATAAAAGTGAAAGTACATACAGCGGAAGAGATAAGACAGTCTTCCGTTTCCCACACTCTTCTCAGACAGGCATGTGATTTACACCAATCACAAATGCAGCATCGGAGGAGTGAAATTGCTAACATGGCATATATTTTTACATTTGCTGTGTCCAGGAGTTAAAAGGTGGTCACTTGCAAACTCTGGCTCCCCAAAAACCCTTAAAAATCATTTCAGTTATCAAATCCTGCATTATTAACAACATCTGACACGTAGATATGGCTAAGCCAAGCCAATTTTCTACCATTGTTGTACCAAACTGGGAAGTCCTCTGTATGATTCCAAGCCGATCCATAATAGGACATACAGTGGTACCTCGGGTTACATACGCTTCAGGTTACAGACTCTGCTAACTCAGAAATAGTACCTCGGGTTAAGAACTATGCTTCAGGGTGAGAACAGAAATCGTGCTCCGGCGGCGCAGCAGCAGCAGCAGGAGGTCCCATTAGCTAAAGTGGTGCTTCAGGTTAAGAACAGACCTCTGGAACGAATTAAGTACTTAACCCGAAGTACCACTGTATGTTCATTTACTAATAGCCCACCTTTCCTACAAGGAGCTCAAGGTGACGTACCTATTTCTCCCCTCCATTTTATCTGCACAACAACTGTAAGGCAGGGTAGGCTGAAATATAGCAACTGATCCAAGGTTGCTCTGAGCTTTATGGCTGAGCGTGGATTCAAATTCAGGTCTCTCTAGCCTTAGCCATACTCTACTCTTAGCCTGACTCTCTAAAAACTACACTTCTCATGCCTGCAAATAATGTATAGTTTATCATTTGCCTATATAGTACACACTCCTAATGTTACTATAATGAGAATCATCACCTTACATTTCCAGAGTGTAGCAGTCAGCTCCTGCTTTAAAGCCACTTCTGTGCTTAATAGTGTGTAAATCCATTATAACAGGGTGTGATCATCGGCATACAAGCAATCTTTTATATGATCAGTGATGGTCAGTTACATAAAAGTTTTTCTCCCTTACAATGCAGACTTGTCAGTTATATAAACGTTCCTCTGTCTTGTGTTAGATATTTGCAGTCCCAATGGGCCATTATCCTGGTCATGCTATTATCTGTTTAGTGTGTGCTATAATTCGTCTCAAAGACAAAATGGAACAAGGGCCATTAAACTGGCCTATATCTAAGAAGTAGTAATTTTATGTGCCCATCTATTATGGCTTTACCGTGAACGACAGGCAAGCTGCCAGGAAACTCTGGGCTGTTATATTTACATCTCACAGAATTATAATGGTAAAAGTTCAGATTGCCTTCCACAACTTTATGCCGGCACTCCAGTAGTAGTAGTAGTAGTAGTAGTAGTAGTAGTAGTAGTAATTAATATATTTATACCCTACCCATCTGGCTGGGTTTCCCCAGCCACTCTGGGTGGCTTCCAACAAAATATTAAAAAGAAAAGATAACATCATATATTAAAAACTTCCCTAAACAGGGCTGCCTTCAGATGCCTTCTAAAAGTCAGATAGTTGTTTATTTCCTTGACATCTGATGGGAGGGAGTTCCACAGGGCTAGATACAGTACTCCTCTTGAGAGAAATGTGTTTGCACAAGGCAAATAAAATACTGTAAAAAAAGAGACACTTGCAATTACTGCACATTTTTCAGCAGTTCAAGTATTTCCCATATTACCTTAAAACTGACAGTTAAATCCAGTGTTCTACCAAAAGAGAAAAGGAAGGAAGGAAGAAACAACAACCCACTGAGCATGTAAAGGTAAAGGGACCCCTGAACATTAGGTCCAGTCGTGGCCGACTCTGGGGTTGCGGCACTCATCTAGCTTTATTGGCCAAGGGAGCCGGCGTACAGCTTCCGGGTCATGTGTCAGCATGACTAAGCCGCTTCTGGCGAACCAGTGCAGCGCATGGAAATGCCGTTTACCTTCCCGCCAGAGCGGTACCTATTTATCTACATGCACTTTGACGTGCTTTCGAACTGCTAGGTTGGCGGGAACAGGGACCAAGCAACAGGAGCTCACCCCGTCCGACCTTCTGATTGGCAAGTCCTAGGCTCAGTGGTTTAACCCACAGCGCCACCCACGTCCCTTCACTTAGCATGTATTTTATCTTAAAAGGAGACTTACCAATCTTTTGATTTTGTTAATAGCTGAGTGTAAACTACATTTGCAGTAAACAAATTGATTTTTATTTCTACACTAACATTATTGTTGAGAACAGATCCCTGGAAAGAAACAGATTATCTGTTCCACACAACAATGATACCTGTTTCAGAAAACAAAAAGGGTGAACTTGTAGGGCCTCTTGTACATCACTTTAAGCAATACTGAAGCCTGACATGGTGCTTAGATCCTGAGCTTGTTCACTGCATGCTGCTGAATGTTCTGAATGGTCATGAGCCAAGTGCCCTTGGCCCATTCAATAATAAAGACAGTCAAAACTAATTATGAAATGCATTGATCATTTTGGGTGTGTGTGACCACTGTTCAAATTGTTAATGCAGGGATAAACAAGATTATGTCATTTGTTGTCCATATGTAGGACTTCGTCTGTTTGACCTTTTCCCATTATATCAATTTCTTTTATATCAGGATCCTGTTTCACCATAAGCTTCTTGCAGCTTGTTCATCTGAGCCTTGTGCTTGGCAGGCTATCAACCTGATGCACTCGCCACTATGTCCATGAAGGTATTTTTCCAGGACATTCAGTTCTTACCATCTGTTAGTTGGCTCTCATCTAGGAGATTTTGATTGGGTGTCCTTTTCCCAAAGTGTCCCTTTATCTGGATTAGTTTTGCAGGGTTCAAGCTGTCCTTATAAGTGTTCCAGGGATAGGACGTATGAGAGACTGGACTGTTAACTTTGCTAGCTAGTTTAGTAATAAATGCATTTCTGATGGTGCATTTGTCTGTGAAGCACATTCAAGAAGAACGGAAATGAAGATAAAGACTTGAAGCAATTCAAAAGATATTGGGGACAAGGATAGTGCCAAAACCTCAATGGAGATAGCATGTTTTTATTCCAGAAGATGAAGGTTTGCGTATTTATTAGACGCAGCACCACTGCTGTTTTGCTTGTTCAGATACTAATAACAGCCATTACGAAAGCAATTTACAGATATTAAAGAAGGCAGGCAGTAATGTTATTCTCGGTACCCTGGGTCACACGAAACGTTAAACCATGATTTATTTAGGCTGCGGTTTAACAAACTACAAGTTAACCATGAGTTGTCATACAGATGCTTAAACAAACTATGGCTTGTTTCTTCAAAGTTTAGTTTGCTTTCCATGTTTTTGTAGCTTGATAAGCATCTCGGGTGGCCAAAGAACCAACCTTGGCTTAGAGAGACAGCAAGCTTGGTGCCACTTGGCTCCCGCCCGGTCCATTTTGCTGCCATGTTATGGTAAGCTAAGCCAAAGTTTGGTCCAGCATGTCATCCAAACTGGGACCTGTGATTAAGCTCTCCCTTCACCCTGAGCTGTAACCAAGAACAAGCCAAGAGCAAACTTCCACATGAGTATCCCTGACTGGATGATGGATCATGTGCTCAATCCTCCCTCAACCAGCTGCTGGGTCTGAGGGTATGTAGTCCCAGTTTGTTAAAAGTACTGATAGCACCAGTCAGCCTTTGGGGAAGGGTGATGGCTCAGTGGTAGAGCATGTGCTTAACATGCAAAAGGTCCCAGGTTCCATCACTGGCATTGAGTATAAAGATTCCTCACGAGGTGCAATTCAGTTATCAACCAGATGCTTGGAAACCACTGGAACAGACCTTGCTTGACTACTTTTGGCTATTGCAGCAGATGTGAGCTCTTTGCTTCGCTGTTCTTGCATCTCTAGGCTTGAATGCATATGTTGAATGCCTCATTTTGGTGCCAAGCCTGTGGTGGCAACCTCTGTGAGCTTGCATCCTCTTTCACTGAAAGGCTGCACGTTTCTGCCATCGAGCAAAATGGGCAGAGCTTCTTATTTGTAAGTAGAAATTGTAACGTGTGCAGATTACACTCAGAAGTGGTCAGGAAAGTCTGGTGCCAAAGTACCATTAGTCAAAGAAATTAATCATTTAGATCTCAGCGTAAAGGGTATTTTGACGATGAAATACAACTCTATCCAATACCTGGTGTTGGGAAGAACTGTGAGCAGCAAGCATATTAAACATGAATGACCTAATCAGACAAATTGTATGGCTGTGCATGAGTTTCTCATTAATGTTTCACTAAGAAGCCTTGAGAGAGAGAGAAAACATGCTGCATTAGAGTGAGGACTAACAGAGGGACGTCAGGAGTAGAGTAACTTAATGACCTCCCAAAACACAGTGGTTTGAAGTATCATTAAAAAATACAAGAGAAATTTGCTTACATATAGACACAATATTGTCGTCGTCCTCCTGCATATTTCTAAGTTCTCAAAAACTCGGTGAGTTAGGGACTTTCCTGCATGCAAAGACAGGCTCTGGAAGATTGAGAGGAGACCAATAGGGGGTCCAAGAGTCAAGAAGGTGTGTACTGCACATGCTGTAGTGGGAAGTGAAGGGCAGATGAACTCGTCAGCCTGGGAAGGTAGCCTATCTAGGAGAAGGAAAACTCTGATGCAATACCTCCACAGCCTTAAAGATATACCGGTAGTCATTCGTGAGAAAGAAGGAACAAGTTACCAGGTTGCTCTCTCTTTTTCTGATCTATAAAATGGAACTGATATTGAAGATATAGTGTGATATTGACAGACTTGCCCTGTTGGTGCATTATCTCGTATAAAAATCAGAAATATTAAAATCTTTCTACATGGTATTATCTTTTCTACTGCCTTTCTACTTGTGATGGGGAAATGTAACTTTTCTTGCTAGAATTATTCAATTCCAGAATGGAAAATACAGCTGAAGCCACACAAATGAGTCATTTAACATTAATGTGCACTCACAGATTTCCATTAACGTGTCTTTAGTAAATAAACTGCAATCCAGAGTCATTTTCCTTTGCAGCTGTGGCCCATTAGCAACACTTTAGAGGAACCCAAATTCCAACCACAGGTAGCAAAAAGTGAAAGGCACCTGCATAGAAATAACATTCTCTATTCAGCACTACAAGCAACCTGAACAGGTCGGTGGGCTATAAATAATGCTAGCTTACTTAATTTATAATGGAGTTCCCTTCTGTGTGGAAGAAAAGTCAGTAATAGCATAAAATACTGACTTATGCTATCAGATTACTTTACCAGCCACCTTCTTAGCAGATAAAAAGTTAATATTGCCATTGACTTATACAGGTCATAGTGGTGGTGGTTGTTGGCATCCATCTGTCTTGGGACACAATGGAAGAGTGTGCCGTTGGAGTGAAATCAAACCATTGGAGAGTTACAATGCCTGCTGTGGCTGAAGAGACCAATATAGTACAGACATGCTTTATTGCAGGTGGGGCAGATGAGGGCATCCGGTTTTGCTGCTACAGGTGTACCATGGTGTTTTTTCTCTCTGTGCTCCTCCCAGTGGTAATTTCTCCTCTGGTCACTGTTGTGGATAAATGACCTGTGGACCACAGTTTGGGTACCCCTGCTCTAAGTCTTTCTATTTGGACTCTCCACGGGCTAAACCCCTCTCCAGTACCACCAGTTCCTCTACAGCATGGGTAAGCAAGCTAAGGTCCGGGAGCCGGAGCCGGCCCAATTGCCTTCTAAATCCAGCCTGAGGAGAGTCTGGGAATCAGCGTGTTTTCACATGAGTAGAATGTGTTCTTTTATTTAAAATGCATCTCTGGGTTATTTGTGGGGCATAGGAATTCGTTCACCCCCCCAAAAAAAATATAGTCCTCCCCCCACAAGGTCTGAGGGACAGTGGACTGGCCGCCTGCTGAAAAAGATTGCTGACCCCTGCTCTACAGAGCTCAAAGCAGCACCCTTGGCTCCCTCAAACAACCTGTGTGGTACATTCGTCTAAGAGAGAGTAGCCCACATTACCAGCTTAAAATGCAGCCTAGTCATTTTTTTTCCTTTCAGTCCGTATCTTAACTAAGGAAAAACACATCAGAATGTAGTATCTCATAAGCAACATTGGATAGAAATAAAATTGTGGCTAACGCCATGTGTATACCACTTCCCAAACTGATGGTGGGAGCAGACTGGATACAGAGTAAACAGGAGTGTGTACACAGCCTATGTCTGCTTCTACAATGCTGCTTCTCCCTTCCTTTTTCTCCCAGCACCAAAGTAAGATCTTGAGTTAATAAAAAGCAGGGCATTCTCAGGATCCAGATCTTTGATAATGACAATATTGCTGTAGCAGATGTCTTTCTGTACAGGTATCACATTTATTCCATGATGATTACCAAGTTTTCAAATCCATGGGGTTTAATCTGATGCCTGAAAGTAGTATAGGATCCTGAATGATGCGTTTTGCACAGTAGTTGAAGGAAACGAATTACTGTACTATGACCAGAGTGAGGGGGAGCCTGCAGTAGGAATTCTTTATAGGATGCTACAGAGGCAGTTAAGATTAATGGACTGAACAACTGGTCAGTGTCATATAATTCTTTTAAGTCATGTAGGGAAGGTGCAATGACTGTCCAAGTGATGGGTAAGAAAAAGAAAGAAGCAGTAGCTTTCTAAGCCAATTTATCAGAAAGCAGCAGCACCTTTTTGCTTAGAGCGATATATTGTCTCTGAAGAAATTCTCTTGGGTGATAGAGTATGAACTGTGTACATGTCTTGGTTGAGTGCCATGTGTAAATATGGCACACAAATGTGATATTGGGGAAAACAAGCTGACCAGGAGGTGAAAAATGACTCGAAACTGTAATATCATGTACAAGCTGTTTCTGCCCCTCCCTCTTTGGTGAAATAAAGTGGTATGTACTAGAAGAAGAACAGCCTTCTCCTGACTCTGCATTAAGTGTACCCTGGAAATCAACGCGTTTGAGTTGTTATCTGTACAGAAGCACCAAAAGTAGATTCACCAGATGCACCCCACCCTGCATTTATCAGGGCATAACCCTTCGTGTATCTGATGAGCTATGCCCTAATAAATGCATATCCTTATGTAGACTCTAATCTACAAAAGCTTGGACCAGCCTCCCCCAGCCTGATGCCCACTCCAGATGTTTTGGGCCACCACCCACATCAGTCCCAGTCAGCATCGCGCGCACAACAATGAACACAATGGAACTTATTTCTGGGCAGACGTTAGAGCAGAAGATTACACAGTTCAGCATACTTCTCTCTTCTACTTTCAAGCCACACCGTTACCGTCAGTGTGTACAGTTGTCGGTAATAAGAAGAACAACCAATATCGGCTGTGGGTTGTTTTCTAAACCCTGCTATAATAGCAGAGGGCGAGAAGACGTAGTTAAACTACAAGTCCCACAAGCCCCTGCTCCAGAGTCCGTCGGCAAAACCAACCCGAGGACTGCAGCTCCCAGAGTGCTCTTCGGCCTTACAGTTTGCGGGCGAGGAAGTGGCCGTTTTTCTTCGCCGTTTTGCCCCGCGGTGGCCGTTGCTTGCTTGCCTGCCGCTCCTCCTCCCGTCGACCCACGTGGGCAGAAAACGGCGCCGGGACTCGGGACGCAGCGAGGCGGCCGGGCTTCCCCACTGTGCTCTCGCCCATGTCTGGGACGGTGGTGGAGGCCGTCCGGGGCAAAGCAGCTGCCGCTCAGCTGCTGTCTTTTAGCGGGCTCTTCGCCGTGTATAAGGCCAAGGGATGCACCTCAGCCGCTGTCCTAAACCGGCTTAGGGCGAAGCTGATGGCAGGTACCACTGAAGGGGGAGAGCAGAAAGTCCAGGGAAGGAGGGAGAGTCTGGGCCAGAGGTGGGGAGCCTGCGGCCCTTCCGAGACGACCAGGCTCTTCTCAACTCAGCAGCCGGTGTGGCGGCCGACAGGTTGCGGAGCAACATCTGGAAGGCCTCAGGTTCCTCATCTAGGCAGGTCCTAAGGCAGGCATAGGCAAACTCGGCCCTCCAGATGTTTTGGGACTACAACTCCCATCATCCCTGACCACTGGTCCTGTTAGCTAGGGATGATGGGAGTTGTACAGTGGTACCTCGGGTTACAGACGCTTCAGGTTACAGACTCCGCTAACCCAGAAATAGTACCTTGGGTTAAGAACTTTGCTTCAGGATGAGAACAGAAATCGTGCAGCGGCGGCAGCGGGAGGCCCCATTAACTAAAGTGGTACCTCAGGTTAAGAACAGTTTCAGGTTAAGAACAGACCTCCAGAACAAATTAAGTTCTTAACCAGAGGTACCACTGTAGTCCCAGAACATCTGGAGGGCCAAGTTTGCCTATGCCTGCCTAAGGTGTGCGAGGAAGTAGTGGAGTTTAGTTGACTCGGAGACTGAATGCTGCACAACTCTTTTCTTCATTATTTCCTCAGCACCGAATTTATGTGTAAGCTAAACAAGATATAGCTTAGGCCCCCCCCAAAAAAAATTTAAAGGTCAAAAAACCCCTGGATGTACATTTCCAAAATATAAGATAAAGAACAAATAAATAAAACCTACATACAGCAACAGTGTTTTGTGTTGTATAGGCTCCTATGATGTAAGTAATGGGCCCCACCTGCTAGCCTGCTCCCTAAAATATCACTGGTTTGCTCATTTCTATATGTAGGATGCCTACATTCTGCATGGACTGGTTGTATGGCAACATGTGCAAATGGTTTTAGATACCTATTAGGTCCATAAATTACCATATAGCATATATTCCACACACAAAACAGCGACAATTTGTTGTTGACAAAGGACAGCTGGACATGTAAAGGGCCCCATTACCTTCAGTAGCTTAGGGCCTCATCAAACCTAAATCTGGCACTGTTTCCTAAACACAGCAGTGCACTTTGGTCATTTTAGGCATTGGACAGTGGGTACTGCTTCCCCACCTCCATCCACCTAATTGCATTCTTTACAACTGCTTCATTCCTACACTGGAATAATAATAATAATAATAATAATAATAATGGCAGCAGTAGCAACAGCTTGGCAACCCAGATAATTACAAAGAAAGACCCTGATAATGTGTAGTTTCCTGTCTTAATCTCTTTCATCCACTTCTGTCTTAAGCTCTTCTAAATGGTGTTTCTGCATGTATTTCCGTTGTCACGATAACAGGTTGCGATAGTGGATTTTTTTGTTTCTTTTTCTGCCACATCTGTAATACAGATTTTCCAGAGTAACTATGGCATCCCTTCAAAGGAAAACCCAGTGATTTGTTGTTGTTGTTTTTTGTCATTGATAACTTTCAAAAGAACAATAGTCTTTGATTCCCACCCCACAGCTGTTGGCATTTGGTCTCCCCTCCTGCCGTCTATCTGCCATTCTCAACACTACCTCCTGGGGAAAAACGAAAAGCTTTTTTTGTAGGGGTTCTTTGATGGTGTGGAACTGGAGGTGAGGGAACACAGCAGGACACAGTGTGGAGTACACCAAATGCTGGTCTGATCCTGCTGGCATAGCAGTGTGTTTGCTGAGCATGTTCAAGTTCTGGTTGGCTTTGGCCTGCCACCTCTTTGCTCCTCCCATGATGCAGTCAGTAACCAGCCTCAAACAAGGAGACTGACGAATGGAGCACTAGAAAAAACGACAATGCTGGGTGTTGTATTGATGACCTACCTGTTTCCCACCACCACTGTGTTGTCCATAGCGATGTGGGGCCTTGGACTTGGGCCCAAATTCTGCGGGTTCCATTGCCTTTGCAAACAGGTGCAAAGAACAAATGTCTCCACACTTTATCTGATCTTCCAGCATAATCCATGGAAGTCTGACTTGATGGATAGCATTTCTCACTTCACATTTATGTCAAGAGTGCTGATATGGTTCCCCTGTTGCAATTAACCCAAGATGCAGAAAGGAGTTATGTTTCTGTGGCATGCCTTTAAAAAAGCATCCTAAACCTTCTTTTCTAACCAAACGATTGTGTAGCTTCTGGGTTTTTTTTAATATTGTCGACATGCCAAATTTGGAGCTGAATTTGGGGGTTCTAGAGTAGGGACCATTTGTATCTTTGCATGAGTATGTAAGGTAGATAACTTTTATTTGGATGTTCCTGTTGAGGGAAAGGCGAGAGCTTAGATATGTCCTAAAATATCCAAATAGTGGATGCTGTGTAAGTGTTCTCCAATGAGAAGCCAGTTTTTGTAGAGACATGGCCACATAAACACACTACTAGTCATATTAGTTGCTTTGCTGCAAAGAGAAAGTTGCCAACATATTTTGGCAAAATTTATGAATTATTTGCAATCTAGCTTCGTTTCTAGATTTACCACCATTTCTGAGCACTAAGTTTCTTTGCATGTACTGGGCCCATTGATTTAAATGGGGATGGTAAGCATGTGCTCACCCTCGGTTTGTAGGAAATAAAAAATGGACCAATAGCAGGTAATAGTTAACAGCAGTTTATTATTGGCTTCTATGAAGTATTCATTACCAAAGCACAAATTCAATTTCACCTATTCAATTTCAGATGCATCGGTTTTTGTTGTGATTATTTTATTGGATAATATACTGCTTAATCCCCTGCCAACCTAGCAGTTCGAAAGCACGTCAAAGTGCAAGTAGATAAATAGGTACCGCTCCGGCGGGAAGGTAAATGGCGTTTCCTTGCACTGCTCTGGTTCTCCAGAAGCGGTTTAGTCAGGCCGGCCGCATGACCTGGAAGCTGTACGCTGGCTCCCTCGGCCAATAAAGCGAGATGAGCACCGCAACCCCAGAGTCGGTCACGACTGGACCTAATGGTCAGGGGTCCCTTTACCTTTATACTGCTTAATGGCCAAGTGGGTTACTAAGTGGTTTACAAATTATAAAAGCCAAATACACAAAAACCAATTTAAAAACAAGATTAAAATACACAACAAAGCAGTATCATAAAAAAGGAGATCCAGGTCACGGGATCAGGAAAATGCTTGTGTAAACAGATGCATCTTCAAGAGCCAGTGGAATGTCAGTATAGGTGGCCTCTGTATTTTGCCTTTCTTCCAATGCATTTGGAGCAGGGTTTTAAACACACAACAATTAAAAAACCCCACACACCGGCACTTGGTTAAGGTTTGTACCTGGGTTTTGCACCTGTAGATCTGCTCCAAATCCACCTTTCCCAGCTTGGTACTCTCCTGGTGTTCTGAACTACAATTACAGTACCATGCTGGCAGTGGCCAATAGGAGCTGTAATCCAAAACAGCTGGAGGGTACCAGGTTGGAGGAGACTGGGTTAGCTACTGCATCCCCTGACTTGAGCACCACATTGCCATCTGCTCGCAACCTTGTAGCTGGGAATGCAAGTGCAGGCAGGGCTTTCACAGTCTTATCTACAGAACAGCGTGCAATCTCATATCGTTTCTTTCCATAGCCAGCAAGGGACTTGGTTGTGCATGTAGTCTGCTGGATCCAAGCCATTATATGTAATTAAATGTGGGAAACATACTGAGAGACTGCTGTGCACTGTTGACAACATTGGAAAAATTCTGTGACTGTTGCTAGTTATGGTTTTATTACTGTAACAAATCAGTAAATGTGATGCTTCTTGTATGTTGTTGGGGAAAATAATGCACCCTGTCTGTTAACTATTAAAATTATTAATTATCTGACGCCAGCTGATGGTAGATATGAGAACAAGCTCTAGATATGCTATTCGTTTTATGATACGACAAATCCTAGGATTCTGATTCACAATTTTCCTCCTTCCTTGGGATTAAACTGTTTCCATTAAATTAGTTGTTCCACTTTGGTACCTTTCAATGTGAACGGCAGATTTATGTGCCTTGTTTGTTATTTTTATGAAGTTCTATGAAGCTTTTTATCCTTTGGGATCTTATTTTTTCAGAAACCGGTATGCCAAAGCCTAGTAGAAGGAAGAGGAATAAAATGTTAAAGATTGGACATGGTGGGATTCTGGATAGCAGTGCTGCAGGAGTGCTAGGTAATTTGCATATTAGCAGTCCTTTATTTATTTGCAATGTCCCTAGAGAACTCTCTCCCATTGAAGATAACTTGTCTGCCACATTAGCAGCTTTTCCATGTGAAATTTAGATGTACTTTTTCTTCACTCCTGTGCAGATGGCTGGTTTAAATAACTGATTCCTCTGCTCCTGGACTGCCATTTTATGATGTCAATTGATTTTATGGTTTTTATGTTACATTTTCTGAGGTTCTGCCATCATACTAAGCTAGTCCAGTTGTGGTTTGTTTACCTGTTCACTCCAAAGCAGAAGTGCTTGGACTGAGTACACCAGCCTGCAACTTGTGCCCAGTACAAAAGCATACTTTAAGGCCTAGCCATACATGTGAAGCCAGCTTTTAAGTTCCCAAGGTGGGTTGAAACATTATGCAACATTAAAAACAGTTTAAAACAACAATAATAGAAATAAAGCAGATCATTTTTTCTGTTATTGTAAGGTGGGCAAATAAGCTGAATTACCGTATTTTGTCTTTGCTGGCATTCCTTCTTTTTTAAGCCACTGACGTTGGAGAAATGAGTACTGCTTGCTCAGTCATAAATACTGCAGACCCTTTAAAATAGCTCGGAAGGACCCCAATGTAGATTGATGGTCCTTTTAGTAATACATTGCACTTATGTGCATTGCTTCTCGACGTACCATACCCCACCCCACCCTGACATACTGGAAAAATGAAAAGCACCAGAGTATTTTTTCCCCTCCTAAAATTTCTTCTGTTATCGTTTTTAATCAATTGACCCTGTTAATGGAAAGTGTCAGAATTGCGTAAAATAATATTTGTTACTGGCATCATGTTTTACAGACAGCAGTAGTGAATACAGAGGTGACGGGGCAGTTGTTGAAGTAATGTTTCTCTTTGTTAACAGTGGTTGGCATTGGAAAAGGAACTAAAATGCTGAGCAGCTTGCTGGCAGGTTCTAAGGTAAGGAAAAATGGGGTACTTAATGTTTTCTGTATGTTTTCCACCTTAAGTGAATAAACTAACTATGAATAGGGAGGTGAGGGCAGACACTATTTTCGGATAGCAAAGACTGGGAATCACACTGATCTTTAAATTGCTTTGACAAAACAAGTCTGTCTAAAAGAAGTGAGGCCTTGAGGCTTAACCTACATTGGAATCCTGGCTGTGCACATTCTAGGTTAATTCTTTAACGGTTAATGCTTCCTTGGCTTGGATCCTAATATAACTTAAGGAAGTTCACAGCGGGAAAGTCTCCTGTCACTTCCTTCCCTTCTGCTCCACTCCATGCTCCATTCCATGCTGTTTGTGATGCTCCCCCAACCATCTGAGATGTTTTTTAGGGGAAAGAGAAGATGGGAAACTGCTTCTATTAACTTATTTTAAGTCAAAATATCTGATAAGAAGCCCATAAGAAAAGGCAGCAACAGAGGTTGGTCCGCTAGGGTGGATTGCGGCACTGCCCCACTAACTTCAACCGGCCATTAGCCAGCCTCTCCCCCAGCTTAATTTCTCACTTGCATTCAGTCCAGGGGGAGCAGTGTCTTATCGACTTCTCCTTTCTTAGCCTCGGTGTTGCCCTTGTAGAACGGAGCAGGGAGGAGGATGGGGCAAAACTGGAATGAGTTGGCCCTGCCTTTCATTGGTTCTGACTCTGCCTCCTGTTGACCTTGCTGACTTCCACCCTGCCAACCCCGGTAGACACTAGGCACCACTTCTTGAGTGGAATTCTGTATGTAGCTGATGATCTGTGGTATGGAGGCTTTTCAGCTTCGTATTCACTGTTGGCAGTAACCATAAACTTGCAGGGTGCAGAAATAGTGCAATTAATGTGCATAATGTGTCAAGGGAGGAAAAGCATAACATAATGTAATCTGCATGAACACGCTGGACGCAGCTGGAGGACATGTTACACTTCCTCTTTGATACAGCGTATGAAATTTCTGGTGTGAGATTAGAAATGGCAGTTCCTTGGTTGTTTTGGAAATTATGCTTGGTTAATTGAGATCTCAATTTATACACACTGGTGAGTTTTAATACTTACCCGCAAAATATATGTACTGACAAAAGAGAGAGCTTAGTCCTCCAGGGCTCAAGAAATAAAATTAGAACTTGGTGATCATTGGGGGTTGTATCCCACATACTGCTAAGTGAAAGAGAATTAGCACTGAACTTGTTTCACTAGAGGGTCATCTTGTGAAAGAGGTTCCACAACCAGATAGCTTTGTATATAGAGAGGATAGGAGCATAAAAAGGTAGTTTAATGAGACTTCAAACTCGCACAAGCTCTTGCACAATGGCTCCATCAGTGCTTTTGCTGTGTTGGATTCATCTGCCCAGCATGGAGAAATGGACCTGTTCAAGCACAGGGCTTGTTGAATGACAGTGTTGGATGCAACCATGGGTATAGCTCAGCTTCAAAAGTGGAGCAAAGAGCCGCTTAACTTTGAACTCCTACACTATCATCTTGCACAGATCTGCTTGGAAGTAAGTGGATGATGTTGGGTGTTTCAGCCCTAAAGGTGATCTGTTTATTAAAATTCACCTTTGTTGAAGCTGGCTAGTAAATATGCTTTCTGGCTCTGGAGAGGAGGTGCAAATAGTTGTTAAGATGCTTTAACTGCTGCTGAATAGGTTGGAACGCTCTTAGCTTCCATGTCCCAAGTTTATTATCCCACGACACCTGTTTGCCTATTTTTCTAGTGTGGCCCTGTATTCTCTGACAACAGAGATACCTCATATCTGGCAAAGCTAGCTGTTGTCAGTGTTAGCTATGACTAGATACAGTGGTGCAGACTTCTACTACTTCATACCATCTGTGTGGATTCATTTGATTGCATTGTGCATTATCCAGTTGTAGCTTCTTCCATATAACAGTAGCTCTACTTCCCTCAAGTAGGTCAGACGAGAGTGATTTCACTTTCCCCTGGGAATGAGAGGCTCAGTGTGAGTAATCTGTACTGTGATCTCCAATGCACTAACTAGTTGAAAATCCGTTCTTTAAAAATGGGCACTCCTAGGCTAGCTGTTTTTTATCTGAATCCCCAGGAGCTTCACTGACTTGCAGAAGATTAGAATTGACTCCCCTGCATTAATTGCAGCTTCTTGTTTAAGCGATAGGTGAATGAGCGTTTGATCTCAAAGGTTGTCATCTCTCCAGAGAGAACCGTTATCAAAATGTCACCCGGATAACATCAAATCCAGGCTCCCAGTGGCCTCAGAGGTTTGGGAGGAAAAAGATGAACAGAACAAGGGGTATACTGAGCTTGCCATGGTCTTGAACAACTCAGATATTTTTTCATAGTCAGTTGAATTTCCCAGGGATCCCCAAATGGGTAGTGGAAGCCACTTTAATTAGTTGTCTGAAATGGAACTGTTCTGTTTTACTCTGACACAAGCTTGCTGTCAGAGGGGCTCGAGGAGGATAATGGCTAATTTCCCTCTAGACTGAGACTATTGCTGGCTTATAGGTTTCTTGTGGTGTCCTTCTCTGGTTGCTTTTTTCCCTTTGCCTTTTTTAAAAGCAGAATTCACCTAACACCCCTTGACAGGTAGTGCATGCATTTTGTACTCAGGTACACAGAAAGATTAGTATTAATCCAAAGGTCAATGAGCTATTTTTCACAAGACATTTAAACCGGTGTGGCAAAATCAGCTTGGATGCTGCATGGAAGTAGAGACTTAAATGATGAGCAACTTTCTAGTTGGCAATCTTGACTTTGTATGAAAAACAGAATCATAGAATTGTAGAGTTGGAAGGGGTCCAGAGGGTCATCTAGTCCAGCCCCTGCAATGCAGGAATCTCAGCTAAAGATCCATCACAGATGGCCATTCAACCTCTGCTTAAAGAACTCCAATGAAGGAGAGTCCACTACCTTCCAAGGGAGTCCATTCCACTGTCAAACAGATCTTACCATCAGAAAGTTCTTCCTGATGTTTAGTCAGAATCTCCTTTATAGTAGCTTGAATCTATTGCTTTGCGTCCTAGCCTCCAGAGCAGGAGAAAGCAAGCTTGCTGCATCACATTGTTGACTCATGTGTAGCTTGTGGTCCACCAAGACCCCTGGATCCTTTTCACATATACAGTCATACCTCTTGTTACGTTTGCTTCATTTTACGTTTTTTCAGGTTGCGTCCCACAGCGACCCAGAAGTATCGGAAAGGGTTACTTCCGGGTTTTGCCGCTCACGCATGCACAGACGCGCAAAATGATGTCACGCGCATGCGTAGAAGCGGCGAATCGCAACCCGTGCATTGCGTTCCTTTCATGTTGCGAACGAGCCTCCAGAACAGATCCCTTTCGCAACCAGAGGTACCACTGTACTGCTGGCAAGCCAGATGTCCCCCATCTTATATTTGTGAAGTATTAACTCATTCTCAGGTGTGTACTGCACAGTTGAAGCAATATTGAAAGTCTGTGGAATCTCTTTGTTAAACTCCTGAAAATAATCATTGATGTGTGGAAGACATGCATTGTAAGCATGGCTTAGAAAAAGTATACAGTCATACCTTGAGTTGAATGTGCTTTGGGTTGAGCATGTTCGAGTTGCGCTCCGCGGCAACCCGGAAGTAATGGAGTGCGTTACTTCTGGGTTTTGCCGCATGCGCATGCGCTCAAAATGACGTCATGCGTGGAAGCAGTGAAACGCAACCCGCGCAGACGCGCCATCGCATCTTGCGTTCCATCTTGCGGATCCCGTTCGCATCCCGAGGTACCACTGTAATGAATGTCTGATGTTTTTTAATTTTCTTTTTGTTTCCTATTCCATTACAGTGGGAATTTAATATCTGGAACAGGGGTGGGGAACCGGTGGTCCTTCAGATGTTGTTAAACTTCAGCTCGCATAAGTCCTAACTGGCATGGCCAACAGTGAAGGCTATCCAAGATTCTGAGCCCCCCAGACCTCGAAATCTATTGTCTAGGCTTTCTCCTGTCACCCACAGTCATTATTAACATATTTCCACTGACTGAGAGGCTTCCTAGATGCTTCTGCCCACCTGATCTGTCTAGCCAGTCAAAATAATCACCACCAGCAAGTCGCAACTCTGACTTCACAACTCTCTCCCATAGAATGCCTTGAGTCGGGCAGTGGATTCTGTGGGTGTAGATTGCCCTTCTAAACCAAGGTTAGAGACGTTTCAGTTTAGTTAGCCAATGTTTCTCAAACTTGGGTCTCCAGTTTCTGTTAAGACTACATCTCCCATCATCCCTGACCGCTGGTCCTGCTAGCTATGGATTATGGGAATTGTAGTACAACAATAGCTGGGGACCCAACATTGAAAAACACTGAGTTAGGCGCTAAGTTCTTATACAATTGCGATTCTTTTGTGTCCATGCCTTTGCAGGGGGGAGAATGGGAAGAAAACCAGAACAAATTTAGCCCTATCCATGTTCCCACCCATGTTACCTTATTGGCCCTGCCTACATAACCTTGGCTGCCCCCACCAGGTCCAGGGGCTATCAGCCACCACTAATGACCATCTGGAGAGGCACAGGTTCCTCACTCTTGATCTAGAGCTATGGGAGCCTGTAGCTCAGTAGACATGTTTGTGTGTCTCCCACAAGACCTTCAGGAAATAGATCCATGCTTATGAAATAGGATTATTATGGAAGGGGACACTTCTATAGTGCCTGTTGTATATTGAATGGGAGTAACTGCTAAGAGTTAGTAATGCATTTGATGGCTTCCTCTAAAAAAACATTATGTTGCTTTTGGTAATTGCTAGCTTTTGGTATTCTTCTGGACACAGTGCATATGCAGGGATGTTCACTTTTGTTAACCATTCTTAACACAATCAGCTATTTGTTCTAATGGAAATGCTAATTGATGACAAAGATGTATATTTTAGAAAGAGGCAGTTTTACTGATGCTTGGGCAAAGCAGTCTTTCCTGGAACCCATTAAGCACCTGTAGTGTGCAAGTAATTATTGTAAATGATGATAAACAATTTCAAATTAGATCTGAGTTTGCATGAATGTATTTAAATAAGTCTGCAGAATAGCTTTGCTGAACAAATTAAGATTTAAGGATACTTTATCTGGGTGACTTGCTGCTCTGTGGTATGTAAAGCTGAATTAGCCTTTCTCCCCCTCCTTATTGCACTCAGTGCTCTATTTTCAGGCCTGTTCAGCTGATGGTTAAATCTTCCCATAAGGAGTGAGATTTATGATCATGCTGCCTGCTGATAGTCTTTTACAAATGACAGCAGCTGACAGAGAGTTGTTTCTGTAGTGTTAGTTTGGTGATGGTTCAATTTGTTCATACAAGTCATTGTCCACTGTTTCAGTCATCAAGGGATAATACACATGCATATGTGCACAAATCATGAAAGTACCATTATCCATTGGTTATCTAGGAGGAATACTGATGCCATGACTTACAAACAAAAAGCATTCAGGCTGCGAACCCATACACATTTTCCTTGGAATAAGCACCATTAAAAAACACTGAGACATAATTCTGAATAAACATGGATAACTACTTGTCAAGCACCTTTTATTGGTGCTTCTATGATAAAGCAAACTGGAATCACTTTCATGTTGCTAACAGTGGAGCTCATTGTAGGCACAGGGATCAAATGGGAACAGGCTTCTGGGTTTGGAAAGATTGGTTCCGGAAAACCTGGAATTTTGTATAGCAGGTGTAGTGTGATACAAGAACTGTGAAGATCCCCCATGGTCCACTGATGTTTTCAAAGCAAGGAGCAGCTAATATGTGTTAAGTGAATGCTCATTCTTACTTAAAAATGTATGACATGCCCTGCTGAATCACATCAAATTCTACACAGACCAGCATCCTTTGCAAAATACATGGCACTAAGTGGTCTACCAGAAGTTGGCCAATGGCCTATTCATGGACCGCAACCTATTTTGACTCTGCTTTGGAGTCACAAAGCTTTTGTACATGTAAGGTTTCAAAAGCTATAGAACACATTATAATTGCCACAGAAATACCTCCAAAAAACATCCTTCCTATAGCAATTCATTTTTTTGCTCTGTCAATAGTGTTGAGAGATTTGAAAGTCACATCCTTCACTAAATGTATTTTCATTCACTGGAAGGGCAAGATACAAATTTACTAAACAGCTTAACAGAGGTTCTGTTAACACAGGGAAAGAGAGACACCATGCAGATGCAATAGCAAACCATAGTTTTCTCTTACCCATATAAATGGCAGCAAACTTTGAGTTTGTGTATGTGAAGAGAGTACGTGAAGACAGTAGATTAGAATATTTCCACATTAGGGTAGGAACAACAATAACTTGCCATTGTATCTGAATGTGGCAGCTTATGGTTTGCTGATCATAAGCCAGGATCTCAGAACTAAAGTCCAGATCCTAATTTGTCATTAAATAAGGATCAATAATTCAGGTGCTTATTACTTCCCCCTCATACAGGAGAAGGGAGGTTCACCTCCATTAATGCATGTCATGGAAAACCATGGTTTGTTGCATCTCAGTGTAGTTTTTGTAGCATGAATTATTGGAATTCATCTGTCTTGAGAGACAATGGAGTGCACCTCCAGGAGTGAAATAAAACCCTTGCGTTAGCAGCACTGAAGTGACCCCGTTGAGGTGCAAACCTGGGCAGTGTGTATGGAGGTCCTGGGCTGCCCAGACGACATGACACCCCTTTTGGCCTCTCTGATGTGGAAAGCAGAGCAATATGTTTGGTATCAGCTTGGCTGCTGAAGTTGCCAGAAGAAAATGTACAAGATGCCATCCAACCATCTTAGGGACTCCACTCCAAGTTTGTTTAGGGCTTTACTCTGTAGCCTTTTCTTCTGAGATTTCCTGCAAAGCAGCAGAAGTTTAGGATCAGAGTTTTCCCTCTCCTAGATGGGATACCTTACCAGGTTGATGAGCCCCATTTGCCACTGTCATGGATTATAGACAAAGGAATAAGTTTATTGGATAGATCCAGGTCTAGTTCTCGCACTGTTGCAATTTTAGCATGCTGTCATCGTGCTAAAAATCTAGTAAGAGTTTATCTGTTTAATAGCATAAATAATAATAAAAACTTTACTAATAGTATAAATTAAAATGTTCAGGTTCATGATATTCTTACACAGTTGCTGTGCTCAAGCTTTCCGATGTCCTAAGGATATGAACATCTTGGACCCAGTGCAATTATCTGCAAATTTTCCTGTTAAATATTAAGGACTCTTGCCTGCCTCACTGGAAGTCAGGTCACCCTGTGAGTTAATCTAGTCACAAAGTAGAGGTGGATATACAGGGTCAAATGATCCAGCTACACTTGTAGTTCTTCAGCAGTGACAGAACAATTACAGCATCTTGCAGTAAAAGAAATTTAGTGCAGTGTTAGTACAAAGTCAGCTTTTTCTCTCCAGAGAAAAATTATTCTAGAAGAGAGTTGTAATGTTTCTTGGTATTAAGACATCATGTTGACTATTCGTTAAATTTAAATTTGCTCCGTTGTCTATAACCTGCTCTTGGCTTTAAAGTTTTACTCTTTAGGTTTGACTTGCTGGATGCTTCTATTTTCATTATCTAATCTTCATATAAAAAAAAATACTTTAATGGTGTTATTGAGATGGGATGATGTCTGTAGTCTCCCTTTTCATATCTTATGTAGAGAGGGGGCTTTATTTTGAGTTTGTGTTATAGTATCTTGGATAAGAGAGCAGATGAATAATAATAGAACACACTTATTATTTAGGAGTAAATGATATTTTTGTGGGATAAATAAATCATCCTGAAATCATATACTTGGTCCATAATCACTTGCTTATGTAGTGTAGATGGAGGATAATCTAACACCACACGTGAGCTTGTCCTTTTCTGAGAATTTATAGCTATGCTGGATTCCCAAACTCATTGGTTCATCACGTGTTTAATAACCCTTTGGTTAATTGGTGCTGCTCAGAGATACTTTGTAAGCAGCTGTATTACATAGTCCAGGAAAGCCCCCCTAATATACCTTGCAATCTGAGAGGCAACTCTTGTATCTCACTCTCTCTTTTTTTTAATCACCAGCATCCCTAAAAATAATGCTGATCCAGGGAACAGTCTGGGTTGTTTTAGCAGTTGGGGGCAGGTGGTTAATTTTCTTGTTAACTGTGGCTTAATTGTTACTTGCTAGTGACTGAGATCTTGTCTTCATAAAATCTAAGGTCACACCTGATTATATTCAATGCAAGCCAGAGTAAGATTATGGTGGAAGTATGTGAAATTCTGGACCATGGCTAGGTAATCTAATCGTTTTCTGTGCTCTGATTCCGTGCTTCCTTGCAAGGGCAGGAACTCTGAGCACATGGAGTTCTTGTGTCTTCAAGGTCTTCTCCATTCACTGATGGTTGCTGTTTTCTTCAAAGAAGCTCAGGGCTTCCTAACTGAAGGCTATCCGCTTTTTTCCTCACAACTCCTCCATGGGGTACATTAGGTTCAGTGAGATAGTGAATGGTCCAAGGTTGCCTAGGGAGCTTCACCAGTGATTGAAGATTGGCATCCAGATGTCCCTAGTTCAAGTTCAGCATACTATCTACTATACTAGCTTCTGTGGAAGGGACAGATAGATGGGAAGTGTGTATGCATGAACTTTTCCATCTTCAGACATGAATTATATCTAAACATGTGATCCCTCTTAATTCTGTGGCTTAAATATGCTTGCTTAGGCATCAGAGCAGCATTTTGACTATTCATTAACCAATGCATTATTGGGAAATCTTATTTACTATCTTATTTACTTCAAATATGCTTGTTCTGGCTTTCCCTGTTTTCCTAATGATGGGAACTGCATGTTTAGCAGCAGCTAGGACTATCTTAGTATACCTCATCTTGCATGAGGGTTTGGTTCCAAGGGTTATATGTATACATGGAAAACAGATATAACAAACTCCTGGAGCCTCCCACAAAGCTAGCCAGCCTGACTTCTATAAGGTAGCCGATAAGGGAGAGAGCATCCCCAGTGCTCCTAGTGGGCCTTGCTCAGCAGGGAAGACTGAGAGCTTAAAAGCTTTTCGTGCCAGGTCTGCTTGGGGTTACCCGATGCAAAAAGAGGTTTTAAGCTCTTGGCCTTGACTCTTGGGCAGAGCCTGCTCAGCACACCAGCTCTGGGAGTGTTAGGGATGCTTTTGCAAGATTTTGCAGAACAATCTGACTTCCTAGGAGATCTCATGAGAGTATCCTCACCACTGCTAGAGCTGGCACTTAGCAGGCCTTGCCTGGAAGCAAAGTAAGAGAACTTAAAAGCTCTATTCGCACTACATCTGCTTGAGGCTACCTTCATGCTACACTTGCAAGGGTTTGGGGTGGAATGTGCACGCCCAGCAGCAGAACCAACACATCGAGTTCCGTCCCTCTACCTGCTTTGGTTTTCATGTATCCAGCCGAATGTCTAGGCTACACTTGTGTACATAAATGTGTGTGTGTGTGCGCGCGCACACACACACATTGATAAACACACACATGCATATACTTACTAAAATTGTGATGCAAAATCTTTTTGTGTGTCTTAATTCTAAATACGTAGTAAGCTTTTGTAAAAAAAAAAAAAAAAGGCAAATGTGGCAAGCGGTGCTCAGTTTGACTGAAAGCTCTGTGCCTCAGTTTCAATTTAGAGATAATATTCTTCCACTTTTCCTTGTCTGTATTGCTGCCTGTGCTGTTTCCTTTTCTCTTTCCAGAGATGATGGCATTCACAAAGGGAACTGAAGTCATCTCCATCTCCTTCTTTCTCTCAGTTTTTTCTTTTTTATAATCTGATTTCATAGCATTGTGCAATCCTTCTTGATGACAGGCTCACCAAAGCTGATTGAGTGCATTCCTATGTTATATCTACCCTTGATTTCACTAAAATATTCTAACATTTAGTATTCTTTCATGGCTGTGACTTACACTTTTTATAATATCCAATTAGTATACTTCTGGTTTTATGAGTATTCTAAATCAGAATGGGAATGTGCATGTACAGGAATAGATTTGTTCATCTCCATAATTGTTTCTTTTTTCTGAATTGTCTAGCTTGGTGGCATGGTATAAACTCAAGATGCTGGTGATATTTTTCATTAAACCTCTGTTGCCCTCCACTCCGTGTTTCACACTAATTATTTTCTTTCCTTACAGAAATACACAGCTGTTGGGGAATTGGGAAAGGCAACTGACACATTTGATTCTACAGGCAAAGTAACAGAAGAAAAACCTTACGGTAAAGAATCACATAATGTGTTCTGTTCTGACTGTTTGACTGCAGTGCTTTGTTTAGATTGCAGCAAAGATGGTGTCAGGCTCAGGTTTGTAGCTTATTTTTAAAGGAATTTTGTTGGTCTAGCTGACAGATTAAATGGTTTGCAACATCTTGGAAATGGGGATTCTTTGTCAGCTTTTAAGATGACTTCTGAGAAACTCAACTCAACACTTGAAGGTCATATAAATCCACAGACCCCTAGTTACTGAGCCCATCACCGTAATTAATCAGCAAGCATTTAGGAACTGTAACTCTCTGCATATGTTAGACCCCAGCTCCCACTATGCCTGACTGTTGGCTATACTCACTAAGTCTAATGGGAGATGTGGCCCTCCAGATGTTGAACTCCCCAGTTTCCCATCCCTGGCTTTAGTTGCTTAGTTTCCATTTCAGCTTGGTCCGTTCCCAGAAACCCCCAGTGGATTGTGATTGATATTGCTTCTTTTTTAGATGAGGAGTTGGAAGGACCCTAGCTCACTGATAGAGTGCATGCAAAGGCTCAGTCCCTGGCATCTGAGTTAGGGTCTGAAGCTGTGGAGAGCCAATTCCAGTTAGCATGAACAAGAGTGATCTGGATGGTTTAGTGCTCTGACTCACGTCCCATATTTCCTACCTCTGTCTCTGCATGCATGTGGTAGGGATGTAATGGGCATTTGTGCTTTTAAAAGGTGGTATGTTGTGTGCAGGTTTCCCTTGACTAAACTTTCAGAGATCACAGAAGCACAGACTTGTAGAGTTGGAAGTGACCATGAGGATCATCTAGTCCAACCCCCTGCAATGCAGGAATCTTTCACCCAACATGGGGCTCAAACTCACAACCCTGAGATTAAGAGCCTCACGTTCTACCAACTGAGCTATCCCCTCCTGAGCTGTGTTGGGATAGCGTGCACTGCCTTAATGTCCCCAAGCTTGTGCATGCACATCCTTGGTGTGTCTCAACTTGGCTTGGGCACAGAGTGTGAGTATGGTGTCATGTTTTCTTCTGAACTGACGCTCTGAAATCAGAGTACTACTATGTGTGCTTTTAATGAAGCAAGAAAGAAAAAGCATGTAAGTAGTATGTTGGGTGTAGAGCAATTGAGGTTGTAATCACTTAAAGTTCCTGCTTTGGGTATATAAGTATTTGTGATGCCTGTTTGTGAGGCTTCTTGCTCCACTAACAATAGCCATAATCATAACATAATGGGATGACCATGAGTTAACTGTCTATTGTAAATGTTTTCTTTCATTCCACCCACCCTAGGAGATGATCCTTCTGGGTTGATAGTGCAACGGGGGAAGTTTCCAGTTCTTACTACTTCCTCAAAGTAGACCCTTCTCTTCAGATCTTTCTATCACCTCTCAGTGCTGTTTTACATTTCAGACAAACAGCTAAATCAACAAATTCATCCAAAGAAGAGAACAAGAGCCTTTTAAATAGCTGGAATGGTTGCTAGGCTTCTGCTTTGTTTCGTGCCTTGCTTTTGGTCATATGCAAAGATGCATCTCTCCTGTGCTTCTGAGAAATAACATGCCACTAATTGCGGAGCAAACTTGCTACTACTCTCATTAATTCCTTCACAACTTAAAGAGAACAGAGCTATAGATAGCTGGTCTCCTAGCAACTGCTATGCAACCCTCTGTATTTATAATACCCAGTAACAGGTAACCATGATAAATTATCTTCTGTTGCCTTGTGGTGATAAAGGAGGTCTCTGTGGATTTTTTTTTCTTTACTCCTTTTTCTTGCATGCAGTATGTTCTCACTTTTCCCACACCTCTTAAAATATAATATTGCCTCACAACTTATACTGCCTCACAGACCTACCTTCATTTTAATTCATGTCCGTTGCTTGATTCATTTTTAATGCTGAATGAGCAAACTAGCCAAAGGCCCAATTCAGATATTATAAGCCAGGGCTAAAGAACCTCCGGCCCGCAAGCCTAATTAAGCCTGGAAGATTGGCCCACCAGGCTGTTTTGAGCAAATTACACCCACTTTTCCCCCTTACCTGATTACATATATGATGTCAGGTATAGAAAACTTCAAGCCATGACTGAATTTCTTTTAAAAATCCTTGATGTGGTGTACAAAAACAGATCAACAGTAAAAGCTGTAGATTAATAAATATTGGCAGACCACAATAAAACCATTACAAACAAGGCTGCCATCTTTGCAGTAGCAGCTGAAAATAATTGCTGCAGTTTTCTACAAACGTTTGCCGCAAACCGCAAAAAGGATCATCCACCATAGTATTTTGATGTTGTTTTTAATCTTGGCTTGTATTTATAATTATTAGTGCTATGTTTTGTCCCTGCTTCCCTGGTGTTTGTCCTAGCAGGAGTATAGATTTGCTACCAATTTGTGATTTTTCGTACTTGTACAATTTGTTCACTTGTTTGTGAATAGTAATTAAATTTAAAGCATCTTAAAAACAGAAGCCCAGGATAATTTGAACAGTACCTTAAAATTCAAAAATTATTTCCCAGATACAGTGCTGGGCTCAGAGTATACCCTCTTCTTATGGTAAGGTTCCTATTTTTCAAATCAAAAACAAACTCTGAAATTTTAGTCCTGCAAAGGTGTCCGAAGGTTGTTTGAAAGTAAGGTCTTGCAGGCACCAACAGCAAAAGGAAATGTTGAAAGAGCTTCATTGCTTACCTCTCCCCACCCCACCCCATGCTTGTTTTCCTTTATAACTGGTAGCAGCGATGTCTTAAAAATATCCTAAATATGTTCAGCCTTAGAACCCTTAAGAGTTTATGATGTTAAGAATGTGAATATAGGTAGTTTTTTTATTGTCTTCTGTTTTCCAGTGTTGTTTGCTCTTAGACTGAGATACCCCACCCCACCCCACCTGCCAAAAGTAGCAAAACAAAAATGAAATGCTTATGACTGATATAGGTCAACGGAAGGCCTAATACTGAGCAAACTAGAACAGTTTATTTTCATCAGGTGAAGATGAAATGCCTGTGTTTGGTAGGTAGAAAATGCAAGCATTCCCATTTGAGAAATGTTCAGATTGGTTCTTCATTTATACAGAAAAGCATTATTTAAGTCTACATATTTGGTAGAGGCAATAGGTAGTATTTAACATTGCACCAAGTTGACTGTTTTGTCAGCGCAACCATTTCAGTTTGCCAGACTGAATGTTGCCCCCTTCTCTTCTCCCTGTGTATTCTCTCCCTGCAATTGATTCTGGGAGGATCAGGAGAAGAGAGAAGCCCCATGGTGCAAGCAGAAGACCTTCAAAGGGCTTCCGCCAATGGGACTCATTAGGTGAATCCCGCCCATTGGTTCAATTTAGAGATTAACCTGTAGGGCTAACATTCTTATATCCAGATTACTTAATATTAGCTATTATTTAAGGGAACCTTAATATTTACAATTTTTTAAAAATCCGATGTAAATCAAAACATCATTAAAAAAATTTGAATGATTGATTTTTACACACCTGCACCCACATGCCATGAGTCATAGGAGCTTGATCTTAGAAGCAAACAGGGTGTCTGCAGCACCAGGTAGCCTGTCTCTCCCTCTCCTTATTCCTGTACACATTGTTCCCCTCCTGCAGCCCTGACTGATTTATGAACTGCTGCAGCATTATCATTAATGACACTTCATTTAGACTGCTGCTGGGCACAGTAGCAGCATCTGCCATCGCGGTTCCAAATGTTCTCTTTGTATAAAGTGAGATATTAAAGTTGTTTCCTTCCGATACAGCATAAGAGATGAAATGTTTTCTTTTCAAGGAATAACCCTCTTATCTGTATCACGAGAGCCATCTGTTCAGGAAGGGAGCTGCAAGTGCCTAGAAGAAGTAAAGAGCAAGGATTAAAGCATAAGAAGAAGAAGAAAAAGCCATTCATGATATTTATTTATTCCTTGGCAGGAATCCATTGGGATTCACCAGAGGGAGGGAGGCTGAGCAGAGGGGATGTTCAGGTTAATAACTGCAGGAAGGATAACCAGTCCCAAATCTGACCTTTTGGTCAGAGTCCAAATATCTGTATTCTGTTGCATTATGTTCCTGAAGTCTTATGTTTTGGTTTCTCCAGAAATCGGTCTTTGACGGGAGTTGTACTCAGTGTGCTTGTGATTCTTTTGAGCCGTCTCTTGGCAATGTATATGTGAGAGTGTGGGCGCATATGCTAGAAAGGCGAGATTTATATTCTGGCTGTACTGCATTGGATAATGATAACTAGATTATGTAAAAAGTGAGTATCATAATACCCTAGAATTATTAATGTGCTGGAAATCAGAACCCAGATAGCTAGGCCATTCTAAATTTTTCTTTAATCTTTTGTGAGGAAGAAAACGTTTTGTGCACTGAGTATTTCATAATGTATCTACTACATTCTCCCCTACCATGTTGCACATCCTAGTTATTAAGAAGAGTCTTAGATCGACTTGCATTAGCATACATTACAATTCGATAGAGGAGGATTTTCATAACATTACATAGCTTATCAGAAAAATGAGCGTTCAGATTGGAGTGGAAGCAAATAAGCAGCCAAATCCTGTATGCAGAAAGTTCTGTGTTTATGGGGTTATATTTCTTTTTCTACCTCTGGTAATATAAAGGCTGATGTGTGTTGAGAATTTTAAATCAAGTAGATTTATGAATATTTTGCCCCTCTTTTGGTCCACATATCCTTGTGTTCAGGATAATGTGATGCAAATTAGATACCCCACATATCCTTTAACCTATTCATTTACTTGCACAACTATTCTGTGGCATAGGTTAAGCCATTCTTCCAAACCTGGTGCCCTCCAGGTTTTGTTGAACTACAGTTCCCATTATTCCTGCTGGGATAGCTTTGTTAGTAGAGCATGAGACAAAAGGGGAAGGGAAGAAATTACATACTTCTGCTACTTAGCCTTACTTAACTTTCTGGACTATTGCCTGACTCTTTTTTTGGACCAAAAAATGATGACTGGCCCTAACATCATTTAAAATGTTCAAGGTTGGTATTGGCTAGTCAGTTATATTTTATTTATTTAGGATATTTATATATCCAGTTCACAATGGGCAGTTCACAAATTTAGAAGCAACACAATACAAAAATAAAATAGTGAATATTAAAAACAAACTAACATGGGCATGGGGACACAGCTGTCATGAAGCAGATAAGAACAATAAAGACACAACTAAAAATCTCTCCAGCAGAGGGAAACAAAATAAATGGAAGAACTAAAAATCAGTAAAACTATAGATGTTCCAAAGCCTAGGAAAATGAAAAGGGCTTCACCTGGTACCAAAGAGATCCTCAAGCCCTTCTAGGGAGAAGATTCCATAACTGGGGTGCCACCACCAAGAAGTCCCTTTTCCTGGTCATCACTGTCCTCACCTCACTAAGTGGGGTAATTTGAAAAGGGCCCTCTGATTTAGACGTTAATGTCCAGGCAAGTATATACAACAGGAAGCAATCCATTTGGGGCTTTATTATTTAATACCAGCACTTGGAATTGGACCCAGGAATGGACTGGAAGTCAATGCAAATGATGATGGACTGGTGTGATAAGCTGATATCTACTGTCGATAATCTTGCTATTTTGGGCTAGCGGGCGTTTCCAGACAAAGGCAACACTATGTATAATGCATTGCAGTAATCCATCTGGGATGTTAATAGAGCATAGACAATTGTTGCAAGACTATCTGTTCAGATAGAATCATAGCTGGTATATCAGATGAAGTTGGTAAAGTACTCAATGTATTGTCTTGGCTTTAATATAAAATCCAAAAGATCAGCAGCTTTTTTCTCAATTCTCCGAAGTGCTCAAAGTTTGTCAGTTGTTACACAAATAATGAATACTGAAATGTACATATGCCCATGTTTTCTCTTTTGGCAGATTGGATAACAAAAGAGGATATTGAGAATGTCCTGCAGAAGTTCACAGGCAGCATCATGCAAGTTCCCCCGATGTAAGTGCTTTGATAAATAGTTGAACGTCATCTTTGGGAAGCCTGCCTGCAAAATCTCATTTTGCTGGCAGTGGAAAGTGACCTCTGTAGAGCAGAAAGCTGGCAAGACAGGGCAGTCTGGAAAGAATTTATTAACTTGACAGAATTACAGCCAAGAATGACATTGACTTGAACAGCACATGCAAATAGCCCATGATGCTGTCTGTTATGTCTGAATTTCAGGCCTTTGGTCATCACTGAAGCAAAGCTTTCCCTTGCCTTGAATATTTAAAGCAAAATCAAATAGTATTGCTTAATGGGCAGTGTTGCATTTTAGGACACTTTTGTATACCAATAATAGGAAGTGTTCTCAGTGAAGGTAACAGTGCTTCTTGGAGGGAAGCTTGCGGCAGTCCAGTTCACTTTACACAGTGATCATGCAGTCTTTGAAGTACCAAATGCAATGCTTGGCATAGAAACTGTGGAAGTGCCACTTGTTCTTGGCAAATGCCCATCCCCATATGGATCCCTGTGTCAGAATGTAAGGGTCACGTATGAACAGGATGGTGATAAGATGTACGATTAGGTGTCTTCATCAGAGATGAGCTAATTTCAGATTGGCAGGCATCTTCTCTTTTTTATTGAATGTCAATGGTTCAACTATGCCTATTAAATTCATAAAGGAAGACCTTGGATCTGAGAATGTGAGAAGGGTCTTGCTAAATCAAATCAAGGTCTCCTAGTGCTGGACTTAGCAAGCTTCAGCCACCATCAGTTATACCAGAAATTGAACAGTGGTTCACTGGTAGACCTTCTGCCCACCCCAGAGTGCTTTTTAAATGCATGAAAGCAGGGAATGAAACATATATCTATATTGTCAGGGAACTGCCATCGGCTCAGAGGCGAGGGATAGAGGGGGAGTCGTGTTACAGGGAGCCTCTGAAAATCTTGCGAAGCAGTTCCCCACCTCCCGTGGAGAAGAGGTGCAAGGACCAGAGGATGCTAGAGAGAGCCTTAACACCACACCTGAGCAAGCCGGAGACGAGGGAAGCACACCCCTGCCATCCCCAATCACGCGCAGTAGTTTGAGGCGCAGGGAGAGGCAGAAAAGGCTTGGGGTGACGAAACTTTTATGTTGGGAATGGTACAAAAACAGACCACTCCCGGATTCTGCTAGTGATTGAGCCAGACATGAACTTATGATGCACTGTAAATAGTTTGCACCAAAATAAAGCCTGTAAAAGACAGGTCGGAGTCCTGCCTGGTTACTCTCGAGCAACTGCAACAGCATCTGACATGTGTATGTGTGTGTGTGTATATGAGATTTATTATTTATTTATTCACCTGGACAGATGGTTCTCCTTAGCACTACTCTGGATTGAATCTGTTGTATTTGTTGTTTCGTAAACATCTTAAAGATTTACTTGTATTGAGTGGTATATAAATATATGAAATAAAATGAAATAAATAAGAAATACCCTGTTGTATTCACTCCTTGATCAGCTATTGTGCCCTGAAGAGAGATGGACAGAGGTTGTCCACTCTGGTTAAGAAAGGAGAAGTTGTTGAAGCAAAGCCTGCCAGACAAGTTATGGTCTACAGTCTCACTCTTAGGAGTTTCAAGCCGCCCTTCTTCACGCTTGGTAAGGATCCAAAGCATGGAGTCTGGTTGTACTTAAGTCAAAATATTTAAATTGTCTAGGTTTGTTTTAATTGTATTGTGTTTTAATTGTATGTACGATGCTTTGTGTGGATTGTGCCCAGGAAGGCAGCCTGTAAATAAGTTTTACACGCACACACTATATACATATTTATCATTATTTATTATTTATTATTTATTATTACTATTTATTAGTGTCCTCTTCAATCCCCCCTTTTTTTCTCCTCTTTTTCTTTTTGCTTGTCCTAATTTTCAGCTGTTCCCACAATACTGCATTTGTCTTATTAATCTCTTTTCCTCTCCCTTTGTGGTCCCCCTGTTATTTTCTGCAGTGTCCGTTTAAATTATGATATTCATTTTCATCTATTTCTGTATACCGATAATGCAGTGATAATTTAAAAATGTGAATCAAGAGGCCTAGGCCAAACTAAGGAATTCTCCCATTGCCTTTTATTTTAAGTCTTGTATCAGTGAAATATAGACCACCTTTAGACAATTGAGTAACTTGGATGAACCACATGGCCATTATCTTAATGTGCTGAAGTCAACATTATTTTGACCTATGGATCTACAGTGCAACTATATACGTAACAATGGACTATCGATGCGTCCAGACTGAGAATCTCGGCCCTGTGTTTCAGAGAAAGACCATTAAGGACAGTAGTGATCTTCCTGCTGAGTCCCTTTTGCCAATAATCAGACAGGGATGTCAGCCATGACATGCTGTTCTCTTTTCTATCAAGTGTGATGAAAAGGCAGTGTAGGCTAAGCTGATGGATGTAGACCCAGGAGATCACAGCTGCAAACACTACCCCACCCTGCATGAACTGGGGAAAACACCGATTGCTCAGCCTTTGGATATTTTGGGAGTGGTTGCAACATTGTTCAAAAGCGGAAGTAAACAACTTTGCACATTTTCAAAGTGTTAAGTAAGTGTCACTTGGTAAGGCTAACAGTTTCGGGCTATGTTTGACTTGCAGGTTAAGTGCTCTCCTCTTTTGCATAATATGCAAACCGTGTTTCAATGTACTGTGTAATTTCAGTGGTTACGACTTACTGCTTGGGTGATTTGCAGCTCTTTATAGTGAGCAGATTTTAAACTGTCTTGGGTCTTCCTGGATATGTGTGATGTGCGTAGACTTTTAAAAGTTTGCTCAGTGTTTTAAAACATTCATAGATACTTTTTGCTAGCACTTCAAATAATCTCTCCACCCCTCAAGCAACAATGGATAAATATATGACCTGACATGGTATCTTTCTTCTTCTTCTTCTTCTTCCCCTCCTCCTCCTCCTCCTCCTCCAAATGAAGGCTCCGAAGTACTGAAACCCTGAAGCTGGTGCTGAAAAGTGAATGATTGTTAAGCCGGTGCATTTTATTCCTGTTTGCTTTCCGCTCTTCGCCAGCTTCACAATCTCACCCTCACATATGTTACAGGATGAATAATTTATATTATAACCCATAAATATTTTAATCACTCTATTGTTTGCTTAGTGCATTTTTACATTTCTATGTAAAGTAGATTTTTGTGCTATGCTGGCAATTTACCATGTCACCGTTAACATTCCAGATGTTGAATGTGGCGGCGGCTTTTATGTCAGAAGCTTGGTCAACGATATTGGCAAAGGTAGGCACAGACAAAGCACAATCGCTCGGGGAGCAAGTGTTCCTGTTAACAGAGGGCCAGATCAGCTGTCAGTATCTCTGGCTGCCAGATGTGCGCACTGGGGCTGCAGCACTGTTTGCCATGGTTTGGACCTGTAGCACAAAATGAACCTGAGTGAATTGACTACAAAAGTGGTCCTTCGAGGGCAGCAGTAAAGTGGTCGGTTTGGCCATGGACTTATGAGAGAGGAGTAAGAACTCTCTTTTCCTGCAAGATAAACAGATGGGGTTTTTTTTTTGGAGAGGTAAGAAAGTTCCTGTTTTTAAAGGTTACGATGATAAATAATGCTTTGAAATCAGAATGCGCAAAGTTGCAAACATGATATAACCATCCCATCTGGATTTGCCCCTGTTGTTTATGATGACTTAATCAGCTTTTCCTCTGACCTGAGATGTGATCCAACAAAAGGAATTTTTATTTGGCTATACTTTACCCAGGGAGTAACATAATCATTGACAGGAGGATAAGTTCAGCCATTTTTAAACACTAAGCTCTTTTAGATTCTGCTCAGCATGAACAGAACATAATGGCTGTACACCAAGAATTATTGGTGCTCAACTTTCCTCCTTTGGCAGAGACCGAATTCAGTAAGCAGCCATCGGTGTGTAACAGGATTTGAATGGCAACTGTGTAATATAACTGTGTAAACTCTGTAATGTGAACACTAGTTCTGTTTGGGGCAGCACTGCACATGGGAAGTCTCCTGCAGGCGCTTTTCATTTTTAAAGGAGTCTAGAAAGGTACTACATGTCAACAGCTTATTAAGGCATGCAGTTTGACCTTGTGTCAAAAATCTTATCATAAAATGTGTTTGTTGTTGTTATTGTTGTTGTTAAAATTTGTTAGTCACTTTATCTTGCCCAAGGCAACCCAAAGCAACTTACAAACAAACAAAACTACATTGATACATTAAAACCAGGGGGGGAGCAAAACAACAACAACATTACATCCCACCCACTTCTAAAAGGCCACTGATAGTTAGAGCCAAAGGCCTGGTTATAGAGGAAAGTTTTTGCGTGGTGCCTAAGGAAAAATGATGGTGCCAGCCAGGCCTCCCTGAGAAGAGCATTCCACAAGTTGGGAGCCAGTGCAGGAAAGGCTTTTTCTCGTGTTGCCACCCTCTGGACTTCTCATGGAGGGGACACACAAGGAAGGGCCCTAGATTTTGAATGCAGGGTCTAGGTCGGTTCGTATGAGAAGTGGTCCTTGAGGTATTGCAGTCCTGAGCCATTTAAGACTTTATAGGTTACAAACCATCACTTTGAATTAGGCCTGAAAACTAATTGTCAGCCAGTGCATTCGGGCCAGGATGAGTGTAATATGCTCAAACCGTCTTGCTCTGGTAGCAACCTGGCCACTGAATTCTGCACCAGCTGAAGTTTCCAAACCATCTTCAGGTGCATCCCTATGTATAATGTGTTGCAGTAATGTAGTGGGGAAATGTACCCCCCCCCCCCGAATTGCATTTCCATGAGATGTGCAGCGTATTTGGATAATGAAATGTTTAATGGTTAATGTTTGTATAATGTGTCAAATGTTCAAAGTGCTTCAAGGTTCTTTATCTAGTTGTTACCCTTACAACAACCCTGTAAGGCACATTAGTATTATCCCCCGCTATTGCTGAAGGGGGAACTGAGGTTGAGACAGAGTGGCTTGCCTAAGGCCACCTAGTGAGTTTATGGTTGAGGCAAGATTGAAACCAGGGACTTTCTGATTTGTAGCTCAGTTCCTTAGTCAGTACACAACACCAGGTCTAACCATTTGGTATTTAAATAATACATTGCCAAAGATGCACACTATGTGGTTTTAAAATACTCTAGGCTGTATCCAATGCCATTAAAATAAATGATTATGACAAACATAGGTTCATTAATTCGAATGGATCTGCTCTGAGTAGGACTGGTACAGGATACAACTCTATATTCTACCATAGTGGTGATGTTATAATATATATCCCATATTTCCCACTGGAGTGCTAGTTTCAAGTTCTGTAAAATATTGGTGTGCTGTTTGCAAGCTTGGCTTTTGTTTTCTCCCTTTTGATGCTGCAGAGCTGTCCTCCTGTGCCACTGTGCTGGAACTGACCCGAACCAAACAGGGACCATTTACCCTAGAAGAGCATGTTCTTTATGAAGACAAATGGACCATTGATGAAATTGCCCGGTCTCTGGAGTGTTGCATGCCTCTCCTCCAGGAAGAACCGCCTCGTAAAAAATTAAAGATGGAGCTGTCTGAAGAATGCGCCATGAACTCTGAAGATAAGTGATAAGTCAGGTCAAGGAAAAAGACTGAATGACTGAGATGTTTTAAGATTGCTCTGGGATTGTCTTGTCTTCCCCTGTAAATTTACAGTCCAGTGCGTGGAGGATGACAAATTACAATGCAATGAAAATGATACCTTTCTATCTCTTCTGTTCGCGCTGAAGCACACAGACACACACAAAGATGCCCAGCATTTATTTACTTTCATAATGTCCGTATTGTGTTGTGAACTTCTTTGTCAAGGACTACACCCAGTAAAAGACCTTGCAGGACACTTCTAAAATTTGAATTTGCTTCCATGTCCTTATTTGTTTGTTTATTTGGGTACTAACATCTCACCTTTAAAAGCAAAGCCCCTTCAAAAAGCAAGTTACAATATTAAATTTGTATAAATACAGTTTAAAATAATAAAAAATAAATATAGCAGCAAGACAGTAAAAACAGCCTAGAAGACTGTGGTTATATAAAGCCAATAGGGCCCTAAATTACCATACTGAGCACTGGTAATTAGGGAAACTGTGCAGATGTACCTCTGGATTTAAAGATCCATACTTGTGCTTTTCCGTGTGTTTCTTCTTTTTGAAGAATTGACATGTATGCTGATACACTGCGGCTAGCTCTATAGCTAAGTTTTCTCTTTTTTCAATTCTCAGCACATCTTACCTATAATTGCTCCAAGAGAATCTTATTATATACATTATCTCTTCTCTGCATTAATGCCTTGCTTTTTTTCTGATTCATTATTGTCCTTCCCAGTACTTTTGTGTGTGTAGACTATTTCTTTAAAGCTGTTGGAGTCATGAGATTCTTGGCATGGATGACAGCGGCAACGTCTAGGCTGCAGGTGAAGTTGGCCTAGCCAAATAAAGGTGATTATTTCCAAAGAAAGGTGATTAACCAAACCGTTTAAAACACATGACTTCTCCCAAAAAATTCAGGGCACAGAGTGACAATTTCCAGCAACCCTTAACACTACAGTGCACAGAATTTTAGATGGGCTGTGTGTGTGCTTCAAATGTGCTTTAAATACACAGTGTGTACACAATCTAAAAAGGACTCTGGGCAATAGCTAATACCTGAGCAGCAGCAACAAAGTGGATCTAGGAGCATACTTATGCTTCATCCCTTATCCATCAAGGACTGTGATTCTCTCCAGGGACCTTCCTCAGATCAAGCAGTGTGCTCTCCTCCAGATGCCACCTCCTTTTGGGGGTGAGACAGGTGGCAACTGTGGAGAGGATCTTTGTGTCTATGGAATGTTCTGCTGAGGGATGTTAGCCCAGTTTCGGCTTTGATGTTGCATTGGAGACCTTAATTCTGCCATGACTTTAAAAACCATTACTGCACTGTTTCATCAGCTGTTATTTTTCACCTCTTGGGGGTATTGCCATATGAAATGTTAGACTGATAGTATTGTTGTGAGCTGCCTTGAAAGTGCATGTGTGTTGAAGGTTGGGATACAATTTTTATCTCTACACTGGAGCCTCTTCTTGCCTGTCTCTGAAATGTCTGTTTTGGGTCCCAGTCCTGCATGCTGTTTCAGAAAGCATTGGGTACAGTATACCTCTGCGAACGTCCGCCTTGTCTAGCGTCCATTCTGGCGAATGTCTGCAGCAAACCCGGAAGTACCGGAATGGGTTACTTCCGGGTTTGCTGCTCGCACATGTGCAGAAGTGCTAAATCGCGCTTCGCGCATGCGTAGAAGCACAAACCGCTCTGCGCACGTGTGCAGATGCAGCACTTTGCCCTGTGTCCTTCTCAGCTAGTGGCCGGGGCTCCAGAACAGATCCCAGTCATGAAACAAGGTATGACTGTACTCTGCTGATCATAATTACGGGTTGGGTCCTAAGGTGCATTTCTACATGCAGGACATAGTTAACCTATGAAACTCACTCCTATAGGAGGCAGTGATGGCCACCAACCTAGATGGCTTTCCATGAGGAGTAGACCAATTTATGGAAGGACTATTGAAGGCTACTGGCCATGATGACTCTGCTCTGCTCTCACTGCTGAAGGCAATGCTTCTGAATTCCAGTTGCTGGAAACTCTGGAGGGGAGAGTGCTCTTGTGCTCAAATCCTGCTTGCTGGTTTCCAAAAGGCAACCACTGTGAGAACAGCATGCTGTACTGAATGGTCCATTGGCCTGATCCAGCAGGCTCTTCTTATGTTATTATAAGAACACCCCTCTTTTATAGGTAGAAGCACAAAAACTACTATAGGACCTACATACCAATTCACAAAGTATTCTGCATGCTGCTGTGGAACATAACTTGTAGATATTTTCTATCTAGCTCATGGTTCTTTGGATCCAACCATACAATTGAAAGAGTATCTTCTTAAACCATGTGTGTACAACCTCCTTGCCTCTGCACACATGATGAAAAAGAAATGATGTTCCTGTTAATGTAATTATGATCAATAAGCACTTGCATAAATAGTTGCCTCACTTTGTTATAGGGTGGAAATGGATACTAAACTTTTTGCATATAGCTACTTCAGCGGTAACAGGTGAAATGGCCTCAAGTACCTTTTCCATCCTTGCAATTACCTTTAATTGGAGACGTGAATAAAAATGAGTGCTGCAGTGAAAAGAGTAAGTATATTTTTCCAAAGAAATATTCTCCAGGGCACATAGTATGAATGCTAATTATCTGACAGAACATGAACTCTTTTCTCAGGGAAAAAGAAGGCTTAGCCACAAAAAGAAGGTGGTATAATTATATCAGCTGTTTGGGGGTGGGTGATTTTTGTCCTGCAATTCCCCCCCCCAGAAAGTACTAGACATTAAGCCCAAAAAAGGTTTTAGGGAGTTATGTAGAATACCAACACATAGTAATGTTTGGGTGAAGTCATATGCAGCTCTGTTATTGATAGAGGATGTATCTTTTATAGTAATTTATGAACTCACCCACACCATCCTTACACTAACTGGAAATGAGCTGATCTATTTATAATTATTGTTATTATTTTAGCAACCTCTATCCAGTTTAATGCTATAGAAATAAACCTGAAAGTAGCTTACATGAAAAATTTCATACCGTACATAAAACACATCCACTATAATACAAAAATCAAAACTATTAGTAGTAGATTCAAAAAATCAATCACAGGACTGCAGCACTAAACCAAACTTCTTTTTTAATAGCCATGTGTTGGCTTGACAACAATAAAACAATAAAATGTCAGGACCTGGGAAGTCTCTCTAGGATGACATTCCACGGAGTAGGCACCACTACTAAAAAGGCCCTGTACCTTGCAGTAAGGCCTCAGATGTTGAACAGAGTATAGAAGAAAAGTGGTTCTTTGAATACCCAGGTCCCAAGTTGTTTAGGACTTTAAAAATCAAAACAAGCAAAGGTTTTTTTAAAAGGTAAAATGCAAACCAGTTATTTTCTGAGCTAATCCAATGATCTTTGGAAATGAACTCCTTCCTATCAGCTGTGGGAGTGTTCTCAACTCTTCTCTTTACTTAGCTGCAAATGGAGAAGGTAGCAATATCAGCAGGAACTTTCTCCACAGTAGGCTCTGGACCTCAGCCAAGAAAGAGCTCTGCAACTCTGAAAAGATATCCATTGGGCTTCCTAAAAAAGCATACTGTCATGGTATCCAAAGATATCTTCCATGACTCACTGACAAACCCATGTAACACACCTGGAGCCCCATCCCAAATCCTGTCTTGGGCTTGTATGCCAGCCAGAGGACTTTGCTAGTGTGAGTGTGGGGAGGATGTTCTGATTGGAAAGAGGAAGGGCTCAGGTGTGCAGCAGAACCCAGCAGATGAATAGGAGTGGCCACCTGAGAAGAAATAAACCTTGCAGTCCCTCCTGGGTCTTTTCTGGGAAAGCAGCACCTTATTGGATTCCTGTAGGCAACTCCAGCTCATCCTGCTCCCAGATATGGGGAACTGGTGACAGATAAGTGAACTCCAGGTAAGCAGAAAATTTCAGAAATGTCTTTGTTTGGGGACACAGGAACTAGCCCTCAGCTGCAACTGTTCTAAGGCCTTGCCAGGTGCTCCACGATTAGCTCACTTGCCTCCCTGATTTAAAAAGCTTGCTTGTTCCCTGTTCACAAATTATTCCCAGATGATGTTCTTGATGGTGTACCCAAAATGCTGTATCATTAACTCTTGGTTTCCCCGTCTGTGAATGTGCATAAGATGGATATGGAATATGGGAAGGGCTCTTGCTTTGGTTCATTGAAAGGGTGGTTAGACTCGTCTGCATTTGGAACCTGTGTGTAATGGACTTGCCCGCACAAGCCTACAACTCCAGCTTTTATGCCAATGTCATGCTTACCAGGGACAAGCAGGGCTATGCTTCCTTGACTAACTGAAGAAAAACATGGCCTTAAATAAAGTTTGAGTTGTGCTGTAGGGTTGAGGAATGCTGTCATTGTCTTACTGTCATGGTAAATCCAGCACAATGTCATTAGTTTGAGTGGAGTTACTTACGTGACTGAACATATCTTTAGTGCTCAGGGGTGTTCAGAATGTTTTGTTCTTTCCATTTTTATCCCACCCTTATTGTAAAGAGTTCATCGTTTCTTCCCCTTTTATCCTCACAACAACCCTGGGAAGTAGGTTAGACTAAGGAAAGTGTAGCCAATGACGTGCTCTCTGGATGTCGTGTTACTACAACTCCCATCATCCCTGACCGTGGAATAGGTTGGCTGAGACACAGCTGGAATCTTCAGAACTGAGGATTTCTTAAGAGAACGTTGTGTTTCACATTTGTATCGTAGCAAGTGAACCTGTGGAAGAAAAGCAGCATTCCTGCTACAGTGTACATCAGATGTGCTTAACCTGTGGTCCTCCAGTCATCATTGGACTACAACGTCCTTCATCCCTGAGCACTGGCTATGCTATACAGGGCTGTTGGTAGTCCAATGACCTCTCGGGGGCCACAGGTTCTCCATCCTTTCTATATTTGGTAAATCAGACTCGACTGTCTGGGGTGATAGCTCAGCAGCATGTTGCATTCTTTGCATGCATAAGGTTGATCCACGACATCTCTTGTTAAAAGATTTCAAACAGCAGTGGCAGAAAAGACCTCTGCTAGAGGCCATGAAAAGCTGCCGCTGCCAATAGCAGCAGATGACAATTTCCTTTGTGAGCCAATGACCTGACTATGCTCTCTATTCACTTGTAGTTAAGACTACAGTAAAAACTTCACATTTTGGAGGAGTGGAATGTTGTGGCTGGTTTGGGCTAGCATGGTATTTGCTGAGTAAGCACCACTTGGCATGCTGCATGCATGATGAGTGCTAGCTTGAACTTTGCCTGACATCCAAGCATCCTTATTTTGCACTTTATCATGGGGGATATTAATAAAGGAGGTGTTGGTAAAGTTTCTTGTTTATCATTCATAGATGCCTTGAATGTGCCTGCATTTTAACTTATTAGGAGCCCTGCTGGATCAGACCAAAGGTTCTCATTCAGCATTGTGTCTCCTACAGTAGCCAATCTGATAAGTTTTGGGAAGCCCGCAAACATGGCATGATGGTGTTAGACTATGTCTTTTGCCCACCATCCAACTGGTATTCAAAGACAAATTGCATCTGCATGGTCTATGTAGCTATTAATGGCTAATAGCTGTTGATTGACCCAGTTGTTGATGGTTTCTCTTATGAGGTAGGGGTGCACGTAGCTTAGAAAAGCAATCCCCTGGCATCTTTTGAGCCATGCTATAGGAAATGAGGCCTTGTGCACGGACTTCTCTTGTGACCTTTCCTGGGTATAGTGCTGTGATCATTAAGCCAGCCCTGTTTTGCAGCTGTGTTAGCCCAACAACTTTTAAAAATTGAGTTGCTTAGAAGGTTACATTATAGTAGGAAAGTTCTAGCCTCCATTGCTTAAAGACAGGGGAAGTGGCTGCCCATCTAGTCCAGCATCTTGTTCTCACAGTGGCCAACCAGATGCCAACCAGATGCCACAGTGGCCAACACAGTGGCCAACCAGAACACAATCAGGAGCTGAGCACAGCAGCATTCTTCCCACTTGCATTCCCAGCAACTGGTATTCAGACACATGCTTAAGAGGGGAGAGGGGGTGGGTTGGTGGTAGATATTGGCAAATACTTACAGAGCGTTGAGTTATCCTGACAGGTAGGAAATATTGTACTTCCGTACTCGGGGTGTAAAAAAAACAACTCCAGGGAAAAAAAGCTGTTAAGCAAGTGAGCTGAGATCACTGGCCTGGAATTACGTTTTGGCTATAAATACAATCCAGATAATTGTGAAATAGTCAATGGTGCCTGTGACGTTTTTATAGCCACGTTTCAGGGGTTTATCGGAAGGTGAGCTTGTGCTTGGTAAAAACTTGCAAAGAGAAAGCAAAAATCCAAGATGTTTTGCTGTTATGAAATATGAGTGTGATTGGGAAGAATTGTGGAAGGAACCTCTTGTGATTTTCAAAGCTCTTGGTGAGGGGACTGTTTTCCTACTTTCATTATCACATCATCTTTTTCCACTTAGGGGCATGGGATAGCAGAGAACTGTAAATAAGATAGCAGAGAACTGTAAATGTTAAATACAGATGTCTTCCAATGACTTCATGTGGATGCCCAATGGCTTCATGTAGATGTTAAATAGCATTGCAGACAGTATAGTGACTTGTGGCGACTTGTAGCTCAAGAGCCATGAGACTTAGAAGCAATCGTGCAACGCTATATTCAGAAATAGTTCCTGGAGAGAGGGAAGATGGATGGGGGTGGGGTCGGGTGGCGGTGTTTCTATTATGTTTAATGTATGTAGAACAAATGAAACGGATTTGTAAAAATGTTACATGAAAAAAAAAATACGAGGCACTACACTTCTGTAAAACAAGAAAATCCTTAATAAAATATTTTTTTAAAAAAAGAAAGAAATAGTTCCTGGAGATTAGATCAGAGCTACTGCAGAACACAGTCCCTGATACCCATCTCCTATAGATGGTCCAGGAGAATTCCATGGTCAGTGGTGTCAAAAACCAATGTGGGATCTAGTAAGAGCAACAGTAATAAATACTAATAATAATTGATTATTTATATGCCGCCCATCTGCTGGGTTGCCCCAGCCACTCTGGGCAGCTTTCAGCAAATTAAAACACAATAAAACATCAAACATTAAAAACTTTCCTATACAGGGATGCCTTCAGATGTCTTCTAAAAGTCAGGTGTTTATTTCCTTGACATTGATGGGAGGGCGTTCCACAGGGCGGGCGCCACTACTAAGAAGGTTCTCTGCCTGGTTCCCTGAAATGTCAATTTGCAGTAAAAATTGGGCCATAGTGTAGAGCTATGGTCAAATGGATTGAAGCTGTAGATGGATGCTGAATCCAAAGGAAAATGAGTAAAACCTGTTCCTAAACCTAATTGATGGCACTTGGTTTCTTCTGATCAGCAAGGTTTGCAATGGGACCATCCATAAATCTTGTCACAAATTCAAATGCTTTTTAAATCACCTATGCCAGCTTCACAATTTGTCCCTTTTTGACCAATGCCTAATTCTTCCTTGGTCACAACCCTCCCCATTTCTTGATCCACAGCATATTTTATGGACACAGGGCCACTCTCTTTCATGAAAAAATTCCCTGGGAAAAGGTTGCATAAGCTCTTTCAGTGGTTGATTTCAATTTTGAAGTACCACTCTGGTTAAATAATCAAGTTTCTGTAGGCTGCCATAGTACAAAAAATCCCAGCTATCCTACAACGCAGGCAGAGCCTCAACCCATCTTCCTTATCTTCCTTCCCACCATTGCCTTGCTATGGCAGGATTCTGCCCTGTGGCTGTCAGTCTGTTTGGGATTAACATTTCTGTTCTACAGAACCATAAATGATGCATTCTGAAAGGCTCACTCTTCCTGTGTTGTAGCAGAAATGGATCTCTCTCCCTCTCTTTCTGCCTTTTTAGGCCACTCTAGAGAGAGTGCAGTGTTTCTCAGCACTTTGTTTGAGTTAGAGATGTCAGCATCTGTTGCCAAGGAAATTGAATTCTAAAATTACACTAGTAACCACGGTTATCTTGCACTATATCACATTTTTCATGAAATGCTCCAGCAATATAGAACTATAGGACAGCATAATTTGAAGTACGTGGATATTTTTGTGTGTGTGCGTGTTATTCTAACATGCAACTCTGTTCCTCCCATCATGTGAAATGTTACTGGCTAGGAAAAGCTGTATTATTTGTTAATTAAATAAACTTAGAATCATATTTTTTTAAAAAAGAGTGGACCTTGGAGGTGAGTAAGTGGCCGGCAGCTGCTCATGTGAAAAATTGCAGCTGCACCACTTACAAAATGACCATGTTAAGCAGTATATACAGTATATTGTTGGAAAAAAAATAAAGAACACTGCAATATGGGACCAAATCTGTACTACATAGTTATGGGTTCATACAGGGACAACAGGTCATTTTATTTCACCCCATTTCCAGGATCCCTACATTATATAAGCAAAACCTTCCCACTCATACACACCCCTACCTGTTACAACAGCCAACATTTTACTAGTCATGTGAAACAATTCATGAATTCAGTCAATAGTCGTTGTCTCACCTTCTCTTTCATACATTTATTGAATGTGTGGAGGATG